CGGTCTAAGGCGCCAGACTCAAGATTAATCATCTTCTCGGTTCTCGAATCGAGCACATGGGCGTTCTGGTCCTCTCTGAGGGCGTGGGTTCGAATCCCACTTCTGACAAACGTTTTGCTAATTCACTTTATATACCAAATTGAACTATAAATTAAATGATTCATATTTTTGGAAATTTAATCTTCGATCTTTGTTATTAACAATAAATCTAGTATTCTAGTAGTAGTCTAGTAGTAGTTCATTTTCCGACTGAACCGTTAGGTACTAAATTACCTGAGATCATTCGGTTCTTAAAACCATTAGGAATACCTAAGTTCTTAAAATTATTAGAAACTTATTATGAGGTTCTAATAAGTGTCAGGATGGCCGAGCGGTCTAAGGCGCCAGACTCAAGATTTATCATCTTCTCGATTCCCGAATCGAGCACATGGGCGTTCTGGTCCTCTCTGAGGGCGTGGGTTCGAATCCCACTTCTGACAAACGTTTTGCTTGTTCACTTCATGAGTCAAATCGAACTCTGTACGTGAAAAGATTGGAAATGTAATCCGTAATTTTTTTTTAATAACAATTAATCAAGTGATAAATGTTACTACTGAAAAATTAATTGAATCAAAAGCTTATTTCACAGATGTTGAAGTTTTTGATGCAGAATGTAAAATTTTTTTATCATTATTCTCTAGATAAAGCATTAAATAAAACAATATTTAAAGTCTAGTACTGCAAGTAGCTGTAGTGTGTTACGTATCTTGTGATTGATGGGCAACAGAGCATGTAATAAAAAACTATCGGTGCAGGGTCGGCCTTTTATACCGGTATATTACAAAACTGCGTAGTTGCGGATTTACTTCTAGCAATAAATCTTGTATCTTTGTTAACGTCAGTGCTACCGTAACTCATTTTTATTCTATTTACCCAAAAAATTACAGTTCAGATACAAATGTCATCCCTGTCCGTACGATAAAATATTTCTCGATCGATTTTCGTGATATTTCTCAAATGTAATGACCTACTCGCACGAAATAAAACGGGAATAGCAGGTTGTCGGCTTTGAAATTGTGACTACAATTTTTTGAACAAATCGCCGAAAAATTTCATTCTATTTGTTCTTAAAATATTTACTTGTTATCAATTTTAAGAGCCTGACTTTAGCGCGCTGCGCGCACTCTCTTCTTTCTTATCCCATTTAAAATCCCATGATAAATTGATCACGTTAAAAATCTCATCCCTCTTATAGGATACGATTAGACAATTTCATATTAAAAAAGTTTTAGCAAAATTTAATTTGAAATTTGATACTTTTCAAGATAAACAACATATATTATTTAAAAAAAACGTTAATATACAATTTTAGCATTAAAAACAAAATGAACAAAAACAAAACTTTTCATTATTCAAGTATTTACTGAGACTTTTAATTTTCCATTATTAAATCCCATTGAGTTTGACTTGATTTTTACAAAAAATTTTGTGCTTTGACGTTCGCTGCTGCGAATACCGTCGATCGTGCTAATTTAAATGTTGACAAAAAAGTCGCTAGAAAAATTTCCTACCTGGGGGCGACATTCGTATCTAGACTGTCAACGAAAAAAGGTAACCAGAACATAAAATTTTGACGAGAATTGAATTTTTATGGTTTAAACTTTAATTATGTACAAGATAAATAATCAACATTTTATTAAAATTAACTTTCATGAACTGAGGAAATATTAACTTGTAAAAGTTACCAAAAACATTTTAATTCTAAAACTTATTTTCAATAAAAAAAGCAATACTGCATTTGCAATTTATTAGTGTAAGACAACGCGGGTACATAATTCGCAAACTCAAGGGATTCAACTTTTTAAAGGTCATTTTGCCCAGAACGCGTCATACCCAATGTATAGAAATTCATGTAATTTTCTCGACCGATGCCCAATTTACTAGTTTTTATTATTAACGGTCTCATTCGTTCGATCGTTCGCTCATTGTATGTTTACGCGCACAGCCATACATAACACACCCTCGACACAATCGAATTATATTACGTCTGCTGACCGAACGACTGGAGCCGAGATAAAGTCCGATCGTGTAACGGATATCTTCGATTCGAGCGATGTGTGTTGTTCTATGATGCGTGCGCGCTGCTCCTCGTCCATGTGTGTAGGTATACATCATAACGAAGTGTGCGTATATACCAGTCGCGGCCGTCCTCCTCTCACGTGGTTTTTCGAATACAACACACACAGTTTTTTTTTTCACACAAGACAAGAATGATACGGACGTTGAGCGACGCGATCAATTCATTGTTGGAAACTCCATGTACGTATATAATATAATCTACGAATTTCTCCTTGCTCTCGTAAGTTACAAAACATTTGCTCAGTCTCGGCTTTGACGTTTATACGAAACGTATTTAGGTCAGAAAATAAGTGTATAGTGCCATTTATTCTGTACACACACACGAACGCGCGGTGTGCACCTAATATACGCATTACGCACACGCGTTCGCCGTTCAAGGTTCTTGTTTTTGCGCTCGCCGGTTCAATTCGAATCGCGAATCACTCCGACAAACGTGTGCAGAACAATTTGTACATTTTAGATAGTGCCTCTGCTCGAACAAATATTAGAAATCGGTGTGAAAAGAGGATGTCCCGAGCCGAAGTTACGTGAAGCAGCTAAAGACAAAGAATCAATAGAAACAAAGAACGATTGGGCCCCAGGTGTCGAATGACAAGTTAAAAATTCAAAATCGTAACGGATTTCGACTAGTGAGAATTTTGAATCTACGACCCGTACAAAGTGTAGCTTCGAATACATATGTAGATAGCTGCGTTCGTATTAAAGCTCTCTCCCTAAAAATCGAAGGACACGAATTAATCGGCAAATTGCGAAACTTTTCGACTATCCTACGGATCAAAAATATTTTTTCTCTCTAAAGAATTCGACTGACAAGAATAATGTCGAGTTGGCGTTGATCGTGAATAATACGGCAACTTTCAACGAGATAATAAGCGTACATTATCTGTGCTGCATATTTTATTTGGAGTGTTTATAAGAGCAATAAATAATGCATGTGTGTACAATTGAAGATGCGAGCTCGGCGAACGACGACGACGACGATGACGAAGACACGACGAAGAGCAGCATTGCCGGCAACTGGCGCCTCTATGAACGGTAAAGAGAAGAAAAAAACACACACACCGCCGCTGCTGCTGCCGCCGCCGGCTCCTCTCGCCGCCCCAACAACGCGCATACAATATTGCGCGCGCTCGCGATCCTACTCCGCAACTCTGTTTTTGCAACTACAAAGATACAACTCGAATATATTCAAACCAAAGCTCGGCAGCAGCTATTACAAAACTCGCACACGGACGCACACTTGCGACTTCGTGTACGCAGGAAAAAAAAAAATTAACGAATCTCCCTCCCAGCGCCAGGATTGAGAGCGACGAAGTCAGCCCGTAGCCGTGTGTGTGTGTGTGTGTGTGTTTCGTGCTTTTGCACTCCTATATATCGCAATTCGCGCAGTGCAGTAGACAGAGAAAGAAAGAGAGACAGAGAGAGCGCGCGAAAGAGAAAATGGCGATGCCCGTGGCGATGCTGCGTGCGCGATAGACTCCGGCCACTCGCCAGTCTCACGAGACGATATAGTGCTCATCTTTGGCGCTTAGTGCCTCCGACAACGCAGCCAGTGCGTTTTTTAATTTTGTAAAAAGTACCGACTGATGTTACTAACGCGTCTTCGACGCAGAGTATTCTTCAAGTGCCATTACTTGTGCTTAGACGATAACAGTTATTGCTTTTGACACCGATAGACGACCTTAGAACGAAGCATCTCGAGACATCAACTCGAGACATAAACAACGCACCCCATCGCGCTCTTCATCCTTGCTGAAATCTTCTTTTTTGCCGCAAGGTGCCTCCGGTGCGCGGGAGCCAAGATACAAGCAGACGCAGCTAGTAGCGCACACCTCCACCCTCGCGGCTCGCCATCGTCAGATTGAGAGAGAGAGCGAGAAAGAGAGAGAGAGAGCGCACAATTGTACTCTCGCAGCAAAGCGTCGCTTTTTTTCTCGATAACTTATATTTTCCTAATCGTTACATTGTTATCGTGTGCGGCAGCAGACATTTTCGTGATCGCATCACAATAATAGAGGGACTGGAAGGCGACTTTTGCGTTTTACATTATACACCCGTGTATAAGTACATGTGCATAACGCTTATACCACTGCCTAATATTCTCGTGTTTGCATAGAGGTTACTGCATTCTATAACACTCCACTTCGTCACCGGCATACATTTTCTCAGATATTATCGCTCGTCAAAACAAGGAGCAGCGCACGCAAAAACTCAAAACTTGGTGTTATGTGCTGGATGAGGACAGTCAGCTATCTGTGATATAAATATATTTTCTACTCAAGGTTTTATTCCTTAACTCCACCACGGAGACTGAAATCTTGGAAACTGCCAGCAGTGGAGACAGTGAGCTCCTCGCTGCTGACTGTACGACCAACATGGACTGTGGAGAAACATCAAGTATGATTTTTGATACTGTTCCTTCAAGCTCTTCACTTAATCAGAACAGAAGTTAATTTTATATTATTGTCATAACAGAAAAAGCTTTGTTATGATACAGCATTTGAGAAGTTGAAAATTAACATTTAATCATTATCTAAAACCATGCCAATATGTGGCTAATTTCTTAACTGTATGTTGTGATTGATAATTATGAGGACCTAAACTTTAAAAATGTTATTGTCAAGACCTAACAATACTTTTTCATACTTTCAACCCAATATAATCTGGTTTCATTTCATTCACAAATATACTGGATAAAATATTAGTTCATCTTTGAAATAAACTGATGTTCTTTTCAATGATCTAAAGAGTAATTTTTTCTAAGGCTTTTAAACAAACTATTATTCATCACAAAAATAAGATATTTAACCTTCATATTAAGTGCTTCAGACTTTCTGTAAATTCTAAAAATAATATTTTTTTCAATGATTTGTATGTTTTAGGTAATGGAGATATTCAGTGGAGTTTCTCACAAGTAAAGGGAACCTTAGAAGATGATGTCACAGAAGGTACTTTAATGCACTTTTACAAAGCTTAAAAAACTTTCATACAAACCTTTATCTTATCTACATTAATGCTCTAAAAAAACTGTCCCCATTCTGGTCATAAAACATATAACGCACTATTAGATTATTCACATTCTTTAAAAATGAATATTTAACATTTTAAACACTTAATAATTCATATTTTTTAAATTAATATTTTTTGTTTCTGGAAAAAAGTATACTCATGAAATTTTTTTAATTGCAGCTGACATTATCTCTTGTGTCGAATTCAATCATGATGGTGACCTCTTGGCAACTGGAGATAAAGGAGGCAGGGTTGTCATTTTTCAAAGGGATGCACTTGTAAGTAAACCATTTTTAATATCATATAACATGCGCAAAAGTTTTTTTTCTCAATCTAATCATAATCCAATATGTTTATTGAAATTCTTTGATAAATATTACTTCAAAATTCATACCAAGCAATCTAAATATTAACATTTTTTTTTACAGAGTAAAACAATGATTCCTAGGCGAGGTGAATACAATGTGTACAGTACCTTCCAGAGTCATGAGCCTGAGTTTGATTATCTAAAATCTCTAGAGATTGAGGAAAAAATAAACAAAATAAGATGGCTCAAAAGAAAAAATCCAGCTCATTTCTTACTTTCAACTAATGACAAAACTATCAAGCTCTGGAAAGTCAGTGAAAGAGACAAGCGAGTTGAAGGTTACAATACTAAAGAAGAAAATGGTTCAATTCGTGATCCATCGTGTATCACTGCCTTGCGGGTTAGCTATAATAATTTTGCCATTGCAATTGTTACTATCAGAATGCAAACAATTTTTCATATTTTATAATTTTCTCAGGTACCTACCATAAAGCCAATGGAACTGATGGTAGAAGCTTCTCCTAGAAGGATATTTGCTAATGCACATACCTACCACATAAACAGTATAAGTGTCAACAGTGATCAAGAAACTTATCTCAGTGCTGATGATCTAAGGATCAATTTATGGCATCTTGAGATAACAGATCAAAGTTTTAGTATCCTTTTAATGATTTCATGAACATATATTTACAGTCTATTTTTTTTATACTTCATTTTTTTTTTTTATGATCCTTTTTTTTAAATATTGTTAATATTTTTCGAGGTAGTTTCCTTAACATTTTTTTAGACATTGTTGATATTAAGCCTACGAACATGGAGGAATTAACTGAAGTGATAACAGCTGCAGAGTTCCATCCTGTAGAATGCAACCTATTGGTCTACAGCAGTAGCAAGGGTACAATACGCTTATGCGATATGAGATCGGCAGCACTTTGCGATCGTCATAGTAAATTATTTGAGGAACCTGAAGATGCTAGCAATAGAAGCTTCTTTTCAGAAATAATTTCTAGTATTAGCGATGTTAAACTCAGCAATTCTGGGCGATACATGATCAGTAGAGACTACCTAAGTGTCAAAGTTTGGGATTTGCATATGGAAACAAAACCTATCGAAAGCTATCCTGTAATTATTATTTTTCAGCATTCTTTATCTTTAACTGCATAAATTATTAAAACTAAAATCTTTTCAAATGTTCCAGGTGCACGAGTATTTGAGAACAAAACTGTGTTCATTGTACGAAAATGACTGTATCTTTGATAAGTTTGAGTGCTGCTGGAGCGGCAACGATTCGGCCATAATGACTGGTTCATATAATAATTTCTTCCGTGTTTTCGACCGTTCAACGAAACGAGACGTTACTCTTGAAGCATCACGTGATGTCGCTAAACCTAAAACATTATTAAAACCACGCAAGGTTCGTTCTGGGACAATCAATATTTTATTACAACTTCCAACTTTCAATGCATCGAAATAATTTCCATTAAATTATAATAATAAATGTACTGATTGCACGTTTTAGGTCTGTGCCGGTGGGAAACGCAAAAAGGATGAGATTAGTGTAGATTGTTTGGATTTCAATAAGAAAATTCTGCATACGGCATGGCATCCTCATGAAAATATTGTTGCGGTGGCGGCCACAAATAATCTTTTCCTGTTTCAAGATAAACTCTAGCATATTTATATGCAAGTACATATTATTTAAATGTCTCTAAAGAAAGAACGTTTCATGTAATGAATATATTTAAAGACTTTATCTGACTTTACAGATTATTCAACGTTACATACTGACATAAGCGTTACGTGTGAGGTATGAAAAAATAAACAAGCAGGTAAGACAGGTTAAGTGAAGAAGCTGCTGGTAACATGAATGTTCCGGTAAACACGACAAGAAAAAAAGTATGGACGAGCGTCAGCTTCATCATATCACCGATCGTTGACTGACTGATGAAAGTTATTACGCGAAACCTTTAAGTGAAGCACCAGCACACCAGGGGGTAGTGTAAAAAAAAAGAAAAAAAATACAAAAAGAAAAAAAAACAAAACACCATCATTCAAAAATGGAGAATTTAAGATTGCCACATGAGTGAGCGTCAATAAAAGTCAAGGGACACATTTAAAAAATGCGATCTTTACGTCCATTATCATACATAATCTACTACGCTAGTTACAACATTGATATACGTGAACATAGTACTCGTCTTTATACAAAAAAGTTGTAATACACATTCTATGGACTTTATAATCTCTTAGAGAATAACTTGTTAAGATATGTATATATGTTGCGAAAAAACTCAAACTTTTATCTTGAGGTCATCAAATTATAAAGAAATAGTTAAAATCGAGATAGTTCGCTGTGCGGACAAAATCGAGTTCTGTAACGACGATCTAAAACTGAACTTTCTGAGAAAGAGAGCAAAGATTGTAAAATCGATTTGTTTACCTTATCTTTGATTTATAATAAAGTTTCTAGCAATTTTCCAATTGAGTGTATGTATGATACGACTTTTTTTTAAAACTTTCTCGGGAGATTGAAAAGAGCGATCTTATCCAAGTGAAAGTGAACCCGAATGGATTATTATATAGAAAAATTATTGCTTGATTCATTTGAATAAAATTTCATCAATGATGAGGTGTATAAATTCTATAATTTTTATCGTTTATTGTGAAATAATGTTAATTATGAATTAACATCTAAAGTGCATCAGTTTTAATTATTTGCATTTCAATGGCGATAGGAATGCCATTATGCTATTGGACGTAGAGAATCGATTATTTTCGATACAAAACAGAATAAAAGAAACAAACATGAAACATTTTTGACCGAGTACTTTTAACATATTGTTATGAACTTTTTGAATAATTATTGCGAAACTCCCTTGAAGAATTTTAATCTGTAATCTGTAAACATTTTTAAAAAGCCCTAATACTAGGATGTGATGATTTTAGTAAAACAATGTATTTGTCATATTTTTTAAATTCTTTCTTAATTTTGATCACCTAAAATTATTAACGGAATACTAATATTATTACCAGACGTTATTAATGCAATTTCTTTATGTATCAAATTCGAAGTATGGTTGCACACGACATCTATAAAAAAACAATAGTCTGAAATAATTAAAAGGATGAACCTTTGAATAATTGGCCATAAGCTCTGGTAATTAGTAAAATTCTTAGAACGGAACCATGTATTTTCACGTTCTCTTAAAACATGTAGTAATATCATTTCAAGAATGACTTTAAACACAGCCAACATTGGCCTGAAATCTGCAATAATTACGCAAGAATTTTTTAAATGAATCGTTCATTTATAGCTCTCACAATCTTAAATTTCAAATGAAATAAAATTAAATTGGGAGTTTGAAATAACACAAAATTGAACGTTCAACAACGGTTGTATTTATTATGTAGATAATGTATGTACCAGTCATAAGACAAAAATGTTCGGTTCACAAATGTGTCATGTTTTAAAGCTTTTGTAGTTTAATAAATGCCTCACATATTATAAATCAAAATAATTAATTGTATGATATTGACTTGTACATAGAAATGGTAAATTTTTCAAAAAAAAGTAATAATAATAACAATGACTGTTGTTTTGTGAAAATTTAAAACATGATTAGTTTCTTAATCTCTCTTATAATTCGCCTTAATAGCATTTTTGTTATTGTATGTACTGACCATAAAAAAGAATTACATCGTAAATACATAGTATGAAAACCATGCAAGAATTACTGTTCTGAAGATTGTGTGTAATGTTGCTTTTTATCGTAGATTAGCTTAATTTTTCATCAGCGTGTGAATAAAATAAAATTAAGCATTAATAGAGAAATCCCGTTGTCTTATGAATTAAAATAAAATACCTTTCTATGAAAAAAAAACTAAATTATGTATGTGTACAGTAAAAAAGCAATCAAACTCAATTTTATAAAAAATTTTTATGAAATTGTATTGGTCAACATTAAAATAAGTTGTAATGTCTATTAAAAAGAAAGAAAAATATGCATTTTGTTTTGAATCTTTGGTAAAATGATTCTTTCTCATTTTTCTTTCAATCATTGAATGTGCTAAAAAGAATTCTTTTGCAATACAGATCCTTTGAGTATTTTCTAAGTTCTGAAACTAGTTAAGTTAAGTACAATTTCAATCTCATATTATTGAATAACACCATGAAAAAGAACAATTTTCAACATAATATTTTGCTGAAAAGTTTTTGGCATAGAATGAGACGTATGACCAACTAAAAATCTAGTAAAAGTGTGTTGTAGATTTATTCTACAATAAAACTTTTTATTCATATATACAACTGAAAACATCATAAACTTAAGTTTATTTTTATTGCTTACGTCAAGTAATACAGATTAACAGCAAGAGGCCATAAATATAGAAATAAATAATCTATGGACACTAGAATATTACACATATGATATAGTTTTTGGCTCGCACGCAGGACCTGTTTTTATTGTGATAAACTATGGTATGAAATAAGTCACGATGTAGCCAGCATATTGAAACCGAGTTGTGTATTTTTTATCGTAAGAAAAATCTTCATCCAAATAACCGGCGCCTTATGAATGAATTATAAGCGTAGTGAAAATATTAAGCATAAGTCTTAGATTAAAATGTTTAATGAAAACATGCGCAGGCGGCTAAAAAAGTAAGATCTTCCGATTATAACTTATGCTAAAAAAATAGATTAAAACAACGGAAAGTAAGTGAATAAAATAATTGTTAAGTAATATTGAATCATTGAAAGACAACAGATCATAGAGCAGTTCAATCCAAGTGAATTAAGTTTGTTACTACATGATCTTGTAAGATGCCATAAACAGCAGCAGTGATCAAATGGAAATGATATTATTTCATAACACACAGTCTAATATAGAATTTGTGACAATTATGCACAAGCGATTTGTAAGAATGTGAGAAAGTATGATCTCTTTAAATAATTGTATGTGAGATAAAGAAATAAGTTTTTTGAAGTATTCAAAGACAAGCAAAAGAATACAAATAAAATTTATAAAAAAAATGCACCATTTTTCATTAATTTAAAAATAACTTATTCATTATTTATTTTTACTACTAACATTTGTACAGACATATCACATTCAATAGAATGCTTGTGAAAGATTATAAAAGTGTAATGTTTTTTTGAGATCCATTGGATGTTTTTATGCAGATTTCATCTTTTCACTGTCATAAGGTTTTATATCTTCTTCATCGTAATCAACATTTAAAAGATATAGGCCATGAGGCTTAGCTGGTTGGATTTTATTTATGAATTGGTGATGAGAAGGAACTTGAAGCATTGTAATTATATCTTCTTCACTTATCCTGTTGAGTCCTAATGCAAAAAGAGTTCCAACTATTCGTCTTATTTGGTTGTACAGAAATGATTTAGATTGGAAAGTTAAATGCCAATAAGAAAAATTTTGTGATAATGGATCCATTGGCATGAGAGGCGTAGCTTCTTCTATTCTCAAATCTAATGTTTTGACGTATCTGCGTTTGAATTCTTCCTTTTCCCAGTAAAGTTCTTTTTTCACTGATCGAGCACTAAATGTCATAAAATCCTTGGTTCCTTTAAATAATTCTAAACCGTTTTTAAATCTCTGCATATCAAAATTATGAGGATACGGGTGGAAAAATAAGGATCGATTATGCTCAGAAATTGGGAGACGTTGATCGGTAACATCTTTTGGCATGCAAAATCTATACAGGTAAGTCCTTGTTTTTGCTGAGAATCTTGCATGAAACTTTGGGTTTACTTCATAACAAGTAAATACTCTTATCTCATGACCAGTATTAATTAAGTATCTGTTCATCAATTGAACTAATTTTTTATTATAGTCTGGATACTTTTCTGATGTATAATTGTGTTGAATGTCAATGTGAGCAGTCATATTTAACGCATGCACACCTGCATCTGTTCTTCCAGCCATAACAATATTTGGAACATTTTTATGATTAAGTCGTGACAAAGAACTTTCTAAGGCACCTTGAATTGAATCCACATCTAAAACAGTAGAACCAGCATGCTTTTGTGAACCTCTATATTGGGTTCCCAAGTACGAAAATCGTATCAAGTATCTCCTTGTAGTCATTTTTATAACTGTACAAACTAATTATTTGGTTTTATTTTATTAATACATGAATGTATCTCATGAATTTATAATTTTTTTTTTCTAAAAAAAAACTACATATAAAAAACGCACCATTTAAGCATACGAATACGTGTATGCTTATTTTCAAATGTGACTTGCCGACAGTACACGAGGTTAAACTATGTATTTGAATGAGGCTGCGTAGCAGACATCATTTTAGCAGACAGCTTTTACTTTGAAATTCCAATGCATGCAATGCATCTAGTCAATCTATTGCCATTTGCCGTTCTAAGTTTTTATGTATTTACATTACAACTTTACATTCAAAATTGGACACAAGAGTTTTTACTCATTTTATGTACTTTCAATATCTTTTCCGTCGTATTTTATTCCGAAAAGATACAAACCATGAGGTAAAGCTGGATCTATACTTCTGTTCCAATTATGGTGTCCAGGAACTTGCAACATTGTCATTATTTCCTCTTCACTAATTTTATTTAAGCCTAAAGCAAATAAAGTACCCACTATGCGCCTGATTTGATGGTAGAGATAAGATTTTGATGTGAAAATGAAGTTCCAATAAGAAAAATGTTTTGATAATGGATCAACCGGTAAAAGAGGTTGAGCTGGTTCTAATTCAATATTCAAAGACCTTACGTAAGTTCTACGTCTTTCATATTCAATTTTATTTGTTGATGGAGCACTAAAAGATTTGAAATCGTGGGTTCCTCTAAATAAATCTAAGCCCCTCCTCATTCGTTCAAAGTCAAATTTATGTGGATTTGATCGTAAGTGCAAGGTCCTGCTGTATTCTGAAATAGGTATCTGACTAAACGTTGGATCATTAGCCATTAAAAATCTGTACACATAAGTCCTTGATATTGCAGAAAATCTAGCGTGAAAATTAGAACTTACTTCATAGCAAGATAGTAGCCTAATTTGATGTCCACAACCGAGTAAGAATTTGTTTGATTCTCGAATAAAATATTGTGTATCTATAGGTTTTTCCAAATCAAAATGAGCTGTTGAACATAATGCATGAACCCCAGCATCTGTTCTTCCAGCCATGATTAACGATGGAGCTTTGAATCTTTTTATTTTTTGAAAAGAACTTTCAATAGCCCCTTGCACAGTATCAATATCCATCAAAGCCTTATTGCAACGTCTTTGTGACCCTTTATAATGAGTTCCAATGTAAGAAAAGTTTATAGCGTATCTTGTCATTTTCATAACTTGATATGTTTATTTTCTTTACAAATTATGTATCATTTTATTTTAGAGTTTTGAAATTATCAGATATGCAAACTACTGCATAAATTTAAAACATCAAAAATATAGCTACTGGTACTTTACTTCTTAATTTAAAAATTCAATTAACACTGCAAACAAATATATGCGAAAGGTTACTTTTAAAACGCAGTGTGTGCGGAGAGCAGACGATTTTTTAAAACCATGTGCGCATCCATAACAATTGACAGGCCGCGCGCGCATCGCTCGTTTTATTTACATAAGTTACGTTACAAATCGTGGGGATATTTAAACTCTTTAAATGACATTTCGAGCAGTCTATGGAAAGACGAGTCATATAAAGAGTTGGGAATTTCCACGAAGGCGTGGATTCGGTACAAATTAATAATTTTCTATATATCTCTACGGTTATTAGGGGTTTTGTGTATAAAAATGAATAATTTATCTCGAGTAGTAATGCAATAAGAACAAATTAAAAACGTCCAAGTGTGGTTGGGAAGTTTTTTCACTTTCAACATGGTGTTTGCTTTAATTTGACTGGACTGCAATCCAAAATTTGTTCGTTCAATCGACACAGAATAGAGTCGTGTTGAATTCGTTAAGTATTAGAAAGTGTAAATCCAGCGAATCAGGGGCGTGGCCTATACTTGGCCGTGTACCACTGTTATTGTTACCGCTACGTTATACAATCAGGCGGCCCGCGCTACGCTGAATTTAAGATTACCGTTAGTTCCTGTTTTAGAGTCATTTGCATACTCTCCAATTGGAGATATTGTAACTTATGTTTATAGTCAGTACACATTACGAGGTTGCATCGTGAACACCTCTGCGAAGATCATCGCATCGGCTGCAGCCCAAGTGATTCTCGAGCAGTGAATAAAATTTACTCGTTAATAAGTTGAGTATCCGTACAAGTGCGTGAAAAGATGGTCGACGACGGTTGCAGCCAATTTTTAGCTGATTTTTCTAATTACGATTTCTCCGATGAAAGCATCAACGATTCCCCGGCGGGCCAAGAAAGCATAAAAATATTGAAGACAATGCTGAAAAAGTTCAATTGGACGAACGACGAACAGTTCAATTGGAATAACGAAAGAAAGCGACGCTTATTTTTCTCTAAATTTAGTGTATTAATCAGAGCTTGGAGGGGCCGACTTCCAGATCTTCAGGAGATGTTTGGACAGAAAGGAATGGATTGGTTGCTCAAGAAGGCCATGAAGATGGATTTCACGGATTTCGTGAGGTTCGTGGTAAGCACAGGATACAAAGACAAGCCGGAGCTCGACGAAGACGGCAAGCCGTTGTCGCGTCGCAGCACACCGCTGCATTTGTACGCCTCGGGGCCCTGGTTCGATTTCAGCGGTACGATCGTCCACGAGCTTTTCAAGATTTACGACCGATTCGAGGTGAACTGCACCGACGAGTCCGGTCAGTCGCATTTCCACGTGGCCTGTATGGCCGGCTGCGAGCACGTCGTGAAAAGATTCCTCGAATTCGGGCAGGATCCCAACGTCCTCGCGCGAGAGACGGGCAACTCGCCGCTGCACTTGGCTCTGGCTTACGGCCGCAGGCAGGTGGCCAAATTGCTGCTGCGAAACGGCGCGGATCCCAACCGGGCCAACGCCAAGGGATTGAGACCTCTGCACGTCGTGGCGTATCACATAGTGGACAACGACATGGCGGATATGCTGTTCGATCACGTCTGCGATCGACAACGCCGGGTGCAGGTCGACGCCCGGGACAAGTTGGGCAACACGGCGCTGCACGTGGCTCTGCACCACGGCAAGGTGGCCGTGACCGAGTCGCTGCTGAGACGCGGCGCCAGTCCGAATCTGGCCAACGACGCAGGCTCGACCGCTCTGCATTTCGTTTGCCAGAGAAGCGAGGACGACGACGACGGCGGCGGCGGCGGCGGCGGCGGCTGGCTGGAGAGGTTCCTCGACATCGTCGACGGCCTCGGCGAGACCTTGAGGGTCGACGCCCGGAACAAATTGGGCCGGACACCTCTGCACTACGCCGTGGCCAAAGGGCACAGAGTCAGGGTCATTCGAGAGCTGCTGAGAAGGGGCGCCGATCCCAACGCGGCCGACGACGAGGGATCGACACCGCTGCATATCATTTGCCAGAAACAATGGAACGATAATATGGTGGAGATGTTTTTCGAAATCAATAAAGAGATCGATAAGCTGGTGGACGTCGATGCCCGGGATAAGCAGGGCCGGACACCGCTGCAATGGGCAGTGGCGAGTCTGTTGCCGAATACCGTCGATTTTCTGTTGAACAACGGTGCCGACCTGTCGAATTTCGTTTTTCCCACCGGAGATTATTTTTGCAAGAGATTCGACCGAAACAATCGCAATTGGGATCAATTGAGTTTGGCATCTGGCGCTCTGGCCGTCGTCGAACACCTCGAGAGCCGACAATACGATCTAAACCGAAGCGACGTACTAACGATCGTCCAATTGTTCGTCGATCACGGATTGTTCGAAAAGTCGTCGGATCTCGAGGCGTGGACCGATTGGCACGACGGCAAGGAGTTCGAGCGCCAAGCCAAAGGGATCGCGATCGTTCCCGGCCTGTCGCTCTACGAGCTGATCCAGCTGCGACCCGAGGAGGAAGAACGACGACTCAGCTACTCGGACTATTTCCGAGTCAAGCGATCGAAGAACTTGAACAAGATTCCCGTGACGTATCGAGGCGCGTGCTTGAGGCACCTGTGCGAAAAAATGTCGAGAGGATACTTTCGACGGTTGGCGCTGGATCCTTTGCGGGAGTTGACGCGTCACCGGCTACCGATTCTCTGCTACGAAAAAATCATCGACGAGTTGAACAACGAGGATTTGTTGAGAATATGTCTGGCGAACAAAGTCGTCGCGAAAGAGAGCAAAGTCAAATGATGTTCGCGAAGGTATTTTACCTTTTCTTATTCTTTTTCATCATACCACCCCGAATGATAATTTTCATTAATTTTTCTAAACTTTATACTTTTTTTTCAGGCAAAGAAGTTGAGAATTTATAAATTGACCTATCCAATTTGAAATATTTTTGTCACTGCGTGTAAGCTTTAAATTATGTATATAGCAATGTAAAATTTTAAAACACGATAATAAAAATAATAAAATGAATTGCGTGAACAATAAAGCTTGAAAACTCGTTTGAAAATTTTAATTTTGGGCTGGGTTCCGGACCCCCGATATTCAATCGTCGTTAATTCCGCATCGATTTACTTTGAAAAAATTTGCTTTACACTCGACAAGAGCCTCGATCTCAGTGTGCTAAATGCATAATGCCGCTCCGACCGTACGATACCTAACAATTTTCAAAATTCAAAGCGCCTACTCTTACGCGAACCGCCAATAAACACTCGCACAGCTAGTCGCGCTTAAATTTCCGCACGAAATTTCACACTTTTTTACTCTGACAGGCCCGAATTAACAGTAAACAAATGAAGGTTAAGATGAGAATATCTTTTTGCGAATCGTTCTGTTATTGAAAATGTAAGTTTGTGTACGGGCATAAATGACTTATTGCACGTCTGTCTTTGGGTACAGTCATTCACTACATCACAGCCCCGAGAAAACGTGTAGTACATACTACACTGCTGCGGGCTCCCCTAGTCGTTCTCACGCTGCTTTCTCACTTGCGCGTGTCTGTTCGATGCAGTACAAACACGTACACACACTTGCTGTCGCCGTCTCTCACTCGGTCGCTCGTTAACGCAAGTGCACCTTAGGTGCGAAATCGTAATATATACACACACACACTACTGCAGCAGCAGCAGCAGCCAAAACGTCGCTACTCGGCCGTTAAACCAGTGCGTCGGGCGAATCGCCCCAGATGCGAGGCAGTGCGGTGCAGCCGAGCCAAAAGTCATCGCGATTCTTGCACACTACGAAAATCTGATATAAGTGATACATAACCAACAATTGCCAAAGTCGTTGCTGTCGATACTCGTCGCCGCCGTCATCGTCGTCGTCGTCGTCGTTACGCATACGACAATTTTCTATTGTCGCTAATGTCAAGTCTTCGTATGCATCTTTAATTTTGCAACTGACGTGTTGTTTTGTCACTCGAATCGACAGTTTGCAGCAGTTCACACGACTGCGATATACATACTGTTACCCGAGCAAGTCAACGGAGTAGACGTATCAGCTATGCGCCAAAACGAGACGGCCAATCTTAATGTAAATTCTTGTCATTACGTAGGAGAAGAATAAAATGCTAATGCGTCGCGTATTGAAACCAATCGAGCTGCGGAAATCCCATCAACTAACAATGTGAATTACAACTGACCGCCAAGATAAAAAAAAAAAAAATTAACAAGTGTCGCGAATGTTCCAAGCGGTAAATGTTGTTGGCGTTGTTGTTGCTGCTTCTGCTGCTAACTGCATAACAAAACGTCTGCTTCTAGCCCCTAAAGGTGCTCCAGTTTTTCTTTTTATAAAAAATCAAATTACGCCGCTTTTTATTTATTCTATTGCTCTGCATGCTCGTCGAAATATTTTCCTTTTAATCTTGAAATTTTTACATCTGAGTAAACTTTAATCATCTTTAATATTCCAATTACATTATTCTATGTTTTGGCTAAAAATTTCGTTTTTATTTCAGCTGCTGAATACACACATTGTGGAATTTTCTGGATGTCTTAGTTTTTCACAAACTAGTTAAATTTTTAATTATACAAAATGGAGATTAGAATTCACAAGTTTTTCAGCATTTTGATGAGAGTGCCACCAATATTTGTCATTGACACATTACTCAAAGTAGGCCTGGGTACTTCAAATGAACCCTTGGTCTATAATAGTACAGATGATGGTTTTCAATTGGTAGATAGTCAAAATGATTTTTTTGAAACAGTTGCAACTGCTGGAAATTCAGTGTTTAGTAATCAAGTTTTGTCTGGGTCTCAGATTACAAACGATTTAAATTATGGACCCCTAAACTTTATTTTAGATCTTAAATCCATTGGATGTTTTCTTGGTGAGTAATTTTATGTTATTGATAGTTTTAATTTGAACCTGATTATTCACTAAGTGTTGTTTGATTTGAAAAGACGCAGTAAACCCAAAACAGCAAAGTAGAGTCAATGCTAATTTTTGTCAGTGTACTAATGTTATTATTTCTTCGTGTGTTATAAACATAGGTAGCCCCCACTAAAATACATTAATAATTTCTCGTTGTAACAGAATTAAATGACTTACTGTACATGTTATTAATTCAGAAAATAATAATAATTTTAGATTTTTAAGTCATCTATTCACAAAAAATAACTTGTTTTATACTTTTGAAAATATTGTAATCGCAAACATTTTTTTTGAAGTGTGAAATGTGTGTACAAATTCGATCAAGTTTTAATGAGATTTTTAAAACAATTTGTTCACAGGTTGTATAGCAGCATTTTGTATCTTTTTACTTTGGACACGACATCTCTTGATAGTGTACATTTACTTAGCATCTTTGGCATGCCTTTTTCTTTCATATACATGCAACTCATTTACAATGAATGCGGTCATATCTTATATGGAAGCAGATAATACAGGGATCGGACTTTTTGCTCTATTAACCAATCTTCAGCTATCAGATTTGTGGAATGGTCCAGGATGGCTAATTTTTGCAAATTATTTTTTCCAAATAGCTTTAGCTGTAGTATTCTATGGATTGTATAATGGGCCAAAACATCCTATGTTACAGTATTTTATTATTTTCTGTTTCTCAGTGCCATCATACTTTGTAGTTTATCCTGTTCCTGTAAGTATTCTTTGCATATAAAAATTAACATTTTTAATGAAAAAATCACAAAAAATAACTTGATATTTTTATTTCAGGCAAGCTTCATGCTAAAAGCCCCTCCAGTTGCAGCTTTTTTCCCTTTAGCCATAAACATCTTTTGGCTATGTTACAATGCCTTTGAAATTTGGAGAACAATTTATCGTGGCTATGATCTTCTGCGTAATTTTGTTTCTAACTATGGACTTTCAGCTTTATTTGAAACTCAATGGGCTCGTCTTCATGTTCCATCAGTGTTACGAACTTTTTGGCTCTTACGCGTCTCGTGGCAAATCGCGCGGATTCTGTTCTCTGAGTATGAACATGAAGATTTTAATTATTATGACATGATTAAAACGCTCATGGTGAACGGCTGTGAAACAGTAACAGCAGTACTAGGCATGACCAGTGTTATTTCTGTCATTTGTCATTATATTGGTGATTTCTTCCAATGGGTTTTGCTAAATGAAGAAGAAGATGAAAAAAGTATTGGTACTATATCAGCTATACTCTTCTATATTTTAGCCCTTCAAACTGGACTGACATCGCTAGACACAGAAAATAGATTACAAAGACTCTGTAGAAATTTATGCTTACTTTTTACAGCAGTGTTGCATTTTGTTCACAATATAGTTAATCCACTAATGATGTCATTAAGCGCATCACACAATCCAGCATTACATAGACATTTAAGGGCTTTAGCTGTATGTACTTTCCTCATCGTCTTTCCTGTTTGGCTACTTAGCTTCCTTTGGTCACAATATCCAATGACCACTTGGCTACTTGCAGTCTCTGTGTTTAGTATTGAAGTTGTAGTCAAAGTTATTGTGTCACTTGCCATCTATTCGCTCTTCCTATATGATGCTTACCGGAAAAATTTCTGGGATGAGCTGGACGACTGGGTTTACATAATAAAGTAATTTTCTTAAATAAAAATTGTATTATAATTCTCGATACTTACAAAATTAATAATATTAATTTTCAGATCTTTCGGAAATACAATAGAGTTTGCATTTGGCATCATTTTGTTTTTCAATGGGTTTTGGATCCTTGTATTTGAAGCTGGTGGTACGATCCGCGCAATCATGATGTGTGTACATGCTTACTTTAACTTATGGTGTGAAGCAAAGGCAGGTTGGACCACATTTATGAAGCGGCGTCAAGCAGTTAATAAAATTAATTCCTTACCTAGTGCAACGCGTCAACAGCTCATTGATCTTAATGATGTCTGTGCTATATGTTACCAAGATATGGAAAGTGCTAAAATTACCTGTTGTAATCACTACTTCCATAGTATATGTTTGAGGAAGTGGTTATACGTGCAAGATAGATGTCCGTTATGTCATGATATCATGTACAAAGTCAATAATAGTCAAAATGAGCCTGCTGCGGCTGAAGAACCAGTAGAAAACGGGCACAGAATGAATGTTAATAATGAAGATGATTGATCAAATATAAAGGAGTTTATTTAGAGCATGACTTTATTTAATAATAATTACCATGGCCGCTTGTAAATATTTTTACCTGGCTAATAGACAATTTATTAAACCAAGTAAGTGGTCAAAATGAAGACTTCTATTTGTATCCAAGGCGAAGTTTATGGGTCATTGGTGTAGCTGCTTTGTGATATATGTATAAATAATGATAAAGGCAAGCAACGGATGACGACGAATTATAAATATTCAACAATCAATTAATAAAAATTAAGCTTGCGCACAAGTTGGACAAGGGAACATTGTATGTGAGAATGCATGCGTTATAAAACATGAAAAGACTGTCACGATTATGTATACGAATAAGTTTTGGTTTTTATGCATTGCATAAGTGTGTTAAAACATTACCTGCGTCATTTCTTAAATATGATACATTCCGAATAAAATCTAGGAGTTGTAATGTGAAAAAAGCAATTGTACTCTCCAAGTTGAAGCCATTTATTTTAAAAATTTATAAAATATTTCGGTCCGATCATTTTTTTTTCGCTTTAAACGTGAGAAATAATAGGTGAAAATTAATATTATCTACTTTAAGATTAGGTGCGACTTTTTTTGTTTTTGAAAATACGTACATAGTTTTTAATATCTGACGAATCACGATGTCGTATTTAAGACTTCGTCTTCTCTCTAATTTATTAATAATTATCAAAGCTTTTTTTAGGTAGTCAAGCAAATCATGCGTTTAAAACTATAAAAATAAAATATAGGTATGCTCACCCTAATTAAAAAATTTTATTTATTAAATGAAAAAGAGCTAACAGTGGTTGTGACGACGAACTAATCATACGTGAAAAAAATAAATAAAATTTACAAAAAAGCTCAAATAACTATCTGAAAACATTAATTTTAACATCAAGCAAATGAAAATGTTTATAGTTCAACTTAGAAATCAATTATGAGATTATAATTGAAACAAATTTCATTGATATTTAAGAAATGAACGAAATTTATCATAATTTTACGTTTTCTTTCAATTCTTCATATTTAAACGACGTTATTTCATACTTTTCCTTGCATTTCGTACCTCAATTAGGAAGAAATGAATGTACATAAACTCGATTTTTGCTACAATTTGTTGAAAATGTCGAAATTAATAATTGAAGTCATATAAAATTTAAGAAGCAGGCCAAGAATGTCTGTTGAGGAAAAAACTTTAATGTTAAATAATGTTGAGACACGAAGAAACAATTTGAACAGTTTCTCATTGCATTATATAATTTGTAAAAAAATTCATTTTGTTAGTTATAAATCGTTCGTTTAGAATAATGAGTAATACTTATTAAAAACTTTTTTTTATTCTTTAAAATTATTTAACTAGAAAAATATAAATTAGATTGCGTTTGGAACTTAATCGTGTTTCATACTGCGAAGCGCTTTCTCACTGTTATAATTTCTTCTTATTGTACATAGAAGTTTAATTTTAAAATTCATGAATGAGGGATGATTGGCGAGATATCATTCAGATTCATTATAGTTGTGCACTTATATTTGTATGCACAAGAGAAACGTGTGTGATATTTGAACACAAAATGAAGAAAATAGCAATTTTATTTCTTTAATTGATTGAAATATTTTCATATTGTGCTCAATTATTTAACACATTTTCCTTGTAACACGCGCCTGAATGATACCTTGCCGAATAATTTTTGAACAAATACTTACATGATTGTATATTTATCTACGAGTTTTCTTTTGTACATAGATGAAAAATTTGACTGCATACATCTCCAATATCTATTCATATATTATATAGATGTTTGTTTGTAAATATGCTGCGACGAGAACCTGAGAAATTAATATCAAGATAAAAATACAAGATCGGTCAATTATAGTTTAATCTGTAACGAGGGAAAAGGTGCTAAGACTTGTTATGAATAATTTTTGTATGATTTATTATGTTTGCCAATTATTATCGATTCGCATTAACGAAGCATCGTTCTGGGCGAGCCAGCTATTGTACGCTGATTGCACAGTTTTTCTTTTACTTTTAAACATGAATGTTACGTTGATCGAAATGAAGGTTTTTGAAAATATTGCTCAATAAATGTTATATTTTTACGAGAAAAATAATGCGCATTTAATAATTTTACTCATGCATTTGTATCGCTTTGAATTGCAGAACGAAGAATGAAATAATAGGCATTTGCATAGTACATAATTGGAGTTTCAGAATATATCCGGACATCGTCTTCTAATTATAAATATCGGTAAGAAATATCAAGCAGGCTAACCGATCGATCGTAAGAATCACGGAGGAAAAACTCGTCTCATCTCGAGGTCGAAATATCTGCCGGAAGAACGAGTTTAATCTGCAAAATTTCTAATCCCAGCACCGATCGTCAATAAAATCGCGAAGAAATCGGATGAGCATCGAACGTTTTTTTTTCTTTTTTATTTACGATTTGGGTCGAAAAAAAACGCGACTCGAGCTGCCCGCACGGTAGCTCGTAACATATATATTATAATCGGCAAAAAGAAAACGATCGCGCGCGCGGCACGCGTCGAAAATAAGCACGTGTGCATCGCTCCTACGTGTGTATACATGCGCGAGGAAAAGCGCGACTCGCTCGAAAACAAACAACGCGACGCCTCCTATCCAGCGCGCGTAAGCTCTCGCGATATATACTTTTGTCTCTCTCTCTCTCTCTGCGTTTATAACTATTATAACCAGCGCGAGGCAGTATAAGCGACGAGACTTTGCAGTCCGCGCGCGAGCGATACAGTGTGCTTTAAGGCCGTATAGGCGAGAGCGAGCGAGAGTCATACACACGAAGTGTATATAAAAGCGAAGTAGTAGTAAGCGGCGGCGGCGTATATACACACATATATATATATTTTAAAGGAGAAGTGAAAGAGGCTCTCTCCGCATACATATATACACAATATATATACATAAAGGCACAAGCTAAAGCGAGTCTCAGTCGTGCGCGTGCACTCGTTGCTTTTGCAGCACTTTTCTCTCTCTCTCTCGGCTGCAGTATATAGCGGCTATATACACACAAACGCGAAAAAAGACGTCGTCTCCAGCGCGGACCGAGACTCGGCTCTCGCCAAACACGCGCTCGCGCCAGCCCTGCATATAGACACACAGTAGTGCAACGACTGCAGTCTCGCGCCTCTTCGCAGCAGCAGCAGCGACGACGTATATACTTGTATTTCGTTAAATACAAAGGATCGCCCGTAGCAGCAGCAGCAGCAGCAGCAGCGATCCAGGTAAGCGCACCTCGATCGATATTAGCATTAGCGCGTATATCGTTACGGCATTTCGGATGCGGACGATCCGCGGTGATCTGATCCGCGCGAGCTTGCCCCCGCGAGCGCGCGCGCAGCGTCCAGCAGCAGCCAATAGACGAGTCTCGCGGGGGGGCCGCCGCTGCCGATTTCTTTGTCGAGCTTTGTGTATGTGCAGTGTTTTCCTCGTGCCTAGCTGCACGTATACAGCTCGTCGCTCGAACGAGTCTTAATACTTGCTCTCGAGTGCGCTGCCGCGCGCGGCTATATAATGTATATAGCCGTGTCGCAACTCGCGCGGCTCGCAAAATATACGCGTTAACGCTCTCGCAGCACCAGCTCGACCCGACTCCGTATTCGAGATTATGCGAATACACACGTATAGATACGTATTGCACGCGTATAGAAGGCGGCGTCGAGAGTCGAGTATATATACGCGCGACGATAAGAGCCGAGTAAGGTTGCGCGAGCGATTATAATATATGTTACACGCGCACCAAAAGTCGAGCTGCTGCGCGCGTGTTGCAGCGTGATCGTAGCCGCCACAATCGGTGATCGATTTAGGCCTACCAGATCGTAGTGGCTCGATACGGTTTTTTTTGCACTTGGATTTTGTCGAATAAAAAACACGCGAGCGAGGCCAAAAAGGAGGACGAAGAAGATCGCGCGTGCCTCGCCTATATGAGCAATTCTCCAAATGAAACGCATTTTTTGAGGTAGAATCGCGACAAATTTTTTTTTCAACCTACGTGGATACAGACCCCCGGGAAATGTTTTTGGGGGTCCTAGGAACCTGTAACCACGTGGGAACCATTGAAATTTCGATAGTGCTTATTTTTATAGCTACTTTTGTGATTTAGAGGACGAAAAATCATGTTTTCTCGTAAATACGGCTAATTACTCAATTTCTAAGTCGCTGAAAAAGTATCAAAACTCATCTAAAAAAAATAACTGACTACTGTGTTCGATAGGAAATTTTCTCAGCTTTCCAATCGTGGTATCCGATTTTCCGATAAATTGCACATTCACCGAGAAAATCACCATCACACATTGAGGGCTAAATATGTCGAAAAATTCAGTACGGAAAAAGTGAACTTTTTGGATAATTGTTGATTTTTCCTTGTGAAAATGAATTTTATCGAAAAATCTGACTACACCATGAGAAAGCCAAAGAAATTTCCTATCGAAAGCATATCTTTATTTATTTTTTCGGTGGAATTACAATGTTATACATTGGAATTTCTTTCACGTTGTTCGCTGTTTTCTGTTTCCGAGCTGATTCAGCGCGGTCGCGAGGTTTTCGGCTCGCTACAATCAAAACTAGCTCGTAATTCCACCGAAAAAATAAATAAAGATATGCTTTCGATAGGAAATTTCCTCAGCTTTCTTATGGTGTAGTCAGATTTTTCGATAAATTTCATTTTCACGAGGAAAAATCGAAATTAAACCTCAAAGATCACTTTTCCGTACCGAGTTTTTCGAGATATTCAGCTTAGCACTTTTGATGGCGATTTTCTCGGCGAATGTGCGACTTATCGGAATATTTGATACCACCAGTGGAAAGCTGAGAAAATTTCCTATCGAACACAGTAGCCAGTTATTTTTTTTAGATGAGTTTTGATACTTTTTCAGCGACTTAGAAATTGAGTAATTAGCCGCATTTACGAGAAAACATGATTTTCCGTCCTCTAAATCACAAAAGTAGCTATAAAAATAAGCACTATTGAAATTTCAATGGTTCCTACGTGGTTACATGTTCCTAGGACCCCCAAAAACATTTCCCGGGGGTCCGTATCCGCGTAGGTTGAAAAAAAAATTTGTCGCGATTCTACCTCAAAAAATGCGTTTCATTTGGAGAATTGCTCATATATATACCGCGTAGCTGCGATTTCAAATCCCTCCGTGATGACGCTTAAAGCACACATACGCTCGTAATTACGTATTTAAGCGATTACGAAAGTCCCGGCGCATATGCTTATTGCGTGCCTCGTATATACGTATAGCTCGCTATATTGCTATATACTGCTATATATATACGCACATTATGTTTACACGCGCAGACAGACGTACGCGTGTACGCCAAGCGACTCGATCCAGCACACCTGTAAACGCGAGCGAGCATCGAGAGAAAATTATGTCTCTCGCCCCGCAGCTATACGAGTATTGGTAAAGATAATGCCCGATGTAACTATGTGTGCGTTTGCATAGATCGATTATAGTTTCATAAGCTTTGAGAGCAACGAGATGAAGTAATTTTTATCGATCCCGCGAGCAGAGAAGTTTTTACTACTGGGTGCGAATTTTTCGTGCCTATATGGATCGTTAGATATAATAGCCGATTGCGAAGATCGGTACTGGAACAGCGACCAACTTTATTATTTTTCATCGGCGACCCGTTTGAGTGTGTGTGTATGTATAAAGTCGATGAATGTAACGCCTCTCACGCTCCTGTACACGGGAAATGGGCCAAATGAAGCTCGACGCCAGTCGAATTATCGATATCATCGTCGACTTGTGAAATATATATATCTATAGATACCTTGACTGGTTGCGCGCGTGCCACGCACGATATCTCATAGATAATTACCCGCTGCGGGAGATATAGACGATATAGGCTTTCAATAATCGAAAACTCGCGTGCGCAACGACAGAAACAAGGAGAGAGAGAGAGAGAGAAGCTATATATATATATATATAGGTGGTCGTGTATATAGCAGTCAATTGCGATTTCACGCGACGTCATCTCTCTCTCTCTTCCTTTTCGTGCGATCGAAAGCAATCGTTGCGCCTCTTCGATGAATATACACACGCCTTCGTCAGTTTTTTGGCTTTACCGTATAGGCGGCTGCGCTATTGTTTCTACGTTCTTTGCTTTTGGAGCTCATCGAGTCGATCGTTTACCGTATTTAAATGCTCGTAAAGTAGACAATTCCAATTATCGTTTATACGATGATTAACTCGCGGTATTTAGGTTTCCCTGTATCGTCGTTGTATAGAAAGCTCGTCGTATTATCGTAAGCACGCGCGCTCACAGATACGCGTATATGTGTATAATCGTAACGTGGCGCTGTACGTACGCACGCAAAAAGATGACGATCGACACTTATGGCCGTTTAAAACAGGCACGACTTCCGTCCGTCCGCGTCCGAGAGATCGGCATTCTATCGAGCCGTATACAGACTCGAGTCTTTTACCTATACGGATACGATGATGTGTATAAACAGACACGAGTAGCTACAGCAGCAGCATCGCGTCCGTGCTCGTTTGCATCTTTAAATATATCCAAGCGCGGCTCTCAGTGTCAACTTACGGCTCATAATCGCGCCTCATCTTCCGCCCCACGACGACGGACTTACGGTACCTATAACTTGGATTATTTATATATGTTTACGTTCGCGAGCTGAGCAGCCAAAGGGTCAGGGAACTGCTGTGCGCGCGACGACTGCGAACACGATCGATATCGATCGATGATGCGCCGCGATTTCGAAGCTGCTACCTCTAGACGACGCAGCTCGATTTATCCTTAATTAATGATCGAACGCGATTGATTTCTGCTTCCGATGCAAAAAAAAAACAACGCAATTATCATTTAGCGATGTTTACAAGTCCGGGTGTCAATGAAATTTCAATGAATTAAAAGTGTTCGTTACTTACGATGTTACCATACGTTACGTTATAAACACATATAGCCCCATCGTATGGACGTAATCATTCCGTTGCGCGGCCGCGGCCTTGCGAGATCCGTCCTCGGGCTCTGCGTAGCGGCGGCGGCTTCTTATATAGAAAATCGCTCGTTATTATTACGACGATCGTCGGCGATGGAAGCGGTAAACGTTTCGTAAGATCTTCCAAGCGCGAAGAAAGATTACCCTGGAACCGATTTTTTGCGCGCGCAATCGCTATACCGATTTAATGATCGATATTCGCGCGACTTTTTTGCTCTTCCATATAAGCGTGCATGATATTTTGTCACGGCTGCGCCGCTATAATTGCTCGGTATGCTAATTTTTGTCGCGAAAAAAACATCATCGGTGCTCGAGCGCGGCGAGTTAATTTACGAGCCTCGAGCGCGCACAGCGGGCTCCGATTAATTAGCCGTCGTTGGCAAAAATTAAAGCTCACGCGTAATTTGGCGGTAATTTTATGGCGAGGCGACAAGTGTACCCTCGCGCTGATGGAGCGAGACGAGTCGTCGTCGTCGAGGAATACATATCTATCGTCGATTTCTGCACGATTTAAGTCGAGAAACGAAAATCTGGTATAACTACCGGCAGACAACTTTTGGTATACTCGTGATTAAGCTAGCGCGTTAACCGAAGCTCGCTACGCATATATAGCTTTGTTGCGCGTTGTTTATTAATCGAATGCGTGTAAGCTCTAATCTCGAATTGGCAAAGGTCACGAGCGAGTACATTACGCAACGATCCGCGAATATAATGAGAAAAGGCTCGCGGGTGTTTCCCAGAAGTTCTGCGTGCCTCGCAGCTTCTTTGTGTATAATATAAAATAATATACGCCGTCGCCCATATTATAATAAAGCTATATATGTAAAGCGGCGTGGCTCGACAGGCGGCTCGTTTGCCTCTGCACGCTACCTTAGCTCGGGCATTCGGAATAAACAAAAAGCGATGCCCGATCTATTTATAACGATCATCGCGGGCAATGACAAATCGGCCGAGCGCATTATAATATATAATATAATACGGCTTAATTCGCAGCGTGGCTGGCTGGCTGGCTGGCATGTTTGCGCGCAGCAGCGCACGAGGAAGCTCGCGTGCCAATTGTTTTGGTACTCTGCACTTTCTCAAAGGCCTCCACTGTGTGCAGCATATACCTACGCTCGATGCAGCACAGTTATTTTGCAATGCGATCGAGTTGCGCGCGCTCGAGAGTCAAGTTCGGCCTGTATATATACATACTTATACTGTATATCGTATCTCATCTCCGCGCACACATCCGCGTCCCGTCGCGCGATTAGCCGCGCTCAGGTGGCGCATCTGCATAATTGGATATTTACGATGCATCGCGCGCGCAGATAGGTTCGTCAGCAGCGACAGCGGCCGATTATCCAAATCGCGGCCCGATGAATCGGTCATATATACGTTCTCTTTCTTTCTTGAGACGCACGTCATGGAGTGTGCGATGCTCGCGATTCCGAAGAGTCGAGTTATAGCTCATCGATCGACTGCTGCTGCTGTCTCGCACGATATACTCGACTAGCTCTATTGTTCGTTGGCGTAGCGCTAGGAGAAAGTCGCTCTCTCTCTCTCTCTCTCACTCTGTTTGGCAGCAGCAGCGATCGCCAGCCTATATCTACCTGGAATTATGCAAAAGCAAAACAAAGGCTCGTCGCGTTTACACGGTTTACATGCAAGCGCGGCTGCGGCGCGATCGCATCGTATTTATAAGCTGCAGCAATTACGCGGCTAATCGACGCTTATAACGCGCCATCGAATCGGCGCGCATCAACAACGACGAGCGAGCGAGCGAGACTCGAGAGCCGCGATGCGATGGGCCGACGACCAAGTACAAACGTATCGTAAATCTTGGCTCGACGTGCCTCGATATATTATAATGCACTCTCGGTAGCAGCGATCGTCGCTCGTCGATCGACGCTTTAATAGCGCGTATACATAGCTCCCTCCCTTTCCCCCACTCGTATATAAGTATATATACAAACGAGAGGAAGGAAGGAAGTAAAGTATAAGGAAGGAAGAATCATAGAGTCGCTGCTGTTATGCACGTGTGTGTGCGCGCGGGAGGGAGCCGGAATAAGATGAATAAAATAATCTCGAGGGCGATCGATTACGCTGCATCGTAATTCGATTTACGCAAGATCAAGTTCGTGTGTTGGCGGCGGCGTCGCTCGAGCACTATAATAGCGAACACATGTGCGTGTGCACCCACGCACGTGACATATGCACTACCTATCCTATATACCTACCTCTACCTACCTATATACCTGCACCGTACGAGAGACGTGCGCAGCACCGACACAGACGCGATCCATCGTCGGTATATAATAATTATTGGAATCGGGCCATCGCGGAAGAGTTCGCTCGTTCGCGCGCGTATAGGTAAGAGGCAGGATTCGCCGCGAGCCAGTTCAGTTGCTCCGAGCCGCAGCGATTCGACGCATCGCAGCACAGCTCTCTGATAATTCGCGCTCGCGACATTTTTATATATACGTATACCGGAGTGCGAGACCCCGTCTATATACAGTGTGTGTGTTGGTGTTTGAACGTAATCAAGGTACAGCTGACTCTCCTACAACAGTTTGCTTTTCTTTTGCTTTTTTATTATATATACGCTTAAGTTGCCGCGCGCGCGGCTTCGATATCGCTTTATCCAACGATTCGGCCGGGATTTGTTATTATTTTCTTTTTTTTTTTCATATTCGACAACCAAGCTTTTTCGCTCCGATCATCATCGACTTTGTCAACTCGTGCATTCCTGAATGGGAGTAGTAGTAGACGTGCTTTGAGCGACGCTTATCTCACATTTGATCACTCGAGCATAATCAAAGTTTGTATGTAATGCTTTCGCGAGAATCGCGAAGAGGTAATTTTTGAATGAAATATTTATTTTAATACGCAAACACCTTGCCGTTGTATTTTTGGATCCGGTTGTGGCCAATTCACGCCAACAGTTAGCTTATGAAATCGGGCTAGAAATTTAATCGAGCGTGCGCACGAATTTGGAAATTAAATCGCTTCAATTTTTTTTTTTTATAAGTGAGCATTGTATAATAGCATTATTGAATGAAATATTTTGAATGAACAGGCCATTGTAGTCTGAGATTAAAACATTTGCTTGCTTGTTTTCGACATTTTCGACAAAAGTCTCGTTACCAGCTCGAAACGTCTACTCGTCCAGAAGGAATGCGCGCGCGCGTAAAAGCTTGCAAGATAAAAATGAAAAAAAAAATAATAATAAAACAATAACAAATGCGCGCCTGTGTCAGCAACTAATCCAAGCTTTTTTAACCTCTGATTTTTGCAGCCCTCGCCCGCGCGCCTCTGTATATATCATAAACAGTGTCGAAACTCGAAACGAATAAAGTCTCGCATCATCCCATTATCGATCACTCTCGCTTGCTCTCTTTATACGAAAAATAATCATGTCGCGTCGCAGCATTCGCTTCCCCCTGCCACCCGTGTCGCCGGTGCAGATGGCTCTGATCAGCTCGCCGCCCGCGAGGACTCGCGCCCGGCCGCGTCTCCGAGCTCTGCCCGTCTCCACGGCCCACACCAAGACCCTGATCCTGGCCGAGGCCCGTCCCCGCTATCCCGTCTCGTACATCGCCCTGAGCAAGCAGCCTCGCGAGCTCTCGCTGGCCCTGAAACTGGCCGCGGCGCCCCGCGAGCCCGGACCCCTGCACATCAGGCCGTCGCCGCCTCACCTCGTGGCCCGGCCCAAGTCCAAGGTGCTGGATCGCGCCATGCCCCTGTCCTTCCAGAAGTCCTGCCCGTGTCCGCTGTCGAGGCGCTGCGCCAACTGGCGGCCCGCGCCGCCCATGCCCAAGTTCTACTCGCCGGCCTATCGGGTGCCGCGCGATCTGCCCCAGCTGCCCAGGGAGCGCCTGGCCAAGGTGCTGAATCCGCCGCCGCGGATCGCGCTGGCGCCGATCAGCCTGGCCCGAGACCATCACGCTTTGCGCAACCGCAAGCCTCGAGCCACCGCCGCCGCCAGCTTGAAATATTAACCGCAGTAGCAGTAGCAGTAGCAGTAGCCAAGATCAAGTTCACTTACTCTCATCGCGCGCATAATCGCATCGCATTAGCTAATAGGCTCTCGAGTGCAGCACTGCATTATATAGATTAATTGCGACTAATATACACGCACTCGGATTCGCTCGATCGTCAGCGACGTCATTATAATTCACTCGATTGGCTTAATCGTGTGTGCAAAATTTGTATAGACGATCATTTCATTGTCGCAAGCTCACTGTGGACGTTTCATAAGCGTGTGAAAAAACAAAACATAAGCCGATCGTCGCCCTTCCTCCCCCCAGCAAATGGAATCACGGGTCAGGATTAACGTCAAACGCATCTACATAAACATTTGCTTGCAAAATATGCGCTACTTTGGCCCCTGGCCTCAAGACCAGTAGCGTGCATACATCCGCATCGTTCCGAATGCAATCATCGATCGCCGTGACCATAATCATCGCCACCGGCGCAGCTCGCCCAATACAAAACGAAACGAAATAAAAAAAGTCGAAAAGTGCGCGCGCGCGAAGACTCGGCTGTACCTTGATATACGAAAATACGAATCGTCCAGTGTGCCCGCCCCAGGGAATCAATCAACGAGTCCAAGAGGATGTCTTCGAGCAGCTCCAAGTACGAGTACAGCTACCAGAGCAGCAGCAGCGAGACCAGGGTCGAGCGCTACGTGCCACCCCCGCCGCCCCCACCACCACCGGTGAAAGTCGAGCAGCGAGTGCACTGGGTGGAGACGGTGCGCGAGACCTCCCTGCTGCCCAGGGAGCGCGTCGTCTACGTCGAGGTGGAGAAGCCCCGACCGGCGGCGCGCACCGAGCGGGTGCACTACATCGAGGTGCATCGCGAGAAGCCGGCGCCGCCACCGAAGAAGCGCGTCGTCTTCGTCGAGGTGGAGAAACCGGCCCCGCCGCAGGAGACCGTCTACGTGAGGGTCGAGAGGCCCGGCTTCTACGGCCCGCTCTACGAGGAAGTCATGAGTAAGGACTGGATGCGCTCAGTTAGATTTTAGAGTTGAGTTGTTTTGCTGTCTTTTGTTCTATTTTATACACATCATATATCATCGTGCACATTATTTCTTATATATAATATTATTATTGTTTTTGTTGCTGTTGCATCGCTCATTCTTGTGCATATCAATTAGAAAATATAATAGAATATAATTCGAATTGGAATCCGCGTGAGAAAAACAGGCGAAACTCGCTAGATCGGTAAGACTCTGCAGCTGGACCATATCGCTTTCTCTCTCTCTCTCTCTCCCTTGGGACGCGCTCGGTCGAGCTCGGTGAGAAAATCGCATCCGCGCGCGGACGGACGCGCCTCGCTGACGTTTCGACTGCACTCTTCTTCGTGCACGCGGAAGCGTGCGAGGTACAAAGTTTATATAGGAGCGCGCGGTCCGCCCGAGTGACGTCCGCGCGCGCACGCAGCGATCGGTACATTATATACCGCGAGCGAGATTCTAAAAACAAACGCAGCGAGTACAGTTCGAAATGCCGATCTATGTACCCGAGCTCGCGCGCGAGACAGACAGATGTATATTATATTTATATAATATACTCGGAGAGATCTCGTCTTGAACCCCCCCGCGTGTATACGTAAGAAGTTGCGGAGTTCTGTGTATATACCGTATATACTCGAGAGCATCTTTTTGGCACGGACGTAAGTTGTGCATTGTCCTTGACCGGCAGCCAGTGTGCCTCTATCTATATAGAGTCGTTGCAGCGAAGGCTGTATAATACATATAGGCGCGCTCCGCTGCGGCTGAGTTAAAGTCTCGCGGCAACGAAGAAAGCTATACGCCACTCGTTTCGTCTAGTCGTCTTCGTCGTGCGAAGCATTAATGCATAGATCGCTGCGTAACATTATTTATTGACAAAAAAAAAAAAATGATGTATAGGACCTGTAGCTCGTGCAACGAGCAATTGGTTTGACGCGCGCGGATTATATATCGCCGCGTTGCAAAGTATACAGATTACACGCGTTAACTCGTTCCGAGTTAAATAACCCTTCGTCATCTTCAACTCGACAGTCGCGCGTTATATATATATGTGTACGTGCGTGCATAGGTCGCGTACGCCGCAGCGACACTCCCAAATTTGACGCCGCGCGACAATCTGCATAATATATATATGGTACTTGGAGCGTCGCTCGGCACACATGGCAATGCAGGAAGTACACAATACGATCTAATTATGTTGATTCTCGCCGATCGATGCGCTATATAGTCGCAATGATCGATCATCGCCTACAATATACCTTGTTATAAAGCGCGTAAGCACGTAATAGGTAGTTCCTCCTCCTCCCCCCGAAAAAAACAACGAGATCGGTTATAGGCTAAAGCTCCGAATTGAATTATAACGAGCTGCGCGCGCGCGATATTATGATAATTGGGCGCGCGACCTTGCGCGTCTCTCTATGTATGCACGAACATCATAATCTCGTCATTATATGAATTTTGAGTGCGCCTATAACAATAATGTTCGCAATTCGATATTTTTTGCCTGGCACCTTATAGGCTGATAATTCGATCCGTGCCATTTGCATAGAGTTACGGCTCGCGTATCGCACGCATTGCGACCGTTACGGAAACTTGCGCAGCACGCGCTGCGAGATTCCTCCCCCCGCCAAATCGGCGACTGCACTTCTGTATCGTTTGCGTAACTCGCGCATCGAGTAATTTCGATTCGTCGAGTCGCATCTCGATGGAGATAAAATTTCGATCGCACATTTGTTATTATATCTCATAAAAAAGTCTACGTAGTCGAATCGTACGAAATAATCCGTTGAAAACAAGAAGCAAACTCGTATAACTCGTGCGTTGGGGATTAAATAATTATCTCTATACGAACGAAGCAGCTGTAAAAGCGTGTATCGCTGCGCGGACGTTCATTCAGCTCGAGACTTTCCAACTGCGCGCTGCACTGCAGCGAGTGAAATCTCTCGTACGTTGTAGCGCGCAGCGTAATATAGGTAGTCAGTCACGTGTGCCGCTGTACATGCGGCCCGCACAAAAGAAAGCAACGCGAATTTTCCTGCTATTTTATCCAACGCGTATACGGCGTGTATATACGAGCGCCGAGACGTCCGCGGCAGGAAAATCGAAAAGTCGTCTTGGGGATCGAAGCTGCGACTTCCGCTGTGCACCTCGTCTCGCTTACGTATAATATAGCGTAATAAACGAGCCAGTATCCGCGAAGAAAATGCGCCTGCGAGAGTCACCCGTTCCTGCAGATCTCTGCGGCCGCATTGGGTCCCGCGAATAATACGCACTTTTCCCCCATTTGCATCGTCGGCGCGCGTGCATATACATATTATATTTGTAAGATATAGCGCGTCGTGTTGTTGCTGTCTCGCGCGTATAAATACCTAATATACGAGAAGACGGTAAATCACGAGACGAGACTCGGACTTGCGTCGCTCGCAAAGTGCGAATATTTTTGGCTTGCGGGCGCGTTTATTAAAAGTCTCCGTGCAGCTTCGTTGCCCCCGCTGTACTGCACCGCAGTGATATCTATATAGCAGTTGTCTCGAACTCCCAGCAGAAGCAAGAATAAACGTATGTATAAACGACGAGTCGAGGTCTCGACGAGAGCCCGACGACGAGGAGTTCGTACACCATGGCAGCGAGCCGTAGTGCGCAGTGCATTAAATAAAAGCGGCCTGCAGCCTGTCGAGAGAGAGAGAGATATAAAGACAGGCACGAGTCACTCGAAATAAAATTCAATTCGATCGACGCTGCCTCGCTATATATGTGCGCCATTAGCCACACCCGCGCACTTCTCTCTCTCTCTCTTTCTCTTATCGAGCTCACGCACGCCAGACAATTTTCTAATTTGCCCCCGACGATCGAGAGCGACCTTAACACGATTGCGCAGTTCTGCTATACGTATGCGCACTCGAATAAAGAAAGGGTTATGATTATATGTGTGAATCAGCAGTAGCAGCATGGCCTATCCAGCAGAGAGAATAACAAAGTGCCGATACGTCCGGAGGTCGGACTTGAAAGCTCTCGCGAGCTTCATCGATTGCAGGACCATCGATCTGTTTCCCGAGGCCGTCGATCCTACAGCCCTCTAGTAAGATACTTCTTTTTTTTTATACCCAAAGTCCTTCGATGCACAGCCGAGACCGATCGGCTGCCAACAAGGTTATAACGAATTTCTAACACGAACGCACAAATAATAAAAAACGAAAGCGAAGAGTCGTGCTTGGCGCTGCTGCGAGAAAACTCCTCGGGCCGGATAGTATCGGCCCTGTTCCTCGGCAATCATCCCCACGTGCCGGCGGTCGCGGCCTCGGCCTGGCCGATCTGGATCGATCGCCTCTACGGGTATTATAATAACGACAGATACATCGCCAGAGCTTATCCATATACATTATAATATGTATATAATGTACGCGTCGTTGCGCGTCTCGCAGCGTGGACGGCTCGAAGGAGGAGAACACTCTTTTCGTTCGGTTTCTCGTCTGGGACGATGAGCACGAGGAAGAGGAGGACGAGGGTGACGACTCGCTGCGAGAGCTGTTCAAGGCCGCCTTCTACGCGGCTCTCCACTGCGGTCGAATGATCCTCGTGAAGCCGCCGGGACTGAGTTTGCGTGAGCTGCTACGCCGCGTCGATATATTCTTTTCTTTTTTGTTCCCTCATTGGCCCTCGCGCGCGGTTCAAAAATCTATCATCGTTTCGCAGCGAAATGCCTGGCCAAGCTCTTGCTGACCGTACCGCCTAAGAATGAATCGCTCGAGTCGAGCGAGTCGGCTCAAGTGCTCTGCGTGGCCGATCAGAATCGATTCGTAGCGCCGATGAGGGTCCGTCTGGCCATGTGAGTGCAATTTGTTACGAAGCGCATATAATAATATATTATAATACAAAAAATGCGCTCGACGACGACGACGACGACGACAGCGAGGAGGACAACGACGACGTGGTCGGCATACTGGACAACGAGAACGCGACTCTGCGCCGCTTCTACGGCGACTTTTACCTGAGCGAGGAGGTGCGACATCCTGAGGCGTGCAGGCGCGTCCTCGTCGCCGAGCGCTCCAACAACGTGCTCGTGGCCGTGCTCGCCGTCAACTGCCGCGTCGATCTGGATCTGCTCGCGCGGCACTTCGAGCTCTCGGCCTTCGCGGGATTCAGGAAGTTTCGAGAGCGAGACTCGAGGTGACGACGACGATCGAGAGTCCTACGCGCATTAACCAATGCTCTGTGACATATACTTTTGATACGTATAGAAGCGACGACGGAGGCGAAGAAGAGGCCACGGGGGAATGGTCAGGCGACTCGCTGTTCGGCTCTGCGGAGAACAAGTAGGCGGGCTTTTTTCGCTCCGTGTCGCCGAAACTCGCGTTTTGCTTATTCCATAAAGTATATGTTCTTACGACAAAGATGGCGAGATGAAAATTTCACCGATCGAGACGAGAACGAATCCGACCGATTGGAGCAGGATGCGCGATCAAGTAGGTGATCAAGTCGCACTGCGATTCGATCAGATGTGATCATCGCTGTATACGCATCGCTGTTGCACATCGAGCGTCGATCGAAAGCGATCGCATATAAATCTGCCAATTAGATCGTCGATTCTCCATGCCGCGAATTTCCTACACTCAGATTCGTTCGGACAGCAGCAGCGTCCGACCGTGCCGAACGCCTTCGCCATCGAACTGTTCGGCGTGGCGGACAAGCTCGACGAGCTCAAGTGTCAGGGACTGTTGGCCGCGAGCTTCGAGTGCTTCCCCGAGCGCGACTACTGCCTACTGCTGCAGCCCACCGGTCGAGCTCACTGCCCGTTCCTCGACAATTTCGTGGTAAATAACAACAACAAAAAAAAGAGCGTATCACATCGACGCGATTCGGATCTTTAATAACGTCGACCGGCATACGACACACGCACAAACACACACAGAGAATAGCCCAGCGCCAGGGCCGGGACTTCCCGATGAGTCTGTACGCGAGCCACCGGGCCTGCCTCGGGCAGCAGCAGGGCTGCTCGCTGAGAGCGCGTGAGGCGCGCGAGCACGACCTGACCTACGCCGCGGATCTGCTCGAGGGGGTCGACGGCGCCGAGGTCATTCTCGAGGATCTGCGCGTCGCCCTCGAGGAGGACAGCGCCCAGCTTCGGGCCTTCGTGTTCGCCTGCGACGAGCAGATCGTCGGACTGGCCGTGCTTCGGTACGTTATATAACGTTGTAACAAAATACAGCGTACAAAAACGAGGATCCCCCTTTATATCCTACCGTTTTTCTTCTTATATCATTTATATACACAATAAGCAGCAGAGAGGAGCAAGTTAATCGGCTCGAGCGAGCTTATCGGCTCGGCCATCTCGCGGCGCGAGCCAAGCGAGACGGGGGGGAGGACTCGTGCGGCCGCCTCGTGCAGCTGGCCCTCATGCCGATCTTCGTGTCGCGCCTCGGCTTCTTGCTCGGCGAGCTACTGCGCCTGGCCGAGCACCGCCTGCTCTTCTACCGACTGCTGCTGCTCGATTCCGACCAAGATCCTCGTGCGGTACGCTGCTGCTTCGTGACGTCGTTACTATTTCTTTTTTTTTTTTTTTCGAGCTGTATATAATTGTCTCGCTGCGATTCACGAGGCATTTGCTTTTTTTCTTGTACGATGCGTCGACGATCGCTGCAGAGCGCGGGAGGAGGCCGGCCTATACCCACCTGTCTGTCGGCCATGCAGCCCTTGGAGCCGAGGATTCGTAACTGGCCGCAATTGCAGCGTCTTCATCAACAAACTTACGACGACGACGAGGCGCCCTTCGATCGGTTGTTCTCGCTTCACGTTTTCACGCCGAGATCGGCACTCGCCCACAAGGACATCGTCAACGTCAAGATCGTCGTGGTCGGGGCTTCGGATTGCGCGCTGACTTTCTTGCATCATCTCCTTACGGGGTATAACGATATATAGATACATAGCGCAGATATATATAGCCTCGTTTTGCGCCGACGCGTATTATATGCAGGCCGAAAAATGCCGAGCAGCTCCGCTTCTGCGACGTGACTCTGGTGTCCAGCAACGGTCTGCCTTACGAGCAGCGAGATTATCGAGTCAGAACGATGATACCCTTCGCGGGACTCCACTGCAACGCCTATCGGCGGCTCACCTCGGAAACGTTGCATTACAACGTCGTCAAGGGGACGATGACGAGGATCGATAGGTTTTCGTTTATGCATTATCGTTGAATATCGATTAGAGACAGAAGAAGCTCATCGTACGCATCGTGCACGCAGGAAGAAAAAATCCATCCACGTCGGAGCTTCGGGAATATTGAAGTACGACTATCTTGTGCTCGCTTGCGGACTGAGCTTTCAGAGGCCCGAGCCGACGAGCGAGCGACGCAACGACAACGAGCGCGAGTGAGTTGCGCGTATACATAATATATATATCGATCGCGTCGATTGCGTACGTCGTTGTTTTTTTATTCTTTCGATACTCTCTCTCTCTGCCCTTTGCTCTCCTCTTGCTCGTCGGACACGCGCAAGAAGATCGTGGCCGGCCAATTGCTTCGTCATCAACGACGACGTCGACGCTCGATCTTTCCTCGACCAGATCAAAATAATCACGTCGGATTTCTCGCTTCAAAGTTAGTATATACAACGTGCAATAATAAATAACTGAATGGCGATAAACTCGAGCGATCGAGACGCTCATCGTAAGCTCCCTCGCAGAGTCGATCGTGTTTTACGGTCGGACGCACGAGTGCTACTGCGCCCTCGGCGCTGTGCTGGCTGCGGGTCTCCGAGGCTCCTGGATCACGCTCGTCGTGCCGAGGCTCGACCGAGCTAGCCGAGACTACGACGACGAAGACGACGTTTTCGCCGCGGATCGACAAGTGAGGCAGTAGTGTACATTCACTGGTAGGAACGCTCGATTCGAATATCATTTATAAATACTTGAAATCGTATTTATAAATGATTGTGTTGACTTTGCCACTTGCGAGTCTACGGATTAAAAGGTATTCGTCATCTAGTGGCAGAAGCTCGAAATAGTATCGTCGTATTTAAAGTGGTTATTTTCAATTCATTTGAAATGCGCCCAACATTTTTATTATATTTGTAACGGTAAAAATTGCCACGAAAATCAATGAAAAATCGTTGGTTAAACTAGACCATTACGTCCACGTTGAGCATTTCTAGCAGGGTTCACGATCTTAGATAGAATGCATTTCGATTTTTGGAGAAACGAATAAATACTCGGTGCGTGCAAAAAAAAAAAAGGTGAAAAAGGCACTGACGGACTCGCTGGTCGATCAACAAGTGCGCGTACTGAGCGACCACGAGCTCGTCGATTGGAGCTTCGAGCCGAGCGAGCAGCCCGGCAGGATCAGCATCGAGAGCTTGACTCTGGAGGCCGAGGAGGGGCGGCTTCGCGTGCAGATCGATTGCGACGCCCTCGTCTCGTTTCTGGCCAAGCGGCCGAGTCCGGCCACCCTAGCTGGTACACACACACACAACGAGTCGCTCTTTGAATCCTATTTTTGCATTTATCGAGGCCTATAAAGAAGCTCGAAAAATCGGCTCTACTTGTAGCGCTACGTAGGTCCGGTCTCGCGCTGTCCAAGGACGCCGCGCGGATCCTCGTCGACTGGGATTTTCGTACGAGCGATCGGTGCGTGTTCGCCGCCGGCACGATGGCCGAATTTCGCCGGGCGAACAAAGCCAAGCGGGCCACGGCCCGTTGGAACAGCTCGGAAGTCGGACAAAAGGTTGTTCGTTTTCTTTTCTTTTTTTTTTGTTTTGATCTCGGCCCCTCCCACCCGAGGAACTCGACCGAGCGAGAATCTTCTCACCGCGCAGTTGGCCGAAACTTTCACCCGGATCGTTACGTCGGACGTGGCGCAGCAGCAACTCGGTAGCAGCAGCAGCGAGATATCGAGGAGCAAGATGAGATTCGTCAAGCCGATGGTCGTTTCCTGTCTGCTTCCCGGTGGATATAGATTTTTGCGCGTCAGCAAGCCCGGCCCGATCGAGGCGGCAGCAGCACAGAACGACGACGACGACGAGCAAGACGAGGAAGCCAGACGATCCGATTCCGAGGTACTCTCTTTTTCGGAGTCGTATATGTACTCCGAATTGACGATGATGCGCGAGAAGGAGGAGAAGGAGGAGGAGGAGCGTATAGTTTTACAGAGAGCGCTTGAATTAATTAGAGTGTGAAAAAGCTTACGTTTCACGCGGCGTAAACGGGCTCGTAAGGCGCGAAGAGAATTGCACAAGTCGGCGTGTATATATCTGCCCGCGGCCGTATAATAATACAACGAGCGAGTACAGTACAGACACACATAGACACGGAGACCAGTACATCCGATATCGCGCGAGTAGATATCACTAGTGCGTCGCGCTATATATATCGTATATAATGCAGGCAGGACAAGCAGTAGCGGAGCCTAGGAGCAACAGCAGCAGCAGCAGCGACGTTCTGACGACGGGCTCTTGCACGGCCGACACCGGATACCTGCGACTCGTTTTGAACCGGCGCTCCCGTGCGATCGAGTGCCTGACTTGCTGCCGCAAAACGGTATACTATATATATGATATATATATAACAAGCTCCCCCGCCGGATGATAATACATGGACATCGTCACGCACGCAACAGGATTTCGATATTCAAAATATGATCGGCCTGTACGGAATGCACGAGGCCACGCTGTGCGACTTGCGAAGCCGATTTCTGGTACGCTATACTTCCGCTCGATCGTTATATTCCGTTCCGTTTCCGTCGTTTATATATATACGTCGTTCGCGATTGCGTCTCGTTCGTATAGCGCGGCGAAATACCGGATCTCTACGCGTACCTGCGCCAGGACTGGCTCGCGGCCATCTTCGTCGACGACTTCGCCGAGGATTTCCTGGATAATCGGCGCCGCTCCTGTTCCGGATCGTCGGGCCCCGACGACGCGGTAAGCAATGACCTCTCGTGCACACACACACGCACACACATACACGGAGCCTGAGATTTGTTTTGTTCCAAAAATTCGACTCAAGGTCGTCGTCGCCTCGTGCAAACGGAACGCAAGGGCCGATTTAAAGGAGACTCTGAGCCGTTACAATTACGAACAAGTGAGAATATACAGAGCGTGTTAATCACGAAGAACAACAAAATAATAATAATAATAATAATAATAATGATAACGACAGTTGACGGAGGAAGAGCGGGCCGAGCTCGTGGCCGAGTGCTACGAGAGATCGTGTCACTTGCGACACCTCGAGGATCGTCTGAGCGACTTCCTCGAGCGCCATCAAGATCGCCTGTCCATGTACCTGACGGAGGAGAGAAAACGACGGATCGCGCGACGAATCCAAGATAATCCATTGCTTTATCCCAATAATAATAATGATGATGATAATAACGACGACGACGACGACGAAACGAGCAGTGCAAGCGAAAGCGGCAGTGGCAGCGTCACAAACGGCAGAAGCAGCAACAGCGAGGAGTCGGCGCTCGCGAGTAATTCGTGCTCCTGCTCCCGCGACAACGGCAGCAGCGCAACGTCCTGCCGAGAAATCAATCGCAACGACGACGACGACGACGACGACGAGACGTCCTGTTCCACTTGATTGTATCTCGCGCGGCAGATCGCGCGCCCCGCGCGACACGTCTTTTTTTCCGTTTGCGTCATTTATAAAGCCACGATCTTTCGAACGCTCCTTATCTCTTCTGTACTCTTTCATTGTTATTTATACACAGGAAGAAAAAGAAACGAGGCGACAACTCGTACGCGAGGAATAAAACTACCGTTTATCGGCTCGTTTAACGTCGATCGCTAGCTCCCTATATATTAATTGACATTTAATAAAGAGGACCTGGTGTACATGTACGTTGTGTGCAGCTCGCTCGCAATACGCGCGGCAGAGGACTTTCACTTTTCCAGCCGCTTACTCGCTCTGCGTGCAAGATGCAAGAATTTTTCAAATCGAAAGTGTCAAAGGACCTCCTCTCTCTCTCTCTCTCTCTCTCTTTCTCGACTCTCCGCTCGGGGAAAAAGAGTCGTGCCTGCACACGGGCGAATGCCGCTGCAAAATATAAGAGATGACAATGGTAGCTTGGACGCGGTGCACAGCGGTACACACAGAGGTCGTGGAGAAATCGAGAGAGCCATGATGCGCGCGCGTCGCCGATCTCTTTTATTAGCAATATGCTCGTGTGCGGGAGAGAAGAGAAGCGAAGGAAGAAAAAGCCCGCGAGAGAAATTCGTTGCTGCGCTTGCGACAGCGTGTAGCATACATTATGCGAGGGAGATCGCGTCGCCGAGTCGCCTCTCTTGTAGGTCAAGTTTAGCGCGGTAGCGCTCGAGTTATATGGGATGTATTATAAGAATTGCCGAGCCGAGTTGATCGCGCTACTGCCGTAGGTACATGTGAGCAGCAGCAGCAGCGGCAGCAGTCGATCGCTTCTTTTTTTTCTTCTTCTTGTTCCTCTTATATCTATCCACGCGCGCCCGCGCGCGCGAACCAAAGCTCGTTTGTGCAGCAGCAGCAGCACGTATCAAAGAAGTGGAGTCGCGGCTGCTGCTGCTGCTGCTGCTGCTATACTATAGCGAGCGCAAAAGTAAGAGCAACAGTCGTCGATCCACGTGCGAGAGCATCTGACGTGCCAAGAAAACGGAGCGCGTTCCGATCGCTGCAGAGACAGAAAGAGAGAGAGACATGTCTTGCGGTATGCAACCTCTGTCAAATTGACGTTCATTTAAATGGCTTTGTTGTGTGTGTGTGTGTGTGTCTGTGTGTGTCTGTGTGTGTCTGTGTTGGCTGAATTATATATAGCTTTCTGTTGTAGGCATGTGCGCGCGCCAGAGAAAATGCTCGGGAGCGTAAAAGTGACCGTGTCGCGCGATTAGCTGCCCATTAGACGCCATTATATTACTCGTTCGAATGGATCCGTCTGTCAAATTAATTGCAAATTTCATTGCTCGTCGTTATTATCGAGAGTCGTTGCTCTCTGCGCTTTTAGTCCAAAATTGCACGCAATATTTCAAGTGTACGGTTTCACTTATTACTCGGCGCTACATGTTCACGTATATTTTGTATTTCAATACGACGACTTTTCAAATCGTGACATTTTGCTTCGTAGCTTTTTTTTTGTTGAATCGAGGAATTAATTGTAGAGGCATCGTTTCGATGCGCACATTTTTTAGCATCGTCAAAAAAAGCATCTACGTATTTCGATTCAAAAAGTGAAATTTGCAGATCAATGGAAATCTGATTTTCAATTGAGATCGGCATTTCTGTTATTGCCTGGATTGAAAAGACTGCGAGAGACCTTGCCGGGATCAACGTTGATTGGTTCATTCCGATGCTTTTAAATGAATGTTTTACACAAAAGACACGCGCGATCCAGCGCGAAAGAACGTCAAAGATAAACAAACATTTATTACACGAACGTCGGAATGCAAATAAACTCTTGGAAAATTTGTGTCACGCCGCTACGTCAAATTGATTTTAATTTTTGAAAACGATTTTTCTACCGACCGGTTACACGACAATTTGATTTTGTTTACGATTAAACGCGCTGCCCTTGAAAAGTTTTCCATATTTTCCCTTGAAAATAAAATTTCTTATGTAGTTGTCAGATCTGCAAGCTTGTAATAAATTATAGCGAGCACTAGAGAATTATAATAGTCTGCGGTTTTAGATGGGTTGCGACTGAGACGGATAAAAAAAGACTATACCCATAATTTATAGTCCACAGCTTGGTAAAACTGTGATTGTGAACAGTTTTTCCGAATTATTGAGATTTCTTTATTGAAATTTTGAAATAATATTTAAAAATTATATTATTATTTAAAATCTAAAAATAATTATTTTAAAAATAATTTTAAAGTTCAACTTCGTATCGTTTGGGGCTTTAAATGGCAAAGTTTATTGCGAAATGAAATCTGCTGCTATCATTCAAATGTGAATGAAAACATTTTCTAGGCAAGAAGGGTTAAACGTAAACAAACGACCGCAGAATGGGCCAAGTTATTAGACTCGATAGGCGAAATAATAAAGTTTTACGATTCTCCGGAGAACAGAATGAAAAACGAGGAGTTACGAGAATTTCTATTGAGCATGATAGTAGTAAACATCCAAGTGGCCGTAGTAACCGTTCTCATGAATTTACAATCGGCATTTCGTTATTTGCCAAAGTCGCATTGATAAAAAGCCTCACGAAACGCCGTCGATGACTTTGAAGATGCTTAATTTACGCACTCGCGGTACACAAGACGAATCGTCCGCGTATTTTATGTAGTCGAGCTCGAGTCGAAAGTCAATACTCCCGATAAATCCATTAAGTCGATGCAGCTATCGTCTCGCAGCATTTCTAGATCAATGTCGTTTGCTTCTAGTTTATTCGCTATATGCAAGACCACCACCCGCGTATAATGTAAAACGTGCAAAACACACCTGCGCAAATGCCCATGTATAATATAACGAAATTTGAACTCTTGCGCGATGCTATTCTCGGATATACACACCAGCGATCGCCATGTTTCGTAGCTCATAAGCTCCGAAGCACTATAAATTCCCTTCGTCAAGTTTAGGTCAATGTCAGGCTATTATTAAATTGACAATTTTTTTTCTTCTAGCCTTTTTTTTTCAATGAAAATGTTAAAATTCGTTTTCGTGCAAATGATCTTTTGGTTTTTATTTATTGATTTTTTTTTTTTGGCAAAGTAAACGATTATGCTAAATAATAAACTTTTGACATCATCGAGTACTTGCGTTACTACAAACGAACGAGGAAATATTTATGAAGCGGAAAAGCATGTTTATAATGCGTGAATTAGACTTTCGACCGTCGACATTTTGGGGCAGTATAGTTATGTGATTTACCCGTGTATTTAATTTCCTTCGTAAAAGTTGTACCATACGCTAAATTTTTGGCAATAACCAATTCAACGGTTTCCGCGCGAGTTTGGGGACAAAACTATATTCCATCGAAATCTCGTCAAGCGATTTGTGCGCGCTAAAGCGAAACGTCAGATGATTTCAATATCGTTGATACGTGCGTCACTAACTATACGTGACGTTAGATTTTCGAGCGTCCGTCTTGGAAAAAAAATTTCCCAGCTTGAGAATTTATAGCCGAGAGGGACGTGTGATCGATAAACGATCGGATTATAAAAATAGTGTATCGATCGGCGTTGCGTGGCGCACCTTCGATGAGAACGTAAAACTGGCCAATTTTACACATTTCGCGGCTGCGGCGTCTATTGTGGGACGAGTCGTTTGCGCTCGATCAAAGATGCATTCGCCAGTGAAAGAAAGAGATAGATTTAAAATCGCAAAAGTGGACTCCGTCGAGGCTACCAAATGCATATTATATATATACCAGGGCTAATTATTATGCAAGCCCGTAACGCACGTATGAGGTTTACTCGCGGACGAATTATTGAATTTCAGACATTTTAAGGACAAAAGTCGACTCGCACCTTCGTAAAAGCTGTTTTAAAAATATTAAACATCCTCAAAAGCACATATTTTTATTTTCGTAAGCACATCGCCTTGGTAGGCCTCTGTATTTTAGTACTCGTTTTCAATAATATTTCAATTTTCATCTGTCAAAAAAATTGAAAAAAAAATTCGCAAATATTTGAAAGAAAAACTCTTATTTAAAATGTTTGTATCTAAAGCCGCATCGCCTCCGTGCTTTTTGTATAATATACATACATACATACCGGTAATCCGGTATTGGATGGTTGAAAATGTTTATGAGTTTTATTTGACGAATTTCAGTTTTGTCCAAGCGTTGCGTCTTATATTTTTTTGTAAACATTGTTTATTTTTTGTAAATTTGCCTCATCCGATCGCAATCATCATTAAAAATCAAAGTCGAATATGCGAAAAGTCGATCCTAACTTATTGGAAATCATTTTTTCACAGACATGATGAAGTCAGTGTTGCCTCAGGATTCGTCGAGGACGGAGACTCGCGTTATCCGATTGACGACAGATCAGGAAGCCGTCCTACTCGAACAATTCAACAGATGGCCGAAAAATCCACACAAAGCCGATGTCGTACTGTTGGCAGCTGAGACCGGACTCTCCGAAGAAGACGTTCAAGTACGTTATTCATTACTTTTTTTTTTTTTTTTTACTTTTTTTCCGTAGCTTTTTTATAGGTATGATATTTTGACCGAGCGCATTCGCCTTTGCAGGATTGGTACTCGCTAAAATTGGCACAGCTGAGAAAGGAGCAAGGGTTGGGTGGTGTTTTTGGAGTCAACCCGAACTACTAGTCTTGTAAATTCAAGCATACCACGCGCGCACCGCCTATAATAACCGCATGAAGACATCGATACTAATGGGCACTACAGTATTTCATTACAAATAAAAGAAAATTTACGAGGCGTTTGAAAAGCGTTAAATGTGACGAAAAATTTACGAAAAACTACGGTACAAAGAAATTAGACATTAAGCATCACAACATATAAAGCGCGTAACAGATATCGGAAATTTATTACTTGTATACGTCATAAGCAATTTTCAAAGATAAATGTATTTGTAGTTTATAGCCTTACGGCCATGTATTATTCTTTCATTTTTTAACGCAGCTGATTCATAATCGGCGAGAAAAATGAAAGGAAGAATCATAGTTACGTAGCTGTTAATGTATAATTTAATTAATTATTGTAATAGCTTATAGAAGCCGTATTAACTCGAAAGAACGTTGACTTATGTTATGTGAACCACAAAACAACCATTAATAAAAAATAAAAGCTTCGACCTGTAAAGTATTAACGATAATTCTGCTACAGAACACTTTCGTGCCATATTGTGGCCGAATCAAGATTTTATAATCAAATGGCCGATTTCGCAATTATGTGATTAATAAATAATGAACGAAATTTGACCGACTGTCATCAAATTTGAAAGAGCGGAAAAATTATTACTTATCACCATATTTGTACCCGCTTAAATGTACTAATAAATATTTTTGAAAAAAAAAGTTTTTTATTATTTACGAAAATCCCGAATTCCATCAAATTTTAAAACAAAATTTGTATTAATGAATCTTAATTTTACTAAATGCTTGATGTTTCTTCGTAGTAAAAGTTTAGAAATAGCTTCGACAGTCTTCTGCATTTTTGCTAAACGAAATTGTTGATAATAACAGATGCATTTGGAAACCTAAAAATATTGTCAAATTGGTTGACAAATTTGGATACAAAACATTTTCAAAGAATCGGAAGCTTCAATTTAATCATTTCATGTTTTCAAATGAATTCTATAAAAATAAAATGTCTTTTTTATCAGATAGGTATCATGCAGGCCGAGGAATTTTAAATAAGAGATTTAAATTTTATATATCAAGTAAATTTTACTCACAAATGATGAACATAATGTGCGAATAACAAAGAGCAATAATAATGGTTACTGAAATTGACTGTTGCCCTGTACAAAAGTTAACAAAATTATAATTGTAATCTCATAATTCAATTTCGATTATCACTTATAAAACCGTCAACAATTTTTTAACAAAGTTCTTGCACGCTCCATTAAGAAATTAACTAGAACTAGTACGCACAAATACGTTTTCAAAACATCAACAATAGCTTTGTGTAACTTATATGTAAAATGACATTAAAATATTTTGTGCTCAATTTTTCGAAAAACATAAAATTAATAATCTTGTTAAGTAACAAGCGTCCATTATTTGTTATGTATAAGTAAAAGCATTTTCGTGTTTTTTCTTTAAATGTGAAACATATAAGTCGCATACAAAATTTTTTTTACACATGTATAAGCTCACGTTAGGACTGTTGATACATTTACATTTCTGTATTATTAGTTATGAGACTGAAAAAATTTTGAAAATATCTCAAGACATCATAGAGTTATGTACTAGCCTTGATATACTGAACTCGGTATTGCTTGTGGAATGGAATAGCAAATTAATGGCATTTCATGTCCATCTTTGAACAAAATTTTATTTTTTGAACTTTTTTAATTTTATTTATTATATTTTATTGATCGATATTTAAACTTTGTTGAAAGCAGCGATGTCTACGCTTTGCACGTAATCTTCGATTTCCTGAATAGTTTCAGTCAACCAATCAACTGATACTTTGTCATCTTCTACGACGCAAGAAATTTGCAATTTCTTGATGTTGAATGCTACTGGGACCAATTTGGCTAAAAATTTATGCAAAAAAGTTAGGAAATTGCAAATGAATATAATAAAAGATTTTCTCATTCAAAAATTGAAATTACCTGCACCCCACAAGAGACCATCGCAGGAAATTTTGCGTACTTCGGCTTCCAAAACCTTCATGTCAGTCTCATCATCCCATGGCTTAACGTCCAAAATGATGTTAGATTTGGCAATCAAAGCAGGTTCTAAAATTTGACAAAAAATTCAAATGTTAAGTAACAAAAAATGTCTACGTATAAGACTTCATGTTATTTATAAAGTCAACTTACTCTTTGATTTTTTGGCATTGTATGCAGCCAATCGCTCTTCTCTAATTTTAGCTGCCTCTTCACTTTCTCCCTACATAATTGAATGGAATCAAATAATAAATCATTAGAAAAATATTAAGTTGATAATAAATAAGTACATCAAATCTAACAAAACTATTTTACTTCAATGACTCACGATAAAGATAAAAAATTTGTTGAAACCACAATGAAATGATTATGAAACATATTTTTGATGATGATTTCATAAAATTGGTGATTTAAACAAAAAATAAAAGTTTGGATTTGTTTGGAAATATCTGGTGTCAACAAAATTTCATGTAATCTTTTCATTTACAATATTTGTAATCAATATTTTAACCACAATATTCATGATAAATTGATTAATTAGTCAAGTGTATATATTCACTTATTAAATGATTAATTTTCTCACCTCAGAGTCAGAACCAAACAGATCTACATCTTCATCATCATCATCCTCCTTCGGTGCTGGCTTGGCAGCAGGCTTGGCAGCTGGCTTGGCTGGGCAAACTTGTACAGCTGGGGCTGGGGCTGGTTTGGAACCTTCCAATCCCTTCACACGGCTGTCTAATGTGACAACCATGTTTTTCAAGTCTTGTACAACTAAAAATTAAATATAATTGAAAATCCATTCTGTTTTTTATAATTTAAAAAATTGTTAAATCTATAAATAAGTTTTTAAAAATATCAAAGTAATTGTTATAAACTGCAAAATAATAGATACATACTGTTACGAAGTTCTTGATTTTCCTTCTCCAATGAAACTAGTCTGCCAGAAACTTCTTTGTCTGGGACTTCTTTTTCGACAGACAAACCAGCAAGAGCTGCAATGCCATCCATCTAAAAATTCAAAGGTTTTTGTTAAATTTAATCAAAGTTTTTGTCAAAATAATTTGGAATTTAAAAAAATTGATGATGAACAAAAATAAGTATTATAGCTTCGAACTTACAACTTGCAAGGACAGCTTGATGTGTTGGCGTGCCTTGGCAACTTCAGCAGCTAAACTTCCAGACATTGTGATATCTAATTCCTGTAAAATAAATATTCAGAATTAGTTTTTACAAAATTTGATTTTCAACAATAAACTTATTACACATCAACAATAAACTTATTATTTAATATTGTTTTACTAAATTAATTGTCAATGCATCTTTTAAAATATTTTAATTCTATTACACGAAACAAAATATTTATCAACATTGAATAACATGCCAATTACTAAAAGGTGGTCAAAATAACCCACGTAAATATAACTATATAATGTGCATGTACACCTAAATGATAATATTATGAACCATTTGACTGCCAAACAGACAAAATTCTTAAAAATAACATAGTATATATTCAATAAAAATATAAACAAATAATTTACTGTTTGACATTAGAATTAGAGTTAAGCAACATGCAATTTGTTAGTATTGTTAAAAGAAGATGATAATAAATAGTCCCATAATTCAAAACAAAATAATACATCACAAAAACTAAAAAACATGTGTGCATTTCAAAATAATTACATTAACTAAAATCTGTAAAAAATTTTGATTTAGTTAAAAAATCAAATCAGGTTTATAAATAATGAAAAAGTGCATTCATTATGCAAGGCATCACAGGGTCATCTAATGAATAAATTATACCTGACAAGATATAGGTTCTTTAACATCTTGGACAATACTTTTAGTGTCTTCTAATATTCTATGATTTTTATCAGCTATATTTTTTTTCTCCTTTGCATCTTTTGCTTTGTTCTTTTTACCTACATTAGGAGTAGATTGTTCAATTTCTTCATTTTTAGCATCAGTAATTTCAGCAGTAGCATTTTTGGCACTTGCAGCTTCCTTTGCTTCTTCTTTTTTTTTATTTTTTTTAGAATTCTTAGAGGGTTTAGCTACTTCTGATGTTGAAGAAATATCTTGAGTTGAAACTTTATTATCTTTATTCTCTTTTGCTTTTTTGGATTTAGATTTTTTATTATTGGATGGAGTATTAACAGCTTCAATTTCATTGGTTGCTGAAGAATTTTGGTTGTTGCTACTGTCAGCCATGATAACTTCAGGTAGTACCTTTACAAAATTTTAGCTACAAATTATTTGACTAGATCTTGATAATTGAGAGATTTTTCTCTTAATACACAAATATTTTGTATATATTAAAATTTGACTAATTCTGTTTGCTTAAGCCAAAACTTTAAGTTTTTTTTTAAATTTAAATTAGAAGTAAATTAAGCATATTTCATAGAAAAAATTATTTAAAAACATCAACAATAGTAATTCAACCTGCACAGTTCATAACTTTTATCACCTAATTATTGTTTTATATAGCTTTTGTGATTTTAAGAAATTAAGGTATTATTTTGATTTGTATAAATACATTTTTCACCTTGACACTCAGAATGGTCTATCAGAAGAAAGCATGTTAGTGTATACTTGTAAAATATTAGATTGATCTTTAACAAATATTAGAATCCCAATCACCAGATATTTCCCAAAATAATTTTTTTTAGTAACATTAGTGTTTTAGATAAGCAAATTTTGGTTAAGAAATTGATGAAAGGTTAATTATAGGAACACATAGATGTTGATGGTGAAACTTGATTGTTGATAAAAGTAAATTATGATGATCGAGATGATCCATTTACTTATGAGTGATAAAAACATCGCAGATGGTGAAATTACTTTTTAAACCGTTTAAGACTTTGCGTGAAATAATTTTACCTTGGCAAGTCTTTCGTGGTGCAGGCGCTCAGCCCTGTCGTAAGTTGATTTATCGGACCAAACCTTTTCTTGCATCGAAACCGCGGCCATTTCAATCCTAAAAGTCACAGTCACAAATGATGGGTGATACAAAACTTATTCAGTAGTACAGAAATTGTAATTTTTATTTTCAAAAATATACAATTATTTTAATTATCAAAACTAGGAATAAAATTATTTTAAATATGCTATAAATTTCTGCTCACTTTTCGAGCTTAATCATCTTCATCATCGCTAATAAAACGAGATTTATAATTACTTTCAGAAAATATAGAGTATGAAGAAACTTGTATTGGTTTGGATGTACTTGACAGAGAGTCAATTGTAATTTTTTCTTGCATGATTTTATCTAATAGATCATTCATTTCCTTTTCATTTTTTTCACAAACGCAAGGAAATACTTTTTTTGGTTTAAAATATTGAATAAAAGCTTCTATTTCATTATAAGATGCATGCGTTGAATAGCAAATATTTATTGTATTGAATCTATTTTCATCTTGGGAAATCATACAGGATGTATCTTTGCCAGACCATTTTTGTGCAGAAGGTACAACAGTTAAAATATTTTCAGAATCGATAACAGGTCTACATTCTATATTTTTATTTTTCATACTATCTTTTTTATTCATACAAGCATGAATGGGAGTAATTTCTCCGATATTGGTAATGTGATCTTTTAGTATATCTATTTTGCTGTATACGGAATAAATGTTTTCTTTCACATGCACTTTGAGGTTTAATGCTTTTGAAATTTCAATGTAAATGTATTCACTTCCAATTAAAGCAGATATTTCTAAAATGACAATATTTTTTGGATTCTTTTGTATCCAATTATTAACAAATGAACATAATTGTTCAACACTTTGTTTTCTACTAGGAAATTCTTTGAATTTCAAGTTTAAAAATGTTGTATCCAAATAAATTTTGTCAATAGGTATTGGAAAATTTTCGTGACCTATTCTAATATTTAGTGGTTCTAATTTATTATAATCGTTCATATTTATTCTAAAATCTCCAGTATATAAAATTGTAAGATCATTATACTTGAATAAAAACATTAAAGAACCTGGACAATGGCCAGATGAAATACTAGTAACCATTAAAGAATAAGCAGAGTTACAAAATTTATATTTAACTAATGTTGGACTATTTAGTTCTAATTCAATCAGCTTTTGCTTTGTTTGGTTAGAACAAAGTTGTGGATATTTATTTATTAAAAATAGCTTTGTTAATGAACTACAATAAAATATTTTATCTTCATTGAGCAGATGAGTAAAGAAATTATCATTTAGTCCTTTCATATGATCAGTATGAAAATGACTTAAAAAATAAACCGATGAGTTTAAATTCTCTTCGACATAGCAATCTACGGAGATGCCGGGAATTTCATCCACGAGTCCGCAAAAAGATGACATGATATACTAGAATGAAATTTCGGACAATCCTATAATAAGAAAATGCAATGTCTTAAATGTTGCACTACGAAGTGCTGCGCTATTATTAGCACTTATGCGATATAGAATATTTTGTTCGTTGGGTTTTCTCTTTTTTGGTATTTTTGATTCCAGATGGATTTTTCAACGAGCCCTAAGGTTCGAGGTTAGGTATATAAATGGAATTTGCGAAATAAGAATGTAACGTTTTCTCAACTGTTATTACTCGTTCAAACTGTACTAATTTATTAATGATTTTGGCAAGTTATTCTCGACTCGTCGCAATGTTGGCAAAGTTTTATTATACTCTTGGATGATTTAGCTATATACCATGTGCTTTATTGATCGATTCTCTTACAACTGGCAAAAGTTTTGCGTCACTTCACCTTTTATAGACTGCGACTTTTTCATTTGTTAGTGATAAAAGTCATGCGAAAGTCGTAGGGATTAGGGTGGCAAAAAGTATAAAAGAATTACCTTAAGTGATGAGTTTGCGAGAAGAGATCTGCTGAACTTGCAGATTAAATTTATTTGTGAGTTTGAGAAAACGAGCTAACGTCGTCCGGTTCGGTAGAGGAGAGAAAAGGCTCGCTTGCGCAGTGAAACCTCGTCGTGAACGCGAATACGCAAGTCTGTACCAATAGCGCCAACACAAGGCACACGCGGAAACTGACGCAGTGACAACTGATGATTTCGCGTGACGAAAATACTGGCAACACTGATTGGCAACCAATTTAAAATTTTCCAAAATTTTACGTTAAGAAAATAATTCGCCCCGAACGCTAATTTATTAAATCCATTGACAAACATTTTGTCCTCGTCTTCAATTCCAGAGAGTATGTTCAATCAACGTGGAATTCTTAAAGTTTCCTTTATCTTATGTATTTTATTAGTAAAGTTGGATCAGTTGTTGGCAATTAATTTTACGATCTAACGGATCATTCATTGGTGTCGCGATATAGGTGATTAAAAAAATTAAATTATTCAAACATCTTTGTACATTGTTCCGTAATAAGAAAAAACTAACAGTACCATTGATGCACCAACATGAGCAATAGTTGATGAATACAATATCTAACTTACGATTTTCACTTTAAATATTCATTCAAAAGTCGTAAGGCAAGTATTATTTTAATTGAAGGGACATATTACAAGATTATTGAATAAATAACAGTAAAAGTAAAAATAAACTATTTCTTATTAAAATATGTATAAAAATATGTATTTAAAAACAGCAATTTCATTAAAAACCTGACTAAGTCAGCATAATATCACATTTCATTACAACAATGGATTTAAATTTTTAGTCTGTACAATTTAATTGTTCAATTGAGATTCTAAAAAAAAAGAAACTTATAGTTATATGTACAAATATAAATTGAATACTTATAACACTTATATCTTAATAAATACATTTCATTTTGTGTCATAATGACAATTAAATTTTCTAAATAGAAAATTATGTCCCATGGAATCAGAAATTAATGTCAACATATGTAATAATTATTTAATTATCACTTCCATCTTCGTTTGGATCATCATCATCATCATCATCATCATCATCATCATCCTCCTCCTCCTTCTCTTCTTCTTCTACAGGTTCTTCATCAGAGTAAACAGCTTGTAAATAATCTTTTACAGAATTATATCCTTCCGATAAGGCGGTTGGGGCTAAAATTCCTGTGGGCCGTTGACCATTTCTTGTTCTGCAAATGCTGCAATTGCACAATCTCCGGCATGGTGGACACTCCCAAGTCTACAGAAACAAAATAAATTTAAAAAAAGTTAATAAAGTATTTGATTTTGAATCTTTGAAAAATCATAATTGCAAAGAGTTTGAAATAAAAAAAAGAGCTCATGTCTAAAATTATCTTATAATACTTACAGGATTTAAAAGGGCATCGTAAGCGGATTCTCCATATCGCCCATTCAAGCAGGGTCCACAAAACTGTCCTCGTACTCCAACACATCGACCAGATCTACACACAGTTTTGGTATCTTTGGTTTTTTGTCGACACTGATGGCAACTAGTTCCATTGTGTGCATCGTAGACCTTTCCACTTGCTTTCTGAGCAATATTTTTCAACATACTTTGGGTGATTTCATCTGGTGACGGTATTGTGGAAGGATCGTAAGGTGCTTTAGTCCAATTACATACTTTTTTCTTTTTGGGACGATATTTATCTTCATCATCGCTGTCTACAAAATTATATGAATTACCATCACTATCATCATCGTCGTCGTCGTCATCCTCGCTACTTTCTGAATCGCTGGGTATGAACATGAGATCTATGTCTCTTTGCATAGGTCGGCTCCAGGAAAACATAACTAGCAAATTGCGCTTTTTTCGTTTGAATACAATCTCCTTACCTTCCAGCATATCTTCAATATCCTTTGGATTATTATAGGTGACTGCATCCTCTTTTTTCCGTTTCTGGCTTCTAGTATTGTAGGTTTTTTGAATTTGTAAACGTACACCCCTAAATGAATTATTAGGTGACCCAGACCTTAGGCTGCTGGTGCTTGCTCGTCGTCGGCGTGCCGGTTGTGGTGGTTTTTCTTTTTCATAAAGACTGCGTCGAGCGTTTTCAAGTCTATTGATTTCAGCCTTATCCTCGTTGATAGAGGATAACATTTCTCGGAAGAATGCATTTCTTTCAGCAATATTCCTAGCTCGTATGGCCTCCAAGTCATTTACCTCGTCGTCGCTCATTTTAAAGCAGATGAATGCTGAGATTTAATTTAAAGCACTTTGAGTAAACTTAATCACAAATAGATATCCAAACACGATCGATGTTTTGTTTGTATGTGGGAAAAATGTGACAGAACGCGTGCTTGACGTCGAGTTGGACTCTGATAACGAAACTCCGCTTTCAAACTGGATTTGACAACGAACGGCTTTTAATGCCGGCTTGTTGACGAAAGTCGACCAGCCGGTTGTCTTCGATCATTGATGTCCCGCCAGAATTCGACCACGAGGCGTCCATGAGAAGGTCTGTTTGTTTGGCTTAATGGTAATCTAACCAATATTTGAACACTCGGATAATATATTCTCTATGCATTTTAGTTGATTGAAAATAATTTTAATAGTCTAAGTGATTTTTCGTGTTGAAATTCGCAGCGAAAATGATAATATAAACGGAGTATTTTTCTTTATTAAATTTCTGTTAATGATGAAAGACATGTGTTTGCATTGACGGTCCTGGACGCACATTTAAATTTCAAAAGTTACGGAAGATTTTCGTAGTATGGTGGTTTGCGCGGACTGCGCATTGGGCTGTTGGGCATAGTATTCGTACTGCTATACGGATTTAAATGTGTACTTTAAATGAGTCCCGGAGCCGGCTTTAGCCAATGGGATTAAACGAATGCGAACCCCCTTTATGGTGTTGCTTGCCGAGTCTGAACTCTCGCAGTACTACACAATGCAAATGCACATACACTGACATACAAATTTCGGAATTACGGAGTAAGTACCATTAACTCGGTACACGCTGACAGTCAACCTATTGTTTTCTTTTGCCGACTGTTGACACCTACACGGACATTTTCTCGTTCATGTCATAATATTTAAAAATTGAAAATCTAATAACACTTACTTTAGAAACTGTATACCGTGATAAACATACACTCATAGAATTGCTTGAATTGAAACCGGCTACATTAAGCAATTTTAAAATAAATTAAAATAAGATATTAATTAATATTACACGGTAATGAAAAAATTTTTCGTAATAGTTACCAAAAACTTAGATATTTTGTGTTTTATTTTACTCAAACAATCGAATACTTTTCTCATGTTACTTAATGCAATTGTATTTTTATTGTTTTTTTTGAAGACAAATTGATATCAAGGAGGTTAGTTTTGCTGTTCATAAAGGTACTACAAATATATTAACCATGGCTTCTCCATCTAAAGCGCTCAAAGATCTGAGGCTACCAGTTTCAAGAGTGAAAACCATAATGAAAAGTTCGCCACAAGTTGAAGCAATAGGTCAAGATTGCTTGTTTTTAGTAGCTAAAGCAACGGTAAATTATTTAAATGGTTTGTTCAAAACTAATGATTTGCATTTTTCTAATCAACAATTTTGACTCAATTTGCAGGAATTATTTATTCATTTTTTGTCGGAAGAAGCTTATAAAAAGTCTAATAAAGCTGCTTGTTTAGACTATAAGCATCTGGCAGAAGTTGTTCACACAGAAGAAGTTTTAGAGTTTTTAAGAGAAATTATGCCAAGAAAGATAACAGTTCGTCAATTCAAGCAAATGATGGCAGACAAAAATCCTGAAACTTCATCAGATTCCGACAGTGACAGCCAGTCAGATAGTGAATCTAATTCTGATAGCGACGAGAAAATGGAAAATGGTAATTCTTCAGATAGTAATGATAGTAATAAAAAGAATGGAAATGATTCTTCTGAAGAAAGTAGTGAAAGTGAGGAGGAAAAGAAAACTTAATTGTTTTGTTGTATTGTACAAAATGTGTGTAATGATTACCATGTAAGATTCAACTAACATCAGCATAGTTATGAAAAAGTCTGAATTACATGTTAAGAGTATATAGCATAAACTTAACATTTTTAAAATAATATTTTAAAAAATGAAATTTGTTAAAATTCTGACAGTTGTATTTTTTACATAGGCTATAAGACTATCCGAAAAATTAGGTTCTTGCTTATTTAAATTAAATTTCTTAATGTATCAATTTTATTATTTTTATATTTGCAAAAACTGCAGTCTACATAGATCATTTAAATCAAGACTTTTAAAGTTTTAGTAAATAAAAAGGCATTATGTAAGCAAGTATAATATAAGGATAAATGAGTAATTTGTAAAGTATAAATGAGTAATTTTAAAATCAATTTTTTTTTTTTGAAGACAATGAGAATTTGTTTTTTATTATTAATTTTAATAAAAAAACAGTTAATGTGACATTAATAATGCTATGTTTACCTAATTATTCTTGATGCAGTTTTTTGACTGTTCCTGTTGGTACTTCATCGTAATCCTCACTTAATTTTTTAGCTAAAAAGTAAATTTCTGCTAATGCTATTATCAAAGCGCACATTATACCTAGAAGTAATCTAAAACCAAAATCTAAATTGTTCACAAGATATTCAATACCAATGAATCCAAATGCAAAACCAGCAATTACTGAAAATACAAATTGTGCAACAGCAATGAGTTGTTGATTCATGACTTTCACTGAAAAAGTTAGAAATGATATTTGTAAGTTAAATTAGTTTGATTAGTTTATTTATCTCATGCTAATTGTAGCAACTTACTTTGATATGATAACGTATCTTCTGGCAAATGCTTTCTTCTTGAATCAACACTTTTAGTCATAGCATTATAATCTCTATTATCCTGCTGAGCTTGCAATTTTTTTATTCTAGCTTCTAATACAGGATTTCTCGGAGTTACCTTTGGTTCAGGTAGTTGTAGAACTGCCTTTTCTAAAAGTTCATGAACATAAACCACATTATCAGAACCATTTTGTTGCTTATCCATGCAGGATTTGATCCACTTTATGTCCTCTAAGTAAATAAAACATTTTTTTCGCTCATTAGGATGACACTTTTTTAAAACATTAATATTATCTGGAACATTTTTAGCACTTTTAAAATTTTTTAAGATAAAGTCTATTAATTGATCAGTTGGCTTAAATTTTACTCTATGATCTTCGATAGTTTCAACTGGCATTATAGAGCTGGGAATTTAAGATGCAATATGTAACTTTTGTTCTAAGTCTTGATAATATTCTTGCAATTCTTTTTCTTTATTCATAAACTCGTCATCAACTTTTGAACACTTATCGGTCATATCATTGATGAACTTTTGCCACTCACTTCTTCGCACTTCTCTATTGTCTTGTAATTTGCTATCCTACAAACATAAAAAAACCCGTTATGTACCATAAACTTAAAAATACAAGTTACACAAGTCCTTCCTAACAAAAGTAAACAAAAATACATACACTATCAAATTCGTTTTCTTTTTGAAGAACGCACTCGCACATGCTAAGGGCCACGTCCAAGTTAGCTTTCAAGCTGGGCAAATGTTGATCACCAAGAGTTTCAGCACGATCTAAGCGATTCTGTCCTAGTTCCGTGGAATACTCTAATATTTTAAATAGCCTACAAACTTCTCGATCATCTCGTCTATCCTAAATAAGAAGTTAAGAATAAAGTTTGATATGCGATAAATCACAACATTATAGTTTTTTGAAGAATAGTCAATTTACTTGGAATTCTCGCAAAAAAAATGTGACTTCGCCTTGAATGAATGGTCGGTGATCGAATAATCTAGTCCAAATTTCACCAGTATCTGTATCGAATTTAGAAGATAAAAATTATTAGAGTTTTAATTTTGATAAAATGTATTTCATCGCTGCTCAAAAATTATTGCTTCTATGAAATTTCGATTGAATGTAAGACCGTACTGTCGTACCTTTAATGATTGACGCCATGTTTATTGTTCACCGAGCACATGACTAGCCTATCGTATCACGCGTAATGCGTGCGGTACACCCCCACCATTCCCATGTTTCAAAAAAGCATTGAACCCAGGATGATATGAGTGTCCGGGTAATATGAAATACTTTGGCATGGGTATCTTGATTATTTAAAAGAAAAATAAACATTCCGGGAGATAACTTATATAATATGGCGGATATTGAGCTCTGAAAAAAAAGATTTTAATACTAAAATTCGAAGAGAAAATATGAAAAAAAAAAATACTTTTCAGGCAACTTTATCGAGACGTAGAATTTAATTCTCCTCTGACTTTAGGAATTCTCATTGACTTATAGAAATGCTTCTTATTCATGCAGTTCATGCGATTGAAATATTCGGGAAACAAAGCTAGATGTGTACAGAGACTTAAAGAGCGATATAAACTGCATTGAATAGATTTTAATGTTTTGAAGCAAATGTGATGACATGTTAGTAAAACAAATTTTATGACGTTGGAAAAACTATTGTTTGTTAAAATTTTCAATCAGTATATTGTTTGGTTTTGTTTCAAAATAATAAATAAATAAAATTTCATTCGATTTTAAAAAGTTTAGTTTTAAACATTTTTTAACAAATCTCTATAACATATGATATGCATTAATTTGAAGTGAATTAAGCATTTTGAACAATTATTTAGTATCAAATTTTGATTTAAAAATTATTAGTAAAAAATGGTTCACCAAAGCTTCTATTAAAATAAACCTTTTTAATGAGGATTAAGAAAATGTTACAATCTCTAATCATCATATGAACAAATTTATATAAGATACATGTACAAAACTAATTTATAATTAATCTTTCTTATGTAGACAAAATGTTAGAGTTGTTAAGTTATTATTGGAACTTGATGGAATAATTATGAAGTCTTTTATTTTTTGTTCACTTTTCTTAAAACTATTTTATGTTAATAATAAACAATTTATAAAGGTTAGTTTCTAAATGGTTTCAGCAATTTGCTCTTTTCTATGAGTTTTGGGATTGTGATAAAGACAAGACATTGCCTCTTGTAAAGCTCTTAAGCAAGGTACACTAACTTCAAATCCACTAGCTTTGTCCATGTCATTTGTAGGTCGAACATTTGAAAGAAACCCTTTGGATTTGAGATCCTTCCAGTTGGGAGGAGTAGGTCCCTCAAAATCTTGAGATATAGGAACATATTTATATTTTGGACCTTCTTCAATTTTTGGTACCGGAAGAAATCCTGAACTACTTTGTTGACTAAATTTGATGCCTGAGCTAAATCCTGTAGCTTTGGGTGCAACTTTTAATTCTTCTTTAGTTGCTTGTATGTTTGAAGCAAATGTTTGCACAATACTTTTGGCATCACCTTCTGAAAACATCAATTCATCAATAAGTGCTTCTTTTTGCTGTACTTTTTTCTTTTGCAATTCTAATTCAAGCTTAGCCATTTCTTGTCTTTTTTCTTCTTGCTCCAATTTTTCTTGTTCCAAAAGTTCTTCTAATTCATTTTCTTTTTTACCCCATTTATGCTTATTTTTTTGGATCAATTCTTTGTTTTCTCTTTTATACTGTTCTATTCTCTTATTTGTTTCAACAACATCTATATTATTTGATAAATTGAAAATAATATCTTCTACTTCTTCTAAGTAATCATCATATTCTCGTTGTGTAGCAAAATCTTCCTCTTTTTTGTTAAAATCTCTGAGAATTCTTTTGCGAATATCTACTTCTTTTTCAACTGCTGCATCCTCATACAACTGAACTCTAAAATTTACTCTTCTTAAAGGTATATGACAGTCTGGACAAGAGCCAGAACCTAATAAAAAAAGATAAAAATTTTTAACCAATAAAAATTGATAAAAAATAATACAATTGAATCAACAAACCTTTTAAAAATAATAAATCAACACAACTTTCGCAAAGAGTGTGTCCACAAACATTAACCAACAGTTTGAGAGATGGATTTCGATACTTGGTTGTTTTGCATCTTGGGCATGCTTGATCTTCCATATTTTTTTTTTTCAATGTAAACACTTAAATAGTAGAACTGTAATTTTAGAAAAAAAAACAACAATAAGTTGTCAGTGATGATCAAATAAGGTTAAAAGAAATAAAAATCAGAATAGAAAGCAGAACTCAAATCTTTTGAAAATTCCAAATTAAATGTTTTCAAATTTCGTACGTTTGTCAATGATTCAAATTGGTAGACTTGACCTTTTTTATCATGCCCAAAAAATCTCAAAATGTTGTTCATCAGAATTCAGACTTCATCATATATAAATAGTGCAAGTAGAGAGGTTGTGTCACTGGATGTTCCAAATTTATAGCAGAAGATTTTCCGGTGTCTTGATTTGAATCAGCTAGTTGCAGACTGCAGCAGTAGTAATGTAGCACATGCACGGGACGCATGTCGTTTTTTCGTAAAATGTAATTATTTGTTATTTGTGATTGCTTAATTAAATTACATTGGACGTGAACTAAAAAGAAACTAATAATTTATGAAAACGTGAAAAATGTTTTTGATTTTTATTCATTAAATATTTTTTATGTGAGCACATATATAATTTATTATCTTATCACTACTATCTGTTTAATTTTATCTACTTAAAAATATTACCTCAATATATTAGCAAATAAAGAACCTTCGGTTTCTAATAAATCTAAAGTGAAAACTTATTATTAACGTTGCAGCATAAATTATATTAGTAGTTTTTGAAGATGTCAAATGAACCAAAAATATTGATTATTGGAGCTGGAGCTGCAGGTATTGCGGCTGCTTCTCGTCTTTTACAAAGAGGTTTTAAAAATGTTACGATACTGGAAGCAAAAGATAGAATTGGTGGTAGAATTCATACTGTAGAATTTGGTAAGTTGAATCTCTTATTTTAAATTATGGAAAGAATCAAATTGTGTAAATTTTTTCATTATTTATAGGTAAAAATTTTATCGAGCTGGGAGCACAATGGTGTCATGGAGAAAAAAATAATATTGTTTATGATCTTGCCTCACCTCATAATCTATTAGAATCTTCAAAAAATATTCATGATCATTCTAGACATATCTTTGTTGATGCAAATGGTGAAGTGATACCTCAAAACGAAACTAAAGAAATCAAAAGGATTTATTATAAAATTCTTGATGATGCATCAAATACTGCACACGAACCAAAAACTAATTTTGGAGATTATTTTACAAATCAGTAAGGATTATATATTGATATATATTTAATTAACGACAACATCATTTGTAATGTGTAATAAATGTGTCAATTCAATTCCCATTTGAAGTAGAACCTTTTATTTATTTAAAATATTTTAAAGTAATCTTAATAAATTTAATTATTTTTAGATTTCACAAAGAAATTAAACACAATACTTTGATTAGTGAACATAGAGCTGAAAAAATTTTAGATTGGATGCATAAATATGAAAATTCTATTGATTGTTGTGATACTTGGTTTGAATTATCTGCTACAAGATTGAAAGAATATTGGGAATGTGATGGCGATCCTTTGTTAAACTGGAAAACACTAGGATATAACAAAATTTTTGATTTATTGACAGTAAGCATTAAAATATTTATTTTTCACTTATGTCTAAGCTAAAATTATTAAAACGTTTAGTTTAATTTAATTTCAGAATAATTATCCAGATCCAAAAAAGAGACTGCCAGTACTTGAAAAGATTTTATTTAACAAAGAAGTTTCACAAATTGATTACAGTTATGATGATAAAATTATTGTTACAACATCAGATAAGACAAATTATATAGTAGATAGTGTTATTTTTACTGGTTCTTTAGGAGTACTAAAAGAAAATCATCAAAATATATTTCATCCATCTCTGAGTCTCAATAAAATTAAAGCAATTGAGGTATATTTCAATTTATTTATTTTATTTTATTTTTTTGTATTTTATTTAAATCTTATTAAACCAGTACTTTTTTGTTTAGAATTTTAATATAGGGGTAGCTGACAAAATTTTCCTAGAATTTCCCAATCAATGGTGGCCAGAAAAAACTGGAGCAATATGCATTATGTGGTCTGAAGAACAAAAACAAAAATTTTTAGAAACCTATGGACAAGTGAGCATGAATCAATTATTTTTTCAAGATAATAAATCAAGTTATTTTTTTATTAAAACTATATGTTCATTACAGTCTCGTTATTGGATGACTAGTTTATTTTTATTTTTTGCTGTTGATTATCAACCTCAAATTTTATCGGGGTGGTTAGTGGGACCAGCTGCAAAGCATGTAGAATCATTATCAGATGAAGAAATTGTTAGTGAATTCTATTTTATGTTAAAGAAGTGTTTAGGACATATATATGATATTCCTGAACCAACAAAAATGAAGAGGTAATCTCACTTTATCTAGCATCAATTCCTTCCAACAATCAATTCATAACTATCAGAAAAAAACATTTGTAAACTTAATTGATTTGTTAAATTAAAAACATTATTTAATATTTTTACAAATGCTATGAATTTGTGAATTCAATTTTAGTGAAACCAACTTTATAATTAAATGTATATTTTAGGTCGAAATGGTTTAGCGATAAACATATAAGAGGATCATATAGTTATAGAAGTTTAAAAACTGAAGAATCAGACGTTCAAGCCAAAGATTTGTCAGATCCAATTAAAAAATCACATGGAAAACCTGTAAGCCAATAAATATTTCTCAGTTCTTAGTATAAAAATTGAAGATTACCTAAAATTTATTTTTGAAACTAATATATTTTTTGTAAAGGTTGTTTTGTTTGCTGGAGAAGCAACACACGAGCATTACTTTTCTACTGTACATGGAGCCATTGAAACAGGTTTCAGAGAAGCTAACAGATTAATTGAATATTATAAGTAAGTGACCAATCTATATTCACAATACTTTTCTGAAAAAAATTTGTAATAACTCAATATTATTCATTAGGTGCCTCAAACCACATTTGTAAATGTTTTTAGAAGCTGTCATCACATAAAAAAACTGCTACCAATTTAATGGCGAATCCATGATTTATTGTTTTATTGTGTATTAATTAATCAAGTATTATGATAAGCATTTTGCCATGAAAAATTTTATATAGCTTTATTACATGATTATTTTGTTATAGATTTAATAAATATATATGAATAAGTTAAAAGGATTTGTTTTCATTTCAAAAAATGTGTGTGAACTAATCGAAGCGACACTGATTTGCATATCACACGATCGGTGATATACTATATCGCGTAACTGTACACATTTTAGTGTACAGTATGTGATATATGTCCAGAATGTCATAACCACAAGTGCTTGCTAGCTTGTGCTGCAGTGTACTGTGTACATTAACCAGCAGTAGTTGCGATCTTCCACCTTATAATGTGTATTGTTTACAAAAATAAATACAATATCAATTTTATATGACCATTAAAAAAACATAAGTTATTAGTTAGTTATTTTTTAAAATTTATCAATTTTGACTACAAAGTATTCGACTCATTTTTTAAATTGAAAATTGAGCTGCTTTTTTAAATTATTTATTTAACGCAATGGAAGAATCAAGTGCAAATGAAAACAATGATTCCAATCATTTCGTTGTAATTGAAAATGGTGTAAATAGTCCCGATAATCCTCACGACAATTCTCTATCTATTAAAGCACAAAAAATTTCTAAAATTATTGAAAAAGAGTTTGATAAAGAAATTAAAACTAAAAAAGTCGAAATTTTAAATATTTTCGAAACTCTCCAGAAAGCTGTCAAAACGTTGCACTTCTTGAGAATGTCAATTGTTCGTGATTATTATCACAAGGATAATTTACTACCGGATGATTCAGAGGATTCTAAAAAACAATATCGTCCTCACCCTACAGTTAATGCTTCTGCCAAAAAAATTACTTTAGCTGATATGGGTTATCCAGAAGATTGTTTTGCAGAATTCTACAGAGAAAAACGTCAAAAGCTAATGGAAGAAATGTCTGATAAACTTGAAGAAGAATCTAAAAAAAAAGAAAAAAATGCAGAAATAATAAAGCAACTGATCAAGAAGAATTCTTCTGTTCCAGATTTAATTAGCAAACAAAAAATGAAAAAATACATAGTTGTTGGTAATGTATCAAAATGGATCGGGGAAAAAATTAGGGAAGATGATCCAACCCATAAATGGATAGTTTATGTGACAGATGCTAATAAAGATCCAAATTCAGTTGAAATTGCACAATATATATCAAAAGTACGATTTTTTTTACATCAAACTTATAAACCATATGATGTGATTGATATCACTTCTCCTCCATTTCTTTTGTCAAGGCATGGTTGGGGCGAATTTGATATGAGAATCCAGATACATTTTTCAAATGGAATAAACAAACCTGTAAACATCATTCATCAGCTGAAATTAGACCAAAAAAATACAGGTTTATATGAACCTGGACAAGAAACGATAGCTAATATTTATGTTAGTTCAAAAATTAGAAATTTTAATATAAATGAAGAAATCAATACAGATAATGAAATCACAAATTATGATCTGAATAGTCCTTCAGAAAACCTTGAAAGTATGAATCATTCAAATGATTCACCCCACAGCCAAGTTAATTTATTATCAACTACTACTACTAAAAATGAATCTTTGAATCAAAATGAAAAAACAATCATGACCGAAAGCATGGGATATGAAGACTCTTGTAAACCGCTTGATAACATAAAATTACAATCAACTGATATCTTTAAGGATAAAAAAATGGATTCAGATAACTCTAATGATGTTTTGCAGCACTCAGGTTCAATGAGTAACTCAATCAATTATAATGCTCTTCATCAAAATAATTTTCTTGAAGATAACAATGTTGTAAATTTTGAAAAATACTGTCAAAGTGTTGTCAACTTTATAAATCAATCAAGAGTAAGAACTTTATCAAAAGTACTCAAATTAGTTTTCAATCGTTTGCCCCTCAATATGGACAAAGTTAATGATCCTTGCTACATGAGTCTACCTCCTTATGCTCATGAGAGCATATCAGAGTTTAATAAATGTTCAAAGGTAAAACAGAGAGCTTTAGAGAGGTATCGAGCTATTAGTGCTTTGAATATCATTAATAAAATTGACCAGTTTTGTGATACTTGTTCAGTTAATGAATTGATAGTGTGGGCTAGAAGGTATTATTTTACTCCCATATATGACCTTACATTTTTGCATAAGTATTGTCAAGCAAAAAATGTTGAAAATATTGTAGGCGACTTTCAGTCAACATCAACAGTATTATCTAGTTTGAATCAGTGGATAAAAAAATGCCAAAAAACAAAATCAAAAGTCAATAAAACTGTAGATGAAAGTGATGAAGAAATTGATGTACTCAATGCAAAAGCAAATGTAACAAGACTTCCATACTCAAATGATTGTACAGAATCAAGTAATAATCTCCTTATTTCCATTGAATATCCTGATAAAAAAAATAGTTTACAAGAGTTTGTAGATAATACTACGCAACAAATTGGAATAAAGTTGGTGAACGAAGAAGTAGTACAAGGGGTTTCTCACAATTCATCAAATTTGTTAATAACTAAATCTGTAGAATGCCTTTTTGAGGACTTATTGAGGACTTCTTTTTCATGTGCCATAGATAGATGTAAAAGAGAAGAGAACTTTGTTATTGAACCAAATGATGTAAGAATGGCATTAATAAAACGAGAAGAATTTTCTATTTTATCAAATGTCATGCTGGGTTCACAAGATTAAAAATTATATTGATAAATAAATGTTTCATTGAATCTGGGATTTTTTGTACTGTTAGATTTACTTGTAATATATTTTGTAAAATGTTGTCTTTTCTACTTTTATGAATGTTGAAAAATAAAATTTAATCTATTAATTTTTCTTAAAAAGATTTTGTAAAATAATTTTTTAATCACAATGCCTCATATGTAATTCAACAAAATTCCCATAATCTCTAATTTTTTTTCTTTAATTTTTTTGGTTTTTGAACAGATTTTAAACCTTTTCATTTTGACTACATTATTTTTTGATAAAATTGAGCGCGAGCTGTTCGAATTAGCTGATGAAGGCAAGCAGAAAGAAAAGGAGTTGCCAATTGGCATTGTACTCCCACCTGTCAGCCGTACACCGATATAGCATTCGTAAATTAACATCGCATGAATCAATTTGTACGTACATGTATAAGGTATGTATTTACGTATCATATGTAGAGACATTGATATGATGTGCAAAACTGCGAACAGGATGCGTGTCATATGTGCGTTCGTGTGTTGTAACATCATCTCATGACACCCGCCGACGTCTGACGATCGTGCGTGCGACAAGATACATTTGCATGTTAGTTCCTGAAGTGGAATGTTGCGAAAGCTGTTTACTGCTAAAACGTTTGACTAAGATATCAAATTGATTTCTTTTAGAAATAAACTTTAATCTGCGATACCGGACCATATGAAGAACGAACCAAAATGTCGAGAAAATTGCTGGAGGTACTGATTCTCGCCTTGTTTTTTATTACCACAGCCCGGTCGAATGCCATTGGCATCAAAGATGAGGATGCTCAAAGCTTGTACAACGCGACTGACCAGGTCGTAATTTTGGATGTTTATAATTTCAAAAGTCAAGTGTACAATAGTGATAAGGCATGGTTAGTGGAATTTTATAACAGTTGGTGTGGTTTTTGTCATCGTTTTGCACCCATCTGGAAGTCACTTGCAAAAAGTGTTCACGGTAATTGTTTACTTTTACTTATCAATATTAAATGCTTGTTTTTCTTGCGAATTTTTGAAATTATAACATTTTTTTATTTACAGTTTGACTGTTCATACATTTTGATTGTTTTCGTGACATATTTTACGATTTAATATTTTTAAATTTATTGAAAAATGTTGAATAAAATTCGATAACTATAGGTATTTTCTATTGTTTTTTTATAGACTGGAATGACATCGTGACTCTGGCTGTGATAGATTGTGCAAATGATGATAACAATCCCATGTGCCGGGAATATGAAATAATGAAGTATCCAACTATAAAATTTTTTTCTGTCAACTCAAAAGAGGAAAACTTAGGTTTAGAATTTACAAGTCATAAAGATGAACTAAGTTTAACTCAAGGATTAATTCAGCAATTAGAAAAAGAACAACAAGAACAAAGAGGAGCTTCGACTTGGCCAAATATTGTACCATACAGGTATGCTTTATAAATCGTTTTTCTTTTATGATTTTTTATTAAAAATGTTATTTTTCAGAGGAACTGATTTAGATGTGTTGTGGCATGGAACCCCAGATGATATTAAGTATCAAATTTTGATTTTTGAAGAACCAGAATCATACCTAGGTGCTCAAGTAATTTTAGATTTGCATAAATTAGACACAATTCTTATGAGACGAGTGAGTTCTGAAAATGAATTGCTCAGTGTTTCTAGTAAAATTATGAAATTTCCAAGTTTGTTGATATTAGACAGAAAAAATGACCCAACAGTTTTGAAAATAAATACAATTTCTAGAGACAATGTGAAGGAAATGATAATTCAATTCTTAAAAACAAATGGAGTCGATGTAAGGAAAAAGCTACAGAAGTCTATGGAAAAAGTAGAAGAAAAAAGTACTCAACCTTTTTTGCAGCATGATGAGAATAACAAACAAAATTCTATTTTGGAAAAAGTGACAAAAGATGAACTTTATCAAGTTGATTTAGAAAGTGCTTTGAGATACTCTTTAAACAATGAAATTAGTTTATCATCAGTCATTTCTGGTGAAAAAATGAATGCATTGAAAGCTTACTTGAATGTACTTGCTAATTATTTTCCAGTTTATTTACCAAAAACAAAAACATACTTGGAAATATTATACAAAAATGTGGAGAGTACTAACAATATTACTGGGAAAGAATTTAAAAAACTCCTTAGAGAAAAAGAGAGTGAACTTACACCTATTTATTCTGCGCCTCCTAAAACATGGATAGGCTGTAAGGGCAGTAAACCCAATTTTCGAGGATATCCTTGTGGTCTTTGGACTATGTTCCATACACTTACAGTTGCTGAGAAAAACTCTGAAAATACTGATAATGTTCCATCTGTCTTAAGCGCTATGCATGGTTATATTAAAAACTTTTTTGGTTGCGCTGATTGTTCCGAGCATTTCCAAACAATGGCTAAAAACAGGAAAATTTTTGAAGCTAATAAAGGTGGTGAATCTGTATTATGGCTATGGCAAGCACATAATGAAGTTAATGAAAGATTAGCTGGTGATTTGACTGAAGATCCTGAAAACAAAAAGATTCAATATCCATCTAAAAATAATTGTGTAAAGTGTAAGTCTCAAGGAGGTGATTGGGATGAAATTGAAGTTTTGAGGTATTTAGAATCCAAGTACAGCAAATTCAATATAAACTCTCAAGGAATTGATTCTGAGTTATTTACTAGAGACATTAATAACAGTGCAACAAATTCTGGAGTTAGTCACAGTAAATTCATCGATTGGAACTTTACAATATTTGATATGAGTATTTGTGTTGTGCTCTACGTTGTATCAGCATCAATACTAGTATTAGTGTTTGCTAAATTTGCATTTAAAAGAAGTTATAGAAAACGTATTACTATGCATAATTTACTTGGGTAGCTATCATAATCAACATTAAATTTGAAGAGACTGATAGCATGTTTCGAAGTTAATGAGTGTATAAAGTTTTGTGAATATAAAATTGATTTTAACATATTTGTAAATGTAAATAAAATAGATAATGACAATTTTGAGAAATATTAATCAAATAATGAACTTTTTATCTTGAAAATTAGAATTGATTTAATTTGATGCACAGTAGAACAACCAATTTCGTATCATCGAGTGAATTAACTTGAAGGCCCTCATGGCTAATTTATACAATTTTTTATCAATGTATGCAAAAAGTGTACCACTATAAAATTATTAACATGTAATGTGATTGTTGCGTATTTATAACAAAAGCTTAAATGTTTAATTATTATTGAATGTGTGTGACATAATTATTCATGTGTAAAATTCATAAATTAGGTTTTCATACAAAATGCCAACAAGCTGTGATGAATATAAGCTTCCTTTAAATAAATAACTTTTAATTTATATAAAAAATTTACCATATTGTTTTAATTTTAATTTAAAATACTAGGTTCTTGTAATTTGTTATAATATTTTCGGTAGAACTTGAGTTATACGAATTTGATGTTTCACCGAATCAATATTTCTTCTTCAATTTCATAAAGTTTTAATATTTTATTAAATAAAAATTATATACGTTTTTAATCATTTGCAATTATTAATATATTTATGCATGAATGAATAAAATGGACAAGCTATAGTCATCGTCTGAAATATGGCTGTGTGATCAGCGTAACCTAACCTTTTCGAGTTCAATAACTCTCTTAGGCAGGCAGAATAGTACATAGTTACTGACTCACTACAAGGTAGCGCCTTATATACTCAAAAGTAAAGAATTCTTCTATTTTGCATATATTCGACTAAAAGCTACATCAAAATTGATAATATAACATATAAATAGCTGGCTTAGTATTTTCAATGTGTGCTCCGATATAGCGTGGTCTTTACTGATCACAAATTTTTTGTTGGGCGGGCCACATGAAACCAGGTTTATATGTTATATTATCCCCACCAGAACAAAAAAAAAACATTATATAGGAATCAGCCCGATTCCCGCCGCTTGCGGGTACCAAATTATATGGCTGGATAGACATCTATCGGCTGTATACGTATTACGCCTATTGACTCGACTTCTTAGACTATTGCGATTACTAATTCTTTTGTCTTTTTAGTTTTTTGATGTGAAACATCTATATTCGCGTTTGGTGATTTCTTTATTTTAATCAAGTTTTCTTCAATGAGTCGGGCTTTGTTATCGTCACACACATATCGTTATGTCTGGATTATCCCTGGTGGAACTTTGGCTTGTCTTAAAGCTCCTAGGTTTCGGTTGATACGCAGGTACATCGCGACTTGCCTGATTTATGCATGCCTGTAGTGTCGCATTTGAAGGAAATGAGTCTAAAAACCATTATTATACTGTCACGTAGGTACACCGCGACCTTTTCTTGCGTATCAATATAATCTGGCCTTATGTTTCAACATTGTAAGCGGCTATAATAAATGTGAATAGCGATACGATCATAATAATTATATGATCATATAATGGGTAAATCTCTGAATAGGTACAATTATCGTCTGCACTTGTTATATTTTTTTATTAGTATTTACATAAGTTTCAACGAAAATTGATTGCGTATACAATAATCTTTGATTTGGATTTTACAGATCATTTATTTCTTCTAGATGGTCACATATCAAATGTAAATATGTACTGTATATAAAAAAATTATTAAATTTATTACATACACCCTACATCATTACTTACTTTTGAGTCATCGTTGTTCATAAGAAGCTTCATTAGAAGCAGAATCTTGATTTTATTAGTGAGCGAATACAGTATTTATCGCGTGACAGATGAGTTTATGATAGAATTTCATTTTTTTTAAATATTTTGATGTCGTGACGAATAAATATTTCTAAAAATGTCGAAAAGCTTCTTCAAGCTTGTTTGCTGTAAAATTTTTCAGTATTTTTTCATCCACTTTCCTCTTGTTGAAAGAATTAAATGCTTAAATGGTGGAATTTATGAATTATTTTCTTGTCATCAATGTGCATTATTGAAAAGTCCATCTCTTAACGTTTACAATCTATCATCTAAATGTGCAGTTGATAATGAACAATTTATTAGTTGAAAGATGCAAGTTTTAAAATTGACTCTTACTTTTCGTGAACTATTGACATTCGTATGATCGAGGTCACATTGATGATGATGTACTTAAAAAAAAAATCCCGATAGAGCATCTTGAAATTTCTTTTTTCCTTTCCAGTCTTTGTGATCGTGTATTCTTTGTCGTAGTACGACTTTATTTTTCGATGGTTTGTCTCTGTTTTTTTCCGGCCCCGGCCGCGCCGCGCGCTCCTTTCTCTTTCATTTCTGCTTTAGTTTGTATCCATTTCAAAGCGTTTTACTCTTCTTCTCTCGTTTTCCCGCGCATTGTTTTTTCCTCGATTCGGGCTTATGCGAGTTTCTTCCAAGGCGAGCTGGGGGAAACGGTTCAGTTTGTGCGGCGAATTCGTTTGAAAAATTGGGACGCGCCGAAAAAAACGAAATTAGTCTCATCTTGTGAATTATCCGCCGTCTAATGCCAAAACAATGAGAGGAGAGAATGAATGAAGCCTTTATGGATCTTCTGTGATTTTAACAAAAGGATTGAATTGGGCTCTCTCTCTCTCTCTCACATCTCTCTTTACATTGATGAAAATTATTATTAAAATGATTCAGCTGACGCTTACAAGATATTCGCGCCTAGCATATATATTAGCCGTCGGGCATGCACAAATCTAACGAGTGTAAAATGAGTATATCGCAAGACAACGACGCGCGTGTAAAGCTGCTCCGCGAGCGAGCGCCTCTTTGGCTGCTGCTGGTGTGCGCGCGCGTGTGTGTGTGTGTGCAGTAGTGCATTTCAGAGGCTCGCGCGCGCCCCCGGGAAACTCGCGCGCAGCATGGCAAGCCGAGAATCTCTCGGTGCCTATACGCGTGCACCCGACTACTGTCTATCCGTAATGCCGTTCTTACACGAGCTCTGCAGCGCAGCAGCAGCAGCATTACTCGAGCCACCGCCGCCGTTGCCGCCGCCAGCGGCACTGCCGCGTGTAGTAGTACTATACAACACGTCGCACGGGCTACCCTCCGGCGCGTATTATATATATATAGCGTGGAGCTTCGGGAGCGTGCGCGAGCGAGATAGGCAAGATTTTGCAGTACTGCTGGTGGTGTGTGTGTGTGTATAGCAGCGCGTGCATCGTCGCCGCGCGCTCTTCTCGGAAAAGCAGTTCGGCCGCAGTATCGCCCGTGAGCTCGCAGGCGGAGCCCGTGTGTCGCTTCTCGAAGCTCCCCGATCCCCGACATCTCTCTCTCTCTCTCTCTGTCTCGGTGCCTATCGAGCTTGCACGCGCGCTTGCGTTCGTCGTCCTAGATGCGCCGATATTTTTGTTGCGCTCGCGTTGTTGTTGTTGTTGTTCCTGCTCGTACTATGTAGCTTGCGCTGCGTATACTCGCGACCGAGATACTTACCGTCGAATTTTTTTAACGCGAAATTTCGCGGCAGTGACTATTTTCTCTGCGACGACGACGACGACGTTGTTGCTGCTGCTGCTGTTGGCCGATGGTTCCTGTATGAATTTATTGGCGGAGGGCCGACGATACGTAAGCCGCGCGCACGCACGTGGTGCGCTTCTTATATATATGCAGTGAGCCACTTGCACCTCGCTCGACGTCGAATCGCTCGTCGCAGCCACCCCCCCGGATTTTGGCCGCCGACTACTCGCACAACAAGCAACGAGGTATTTGCCGAGCTGTAATTATTCCTTTGCATCGAAGCGTCGAAATTCGTCGTATCGCGCTTTAATTGCGTTCGAGCTCCAATTTTTTTTACCTCCTTTCGTGCACTCGATGCGCGCGCGCGAATTTGAAGAGCATTTGGGAAAAATTGCGACCATCGAAGAAATGATTTTTGTTCGAGAGCACTCGCGAGTACCGCTTGTTTGTCTTTGCGAAGAGCTCTTTGTACCGGGATGCCCCGTGTATTCAATAACGATCATATTTACCCAGAGAACATACAATTATAGAAATTAATGTACATCCTGTAAATTGAACCACTTTGGATTTTGATTGATATTTTGGTTCCTCCTGGAAAAAGCTACTTGATATCGAAAATTAGATTTAGAACCAGACGCCGTAGGAAATTTGGTTCACATGTTTGAAAACTACATTAAATTATTAACAAATGTCTGTGTGTTGGCTTTTCGGCCTTTTGGCTAGCATATAAGTATTGTGAGAATAGACGCATGGTACAATGTAATCTCAGCCACGTTCTCAGCTCATTCTCTTTTTAGTAGCTCCGATCGAAGATTCGTACAATTAATTCATCAATAATAAAAAATTGGTTAGTTTATGCAAGTGATCACACATAAAAATATCATTTTTAATGAGATAAGTCTTTGCCGACGAATTGACTGCATTTTTTTCTCTAAAATTTCAATTAAATATTTTTACAGTGGCATCTAGTTACGAGTGCTTCGATCCCACAAATTAAAAGATCCCTTTTTCGAATCCTTTTTTATAACGCTTATATAATTTGATTCAATTTTGCGTAGCAATAGGAAAACCCAAATTATCCACAAAATTGATCAAGTTTTACAATTAAAATGAGAAAATTATTACACAAATTTGAATGAATCAAGTCAATGTAAAATTTTACAAGCAGCAGAGCATTATAATCGCTTTTACTTTCCCACTTACTCGGGGTATCTTGAAACAATGAAAAATATTCGTAAAAACGTTTTTTACTTCGAGTATCAAGAGAAAGCAGTAATTTTATATATCATATGGCAACTTATTTAGACGCTTAAAAGTTCTTAAAAATCAACGCGCGCGTACAGCACAAGAAATTCGAGATGCACGTTGGAATAAAACGACCAAAAATATACGCTCGAATGCCACGCGCGATGAAGATATCGCGCAGTGCCACACATTATATGCAATTCTGTGTGTGTGTGTGTGTGTGTGTGTGTGTGGCTGTGTTTCTTTCCTCTCCTTTCATTCGAACGAGCGGCTTTTCATCCTAGAAATCTGTTTTTATATATACAAGCAGCTAGCATATAGCGAAAGAGAGAGAGAGAGAGAGAGAGAGAGAGAGCTTGCAAGCTCGCACAGGTCTTGGCTTTTATGTACATAAGCCGCCGCTGCCACCGAAGTATATACACACTATGCAGCCGAGCTTGCATGCATACACGATGTACGCTAGAGATGCTGCGAATGCATACATACGTACATACATATATACGTGTGTACGGCTACAGCCCGCAGAATGAGACCGCATTGATGCTAATGATTTCCTTGACTTGCTCGAGCTCTCTTTCACTTACATACTCGCGCTCGCGCGCGCGCATGCACACAAGCGTATATACTTTGAAAGTTTGTCAGGCTAAATTCAAGGATGATTGGGCCAAAGTTTGATTAGGGCAATTATCGACGTCCGCCCGAGCTGCAGGCAGCTGCAGCTACGCAGCGACCGAAATTGCACAGCACGAGCTATAGGCTATATCATATAATATAATAGATAAAGCTCGACCGCGCGAGGAGAAAAATTTCGAGAGGAGCGCCTTCGAGGCGATATTTTTCATCGCGTCGAGTATAGTGGAGCTTTGGCGTGCACACACACATACACAGCAGCTAGCTTCTGACTCGGACACCCGCGTGATAAATAGACGCTGTATCAATTTAATACCTGCACACACTCGCGCGCGCGCGCCTGGCATAAGGGCAAAAATGTATGGCGCTACTTTTTTAATGGGTTGCGCTATTAATGGGGCCCAGGCTCTCTCTTTCTCTCGTCCAGGATATAATAACTTTCCGTAAATAATCTGCGGACTCTGCTGCGGCCTCGAGGTTCTGCTGCTGCTTGCCCAGCTCGCACTTTTATGTAACGAGCGCGTCCGTCGAGCTACTTCTAACACCGACCATACAACATTTATGAAATTTGACACCGAAAAAAAAAAGGAAAGAAAAAAAAAAGGAAAAACACCGAGAGATGCGGTGAGCTAGGGCTCGCGCGCGTTATAAAGCCCGGCTCTGCGTCGAGTCGTCGCGCGGGTGGGCGCTCACAAAATGACGACGACGACGACGACGACGATGGCGAGAGGCACACATACAACGAAATGTAGGCCAGACGTTTTTTAATCCGCTGCGCGCGCGAGTTGCGAGCGAGCCGCAGTTTTGCGAAAAGCGTTTTCAGTTGGCGCAGCACGACGGCCCGTACGCGACTTGTTTACCCCGCGCTTATGATACACCTACGCTCGCTCTGCGCCGCTTCCACGCCAATCTTTCCTCTAAAATGTCTGTTTTTTTTTTTTTTGTTTTCTTTTGAAAATAGTTACGCGCGACGAAATGGTATCTACGATAGCAGTATACCTATTATACGCAGGGCAACCGGCCCTACGTGGAATGCGTCGATCGATCGACGCGCACTGACACCGCAAAACTCGGCACAGCTGCCTGTTTCTTTTATCCTTTTTTCCTTGTTTTTTTTTTTTTTTTTTCACGTCACCCTGAAAAACCATTCCGACGATGTATGGATAGATATATAGATTCGGTAGCAGCCGCAAAATCGCTAGCCTACAACAGGCAGTTCCGTGCAGCAGCGACTGAGCCGCCATCAAATTTTAAATGAGAAAAAAAAGCTCGCTCCACATTCCGCGCTGTGTAGACTACTGTGTCTTATACACACATATATCCAGCTAGGATAGGACCGATATCAGATGCTCGCTCGAGTTAAAGAGTATATAGATGAGTAGAGTAGAGTAGAGAAGCCCGACGGCGTCGCCGGATTTCGGGCTATCATCTTTTGAAACGGTCGAGGATGCGGGGAAGGGGGGGGCTTTAGCAGCCGGCGGACTTATCCCGCGCGCGCCTCAAGCTCCTCGAGTAACTGCACCGGGCTAAATTACAACCATAAAGATGAAGATACTCGAAGAGCAAGCCGAGAGGAGGCAGAGGCAGCGGCATTGCTTTCGAGACTTTGAAGCGCTGCGTCGCTGCTATACCGCGGATCTGATATTAATAATACATGAGCGACGGAGGGCACATTTTGACTGGTTCAATAGATTTTATCGAAGGCCGTTTATAATACTATCGAACTTTATTGAGTCGTTGTGATTTTAATCCGCTAAACTAATAGACACTGTATAATTTATTTACCATAAAGAACAGTTCAACGCGACGGTCCTATTAAAGAAAAAAAAAGTACGTAACGAATCACCAAGTTGAAAAAATATATATATAAGCAGCTGATATATACGTATCGCACGAGGGTGTGAAAAAGCGTCGTTTCGATCCACTGTAATACACGCGGGTCGAAAGCGCGCGCACAGTCGTCGAGTCATATTATATAGCTTTCCTCGGTCTGCCTGTCTGCCTGCCTGACGCCCCTTTGAAAAATTAGAGGGATTTCGCGCTCCAGAAAGTGACGCGTCTCGCACACACATACACACAATATATATAATAAGTGTATGATACGTCGACGCCACCGAAGTAGTAGTGGCTTTAAAGCTTGGGTGAAAGACGTATATAGGTGTATACAATGTAATATATATATTTTTCCCACCTTGGTTTGGCGCGCGTGGATACGAAAAAGCTGCATAGTACATATAATGAGCGCACGTGTGTATTATAAACATCGCTGCTTACATATATATACGTACGCTTTGCTGGGGCCTATTTATATAATGCGCGCGTCCTTTACAATGTATCGATCATGTCATCCGCATGCATATAGCGGGGGGGCTGCTGACTCGCGTGTTTATTGTGTATCGATTATTATATGCTTATAAGTTTTATATAAGCGCAACGACGTAAATAGCTCGTCGGGTGACACCCCGACTGGATCGAGCTTGCGGCCGTCGTCGTCCGCGTCCGTATATGATACGCGTACGTGCAACACACACATATATTAATACACTTACATCCATCGATTCGTGTCTTTCGCCGCGGCCCGCGCCCACCCATGCAAACGTGGAACGCTCGGATACGATAGTCTTTGCCTCCTTAGTCGTTGTACCACAATATCGTTATATTATAATGAATCCGCACTGACGGGATAGATCTGTATGCCGCGTATCACTCGGATTAAGCCGTATCTCTCTCTCTAGTCGTGCGCTGGGAGAGCTTCTGTTTGCTCGCCTGACGACAACGACGACGACGACGACGACGACGATGTATTAATTGGCATTTTGAAGGAACACGACGCGCCATTATATACACATACATTATAATATGCGTGGGCGTTATAGTCGAGGAGCGAGCTAACTAGGGAGATTACGGCGGAATTCGATAATCCTCGCGAGCAAGAGGATCGCAGAGGCTGATGCTGCGCGCTCCACGACGACGAGTTAATTAAACGGGGATGCGACGAGGTGGCGCACGTGCGGCACGCGCGACAAAAGTAACGCGGCTCGCGCTATATATATTCAAACAGCTCTCAAGCAGAGCTAGTTTCTCTGTGCTATGGTTAATGTTTTAATTCTAAGAAAATTAATAAGAAATGTAAGTGCCTTTGTGTATTACATGGTGCCAGATGGGGCTTGCCCCGAGGCCTAATAAACTTAATCTATACAATCTATTCAATAAAATCACTCGTCCTGACAGTTTGAATTTGCCCGAATTTGAAACTGCCCGAGCTCTGGAGCCGATATCAAAGAGCGAGCGCGAGGCCTTTACAGGCTTAACTATACATTACTCGGCTTGAATTTACACGAAAAAGCACGCACCGCGACACACCATTTTCAAGATATTTGACATTATATAAATGAAACAAAAACTAATTAAAAATCCAAGGCATTAATTGGCCTCGTGCGAAGCTCCTTGTAACTCAAATATAAGCGCAAGAAGTAAGTCGAGTGAGTCTCGCGAGCAACTCGCGACGGAGGTATTCGCGTGGTGCGGAGGAGACCTTGCGTGCGCTTGCAAACCGATACGCAGCTGCGGCTGCGAGCTGAGATTCCAGCGCGCGAGCTTAGTACGTGTCAACTATCTCGCTGCTCATTGTGCGTTATCTCGTTTTACGAAGACTGGCGTGCGTGCGAGCGCACTGTAATATCTCGCTCTCGAATGTTCCTAGAAGAACTTCTGCCTCGTTTTAATTAGCATACGCGCCGATCGTATCGACTACGAAGGAAACTGAGTTATTTACCGGAATTGCACTACGTGTTACTTCGATAATTCATGCGAGTCAATTTTTATCGAGATCAAAAGTATATACCGGACTAATAATCCGAAAGAATAACTTCAAACGTCAGTTTTCGAATGTACTCTGGCGCGAGTCTCTCTCTTGGCCCAGAATTGTTTTCTCCGAGATCCATTCGATTTCGACGTCTCGAACGAAGCGTATATTAAAAATTTCCAAGTTCTTACACCGACCGCGCGTCGCTTTTCAACGTGAAACGGATACGCGAAACATCGAGACTAAAGCGCTAGGCCACGAGACCAAACGTCATCGAAATGAATTACGAGTAAAAAGAGTAATAAGAAGGGCGCATTATAGCGAAAAAATATACCACTGCGCGCGTTATACGCATCGAGCGATATAACGATTCTGGCCGCGCGCGCGCGGATGGATGAAAAACTCGATTCGTTCTTCCGTTTCATTATTAGCCCTGTCCACGTATACATCATCCGTAAATAGGTTTTCATGGAATACAAACGCCACTGCCAAGCCAAGGGCGAAACACAGAGAGTCCGCACGTATAATCTTTGCCGCTGCCGCTGCTGCTGCTGCTGCTGCCGCCACGATCGTAAAGTTGAAATATATCGACAACGTGAAACTTTATTGGCACTTTCCTTACTCGATCTTGTAGATGATTTTTTCCCTCTCTCTCTCTCTTCGGCAGCAGCAACGTTCGCGGGGGCTTATTTATGCGGCCGGGTGCAATAACGAGAACCGCAGTTGCACACACACTGCACCCTCACGGCCGCAACGAATGTATTTTTGATTCATATATTCGAATCGCCGGTGCGCGTCGAGAGCTATTTTTTTTTACCCCCCTTTTTTTTTGCAATACGCATAGAAACGAGTGAGCGAGCGAGAGAGAAAGTAATTTATTTGCTTTAATGGAGTATGCAAAGTCGCATCGTTTAATGAGAAATCGATGCCTTTATATGCCGCGACGCATTATTTTATTCATAATAGCGCGCTATAGTCTTGGCAATTTTGCGCACAAGTATATTACCGACAATTTTTTGGCATTTAATGTACGATTCGATATTCATAATTGGTTGGCGGTAATTGTGGCGCGCCGATCTTATATCGGATGCGATTTGACGCGAGAACGAGCCGCACCCGCGCACGACTCTACTATATCATAACATATTCAGCGCGCCTGTGATTCGTAAATTCGAGACAGATATAATACAAGGTCAACGTGAAATAATACGCGGCGATGAAATTATGCAAACCATGTATGTGTACTAAGCACGTATCCGAGGATTATATTGACCGGCATAATCCGATATATATGCTGCTCCGTATATCTATACACAATATCACATCCTAGATTTGTGGACGTTATAACTGCGATGTTTGAAGCTAGGGGGGAAGACGCGTTTAACTATAATTATGCTCGACGTTATATCGCAGTCATTTCAGCTGCCACTTCAAGGTTTTTCGCTACTCTTTGTGTCAATATAGTATGCCGATAAACGGCTTCAAGGGACATCGCGTGATAATCTAGCAGTACACTCATCAAGCTCCAAGGAAGACTTGATTAAATTTCAGTTATTTATCGGGGATTTTTTTTTCAAATTTTTAATACATATCTGAAAAATTAACATGACCTTGTAAATCGATTTACTTTATTCCAAATAAACCATGGAGTAGGGCGCGTTTGGCCCAGTCTTTCATACCTGATACACAGCTGTGAAACGAGTTGTGATGTGCAAGATTCGGATTCGACCGCTAGATGTCGTAATCGAATCCGAACATAAAAAAGTAAAGTATGATTCTTATAAGTCCTTTTACAGTATTAGGCCGAACTTGTATTACTATTTTTCTACGCTATTTATTTTTAATAATTTTCAAATCAAATCGATTTCACTTTATCATACGTACGCTAAAATAAATCTTGCGTCTAGCTTTTGGTTGCGACCATGGCAATTGTCTATCGAAGAAAATGAAACCGCCTAGAACTATTTTGATTCATACGATGACTTAGAATTCTATCATAGGTAGCTTAGATATGGAAAGCGGTTACGTAGAAGGTCAGTATAGACTCAGTGCATGTGACTGTTTCTAAGTACCTCACTGTACAAAATACTTTCAAATGGAGTATCGAAAAGTAGTTGTCTTCGTGTAAACAATCGTCGGCTCGGCAGTCGCGTCGTCAGCGCGGGCCAACTCCGAGTTGAGAGGGGAGCTCGTCTTTTTCATCCGTACATATATACGCGACACACATTATTTATGAATATATAGGGCAAACTATATCGATAAACTTTCTCTCTTTGTTTTGATCCGCTCAGCTATACACAATTTATTTAAATAAATACATTAAGTCTTACACTCTCGGCTCGATATTTTAGGCATCTATTTTCGACTCCCAAGTAGAGTGTCCGACTCTGGCTACATCGGCTACGAGGAGAACGTTCGAATAGAAATTTAAACCCCCTTCGAGTCCTCGATGAAACTTGTAAACATTTCACATTCCGCGTGAATCCGTTTTCCTCTCCAGACCGGTAGAGACAAATATTTAAATGCTAAATCAAAAAGAGAAAGTAAGTTAGACGTGTTGTCAGCCTATTAGACGTATATCGAGCGCTACCTGCCAGACTTTTGAATCGATTAGGGAATAGCTTCGAGCGCGTGTGCTTGTGTAGAGTCAGTCGGCCACGTCACAACTCCGAAGTGCGAGCAGCGAAAGAAGATCGCATCGACCGCAGCGAGTCATCGAACGTGAAAAATATTTCATATCATCGCGTGCGAAATGGCTCATCCCGAGCAAGAAGACAGCTTATTAAAATTGAAGCGCCTACGAGAGCAAGTCGACTGGACGATCGAAGAGCAGCGAGGCGCGCTTCTCCGCCAACTCATGATCTTATTCGCCGAATGGAGCGGGCCACTTCCGTGTCTTCCGGAGATTTTTCGGCCCTACGAAATCGACTGGCTCATCTCGGAGCTCATAACGAAGAAGATGAAGACCACGTTACACAAGAATAGAATAAAGGGATTCATCGAGTTCGTGGCGAGCACCGGCTACAAGGAGTCACTGATCGATCAACGCATCAACGCGTCGGAACTGCGAACCACGCCGATACATCGGGCGCAGAGGCAGCACGATCTTTGTCAGCGCGCGGACGTGACGCGCGAGCTCTTCAAGATATACGACAGGTACGACGTGAACTACACCGACGAGGCGGGATTGACGCATTTCCACGTGGCCTGCGGGTACGGCCTCGTCGACGCCTGCAGAAATTTCCTCCAGCTCGGCCACGATCCCAATTGCCGAGCGCCGCCGGCACTGGATCGCCGGCACCCGCTCTGCGGCTCGTTGCTGCGGCTGGCCCTGGTGCACGGCCACCGGAAGGTGGCCGAGTGGCTGCTCTGGGCCGGCGCCGATCCCACTCGGCAGGACGCCCACGACGGATCGACGCCTCTGCACGTCGCCTGCGCGCAACGGGAACACGACGGCAACGAGATGGCCGAGGCGCTGCTCGCGCGTTGCAGCGCGATCCAGCACGGGCTGCTGATGGAGGCTCGCGACGCTTGGGGCCGACAGGCGCTGCACTTGGCCGCCGCCAGCGGATCGCTGCACTCGTTCGGCACGCTGCTGTCGAGGGGCGCCGATCCGAACGCCCTCGACTCGCGCGGAGCGACTCCCCTGCACGCCATCTGCCGCAGAGGCGACGAGGAAATGGCGAGGCTGCTGTTCAGCATGTTCCATCGGTCTCAACTCCGGCTCGACGTACGGGACCACGAGGGTAAAACAGCCCTCAACTACGCGGTCGCCAGCCAAAACGTAAATTTGAGCCATTTGTTGCTGGCGAACGGCGCCGATGCGCGAATCGGCATGGAGCACATGCCTGCGCACGTTCGCAGAAGTATGATGCAAGCCGCGGTCTCCGTGCAGCAGTACGCAGCTGGAGCTCATGGGCTACCCTTCGGATGGTTGAATTGAAAGAGAAATCATTGAAATGTTTGGTGCGATTGAATGTCGTAGATTATACACGTCGTCGAAATAAATACATTGTAAAAAAATTGAATGTCTTGAACTTGTTTATATAAAGCTGTCTATTGCGTGACTCGCCTGCGCTCGATAAAAGAATAAAAATAACACTTTCTAATATCCAAATTCTGCGAGCGAGCTTGTATCACTGTAGTATACATATATAGGAGCCGAAAAATCCAGCCGATTATCCAATTAGAGCGGAGCTCGCGAACGTGTTCGTCCTCGGCGCGTTAAACTCTCAACTTAACGCGTAAAAGTCGAAGAAAGCGCTAATAAATGGTCGTGCCGCGAGACGCTCGCAAGAGCTGCTGCTGCTGCTGCTGCTGCTATCCATCGAAAAGTTCGAATGCCCGCGATTAATCAAGGCCTGTTTGCAGCGAGTGCTATACTCTCCGAGTCCTTCCGAATTCAAATGGTCTAGTTATTAACTTTGCTTGTTATTGAGGCTAGTGGAGTGGCTATATGAGTAATTTAAAAAAAAAAAATTGCCTCTGTAGTCGCATTTTCCTCGCGCATATAGCTCCTCGCGTTGCTTCGCGCGTACAGAGAGAGAATGAAAAATAAGTTTTATTACTTTTTCTCCGGCATTTTTCAAGAGAGAAAAATAGCAGTAGCTACTTGTTTTCAACGCGATAAATCTGCAACGATAAATTATATCCATTTCAATACGTAGTCGTTACACAAATTAGCTGCGAATGCACAAGTCGAAAAGTCAATACTTATCATAGTGGGAGCTCCGGGCATTATTCGACGTTATAACAATTGTAATCGAGCAATATGTATTTGCGCACTGAAATTTATTGATCATCCAGTAGCTGCGGTGCCTATGTATAATCATTCCCGAGACTCGTTGCGATGAATATAGCGCGCGCGCATAGTTGGCAGGTATTAAATAAGGCACATTGTGTGCTCAAAATCTCTCGAATCGGATTTATTCGTCAATCAGGGAGAGGTGTACCGGTTGCGGAATGTTGCTCGCGCCCGGGATGAAAATTAACATAATACAAGGGCTTTACAACGAGTCGAATCGAGCCTCGGCGCCTGTTTGGATTTTCAAAGAGCGCGGGTAGTTGAAATACTCATCGCTTCGATGCTTCTTTACACGCGGACCGTCGATACCAATTCCTCTTCCCTCCCACGCGGACGTAATGCACAATGTTTTTTCTCATTCAATTTTTCTGGGGGATGCACTGGATTTTTTTATTTTCCCCCGTAATCAGATTCTAATTAAGCTAATGAATACGCTCGCGTATATCAGTATATACGTGTGCGGGATAGGTGAGATAGCAGCATATAGATAGCAGCATATAGAACAGGGGTCGTGCGATACGTCGAGAGGCAAAGTCAATCAGAAAATCGGTTTTTCCTCCAGATTCTCGCCCTGGATCGATTATTATGCAATTAACGAAGCCGTTCACCCGTATCTCGAGTAATTGTCTGTACCTTTTAAGCCGTGTGCGATAGTTTCTCGTCAACGCTTTAACCTACCTCGCTCCTCTTTTTACTTCCTTTTTTACTTTTTCAATCAGTGGCCGCGATTAATTCGTATGATCATCGCGCGCCTATACGGTTGGGGCTCTTTGTAACGGAGAAATAACAGATATTCCGAGGACAAAAAATTGTACGGAAATTTTTGTGCCTCGATCCGCGAATTATCTTTTAATAATCTCGTGCTCTCTCCTCTCTCTCTCCCCCCCTCCTTTCGACGTCATGAAATTTATACACTTTGCATGTTATTAAAAGTTTACGATCTCATTACCTCGGTGCACAAAATGTTGCGCCGAACTTTGATAATAAATAGCATATATAGGGAAACGCGATCAAAATGATGCATTGTATCCGCAGAAGGTACATATTAGATAATATCGATTGTTAGCCCAAGTAGAGAGAGAGAGAATCTGGCGCTTGTGTGTATGTAGGGAGACGCCGGGCGACGCGTGCAGCGAATGCTCGAACCATACCGCACCGAGCTCGCCTCCAACTAATTATTTTCTAAACTCTCGTTCACGCTCGCGCGCGCGCGGATGGCCACCACCGTGTGCGAGACTCTCTCTCTCTCGCGATATTTCGCGACTGCCGAGGAGAGCAACAAGTTTGAACTTGACTTTTGAGAGCGCGTCAAAGAAAGCGCATTAAGCAAAAAGGAACTTGGCTTGTGTAAAGCTGAAGTGAGCCATCATCCCCCCGAGCCAAGATTTTCCATTAGGAATCCTTCGTGCTGTGTATCCGCCAAGTTTTGTGCGCAAAGTTGTTGCGGGGGGTGGTGGGTTTAAAGGCCCTCGCGTCGTAAGCACGAAAAACTACATGTAAGAGCAAAAATGTACGTACGTCCTTTTTTAACATTTGAATCGTGTCACTCATGAATCTAATTTTAAAGTGGATGTTACATAAGTGTACGACACGACTGTTCATCGTAACGAAACAAGCATCGAAAAATTTACGAAGCGCAATTTCGCCACAACGTCGAGAGCTTCTATACTGGCGCGTACACTTGATTTTATCTCTTGCGTTGCTGTTCCGCTGTATTGGTTCATGCAGTCGGGATATAATAGATTTTCTCCGTATCAGCTGGCTGTCACTCGACAAGAAGCAATCATCCGAACGGCAGCAGCTATGTACTCGATATAGCGGGCGTGTGTGTGTGTGCGTAGTTGCACAATTATCTTTCTATACGTATGTGTACTCTGCGTTTGTTTTGAGAGGAGGCAACGCTCGTGAGATTTAGAGTCGCGATATTAAGAGCGCCGCGATCAGAGTCCATCAATTTTCAATATTTTCACGTTCGAGTCGGCGAGAGAGAGAAAAAAATTCATCAAGCACTTTTCATTTATAATGTCCGCATCGCTCGAGGTATTTGCTCGCGTTCCGACGCCAAAAAAAAAATCATCTTTATTCGACCAAAAGTATGCGGAATTTGCATATACGAAGCCCGAATTCTCTAGCCGCGGAGTTAAATTATCAACAATGTTTAAACTGCGCGAGGGCAGATGGCGGCCGTGGTTTATTTCGAGCGCGACTCTGATTTGTTAAATGCGCAAACTTCTGACGTCTAGAAAACCTCAAACTAAATCAAGGCGAAACTAACTGCCTCGTATAAGCTCGCCACTGCCGTGTCCTTACACGAGCGAGATGTAACAGTCGTGGCGGAAAAGACGCGAGGAAATTGCTCGTCGCTGCTAAGACGGAGGCCCTTGTTAATACTCAACGGGATTCGCATTTTGAGACGAGAATACGATGTTCGCGAGATGTATCGTTGTTTACGAGCTCGTTTCGGTGACTGCTTTCGTCGTTACCACAAGCATTATTATTAGGCATTGTCCCGATATGAGTTAAACGCGAGGTGGCGCACTTGTGTTATGCGACGTCATGCGCACGGTACGTTTTTCGCGAAAATTTATGTTACACTGTGTAGAAATAATAATAATAGTAACAAGTCGGATAACACAAGTGCGCCACCTCGCGGTCAACTCATATCGGGACAATGCCTAATAAGAGCTGGATTAATGTATTTTTATTTGTCATATCACTAGAAACAATTGAGCTAATAATTGATTAACGAGGATAACAAATATCCTTCATAATTCTTGACCTGATTAGACGATATTATTCAGCGTATTATATATAATCAAAAAACTATATTATAGTTGTAACACCGCGCAATTCGCCACACATTTCTGCTACGGCCGGGCAACTACAACGATAAAGCGGGAAAGTATCGCCAAAGAGCTACCAGTTAGATATCATTATTACGAGCTCTGTTCGCTTGCACCAGAAAAAAGAGATAAACTAAATTCTATGAGCAGGGTATTGACTGTTGAAACTTGAATGTTAACTTTTGTGAGCAAGTGTGTACACTGGTGTGTGTTTTGTGATCAGTTACAGTATTAGCTAGTAACAGTATTAGTTCGAGACATATAACCTCGAAAGTGCATTGTATTGTTATTGTTAAAATTCACTGTGAGCACAGTGTTTTATATAAAAAAAACGAGTGATGGAAAGAAACAAAGACGTAGTTAGGTATAACTTTTTTTTGTAAATTCCATAATATGTTTTGAGCATTCGCTTGATTAAACTTGGTTACTCTTCAGGGTGAAGAAAGAACCAAACGATTCCTGGCCAGATGCAGGAGACGGTTATAATTTTGAATCTGTGAACTCTCACACAGCCAAGAACTTTGAAACATTCATGCTTAGTAATTCATCAGTGAGTTCAATGATTTTTCAAATACATTCTTTTTTTCCCACTATCCTTAACTCTTACATAATTTTAATTTTAGGAAAATCATACAAATAATGATATAGCATTACACAAAAAGTTGGATGAAGAAAGACCCATTGAGTACGGGTCCATTAAATCTGAACCGGTACCTTTTTCAACAAGTATCTCCAAATCTGAGTACCAAAGCAATCAACCTATTGTGAAAATGGAAAATGAGACAGATAATGTTAATGAAAATGTTTCCATTGATTTTGAGTGCAAGGATGTCAAACCTGAATTTAAAACTTTAACGACAATAAACAGCAAATGCGAATATCAAAGTCAACCAATTGTGAAAGCAGAAAATGAAACACAGACTAATTGTTTGAATCATAAACATCAGGTAATTTCGATACAAAACAAATTTAATTATAATAGCCAATATCGAGCAAAATCAAAATTAAAATTTGAAGAATACAAAGAGGTGAAAAAATTAATAAGAACTCCTAAAACAAAAATGTCTCATAAGTGTAATTGGTGTCAAAAAACTTATGCAAGAGAAGCAAGTCTAAAATTACATATAAATACAATACATAATAGCCTTAGACCATATAAATGTTATTGTACATGTTGTATCAGACAATATGAATGTGAAAAATGTCATAAATTATTTAAATACAAAGGAAACCTCAAGTTGCACATAAATGTAGTACACAATCGAAGTACATCGTTTGAATGTGAGGTTTGTTATAAATCATTTGGACATAAAAGTGACCTCAAACGTCATGTCAATGCAGTACATGATCAGAGTAGACCCTTTGAATGTGATATTTGTCATAAATCATTTGGACAAAAAAGTAGCCTCAAAACTCACCTAAGTACAGTACATAGTCAAAGCAAACCCTTTGAATGTGAGATTTGTCACAAATCATTTGGACAAAAAGGTAACTTCAATGTTCATATAAATGCAGTACATAATCGTGTCAAACCCTTTGAATGTGACATCTGTCTCAAAGCATTTGGATACAAGCATGAACTCAAAAATCACATAAATACAGTACATAATCAGATAAAATCCTTCGAATGTGATATATGTCACAAATCATTTGGACTAAAAACGAATCTCAAATCTCACATTGATATAGTCCATAATCGAAGCAAAGTCTTTCAGTGTGAGATTTGTCACAACTCTTTTGGAAAGAAAAGTAACTACAAAATACACGTCAATGCAGTGCATAATCGTATTAAACCCTTTGAATGTAAGATTTGTCAAAAGTCCTTTGGATACAAGTATACTCTCAAAAGACACGTGACATCGAATGTTTGTAGCATACCCTAGATATGCAAGATTTTTTACGAAATATTTTGACTCTATGAAGATTTCTGCAATCACTAGTATGCTACGTAATTATAGACAATCTTTCACGTAAATAAATCCTGCAATTTTGTGAAGAACAATAAAGTATTTTAAACAGTTGTAGATTTTGTCGTCTGATTCTTTGTAAAATCAAAAAATATTTTTTTGACATTTTTTTCCTGATGGCTGAAAATCTTGCTTTTTCATTATGGCATACGTGTTCTTAAATACTAGAATTGTCGGTCTCTTTTTCAGAGCCTACTTATTTTATTTTTTTATTTTTTGAAATTATTGCTTGATGATAATATTCAAAAATATATTGTCAAAGAGCTGTGTGTACAGTATAGTTCTTGACGAACATTTAACATCTTCACGCTAAAGTTTTTCAATTTGTTTTATTTTACCTCGGAATGTTTTATACTTACATTTGACAAATTTATTGGTATTAAAATAGTCTGAATCGAAATTGGGAAAGTTAAACATGGATAATATGTCGCTGCGCTTATTGGACTGATATATTTTACGTGTAAGGTCAAGGACGACGTACAGATTAAACGAATGGCTATAATTGTCTATTTCTCGAAACTGTGCCCATGTTTTTACGATATCTTCCAAAAGTGTACTTTCAAAATTGCCTTTTTTTTAGGTCGCTTTTGAAAACGTTGCCAACGCCAAAAGTGCCAAGACCTCGATGATAAGTATTCCCTTCGCGTCCATAAACACGTGCGAGCAACAAAAGTTGATATCGAGTTGGTATGGACAACGCCGGTGATTTATTACACGAGTACAGTAAATCTTTATTTAGATAGAGTCAAAGGAAGTATTGAGAATTTTTTGCGCGAACGTCGGAAAAAAATGGCATTTTTTTCCCCCCCTCGACGTATTTGTACTCTGTATACGCAAGGCAGATGCGAATAAAATATACATGTATATATATTCGAACACGAAGCGAAACTTTTCTCTCAAAATGAAATGCTTAAACAGGAAAGGGATGTCTCTCTCTCTCTCTCGACTTCGCAGTCCGTTTCTTATCATGCCTCGTTATAAAGCGAAGCTGCGGAATAAGGGTACACTGTATGGATCGTTTATAGAGCACGAGTATATAAACAGTCGAGTACAATGTGCAGCAGGCAGAGGAGAGGGGCGAAGGGCAAAGGGCGCGTCAGTGTGTACGTGTGTGTGAGTGCGCATGTACGCTCGCTCTCGGTAAGATTTTCGTACACGGCCGTTTTCATTTTCAATTAGTGTCGGAGAATTTAGCCGGAGCGCGTTAACCCCTTCGGAGGAGGAAGAGAAGCTTTTCCATGTGGAAAATCGTTATCGAGAGGAGAGAGAGAGAGAGAGAGCGCCATAAGCTCGAGTGAAAATGCCTTGTCCGATGCAATATATCGCAATGGCGCGCATCCATACACACGCACACACGCACACATACGCGTGCACAAAGACCCCAGCTAACTTGTTTTGCGCTGCAGGAATTACGTAATATAGATATATTATAACGTATTATATATATAAGGGTATAGCTGCCTCTCGAGCTGCAGCAGCAGCAGCAACAGCTCGTGTTATATACACTATATATAACAGGGAGTAAAAAATTTCGCGCAGCGAGAAATAATATACCGTTAAAGCTGACGTAATTTCCATGCAAATTTCGAGCAACATTATCGCGACTAAATAATATTACAATTATGTTAACGTCGCGCGTAGTATGCATATTATACGCTCGTCGTCGCGCTGCGATGATTATCCCGAGCTGTATATGTATGCATTATACGAGCTGCAGCACACTGCCTCCTCCTCCTTTTCGCTCCTTTACAAAGCTACTACCTATCCTATCCTATATTATATATATAATACATATCGGTACTGTACGTATACGAGAGACGCTCGAAAAAGTCGGTAATTTTATATATATAGACGTTCTCGAGCTATAGCTGCAGGTGAAACTCAACTGCCACATTATTATATAGGGAGAGACTCGAGAGGTTGAAACCACAGGCTGAATTCAAAGCAGTGCGGCGGTGGCGTCCTTCTATGTGTATAATATCGTACTCGCACATACATGTATCTATTCTGTGTACGTATAGCGTATTATACGCTCGCGCGCAACGTTGTTATATACTACTACTACTACCACCGCTATATATATAACGGCAGGCATCGCCGCGAGTATCGCTCTGCGTGCGTGTGGTATAGGATGCGCAGTACAGCAGCAGCTCTCCCAAAGGCCAAAAGTGGGCATGCGTAAATTATCGCACGAAATTGAATTATAAGCGACGCGCGCGCGGAGCCGAGGCCTGAAAGCAGTTCGTCGCGCGCGCTAACGTGCACCAATTTTTATTCATAATATCGCAGATATTAATAATAATTACATCGGCGCGGCGTTCGACGTTAATTTGATTCGAACGCGGTGGTCTCCGCGCCGCGCGACTCTATATCAAAAGCCATCCTTATACGTACGCTTCTCTGCGGTGCGTGCAGCGCAACTTTGGACCTCTCTCTCTCTCTCTCTATAGTCACCGCACGACCGTTTAAAAAGTTTCTTATCGGTCCTGTGGCGGCTGCTCTGTGCGCGAGCACAAAAGTACGTATACTCGAGTGCAAAACTTTATCCCTCGGAGCATTACGCGCGTATATAACGCGAAGGACGCGTACGTTACTTTTTAAAAAAAGTCGGCCGCGCGACGATACATCGAATAACAATGTATATATGTAACGGCGATTAATAGTTGCCTCGCGGTCGCCAAAGCTCCAAGTTGTACCGTAGTACGGTTGATGATAATTACAAAAAATAACGAGCTAATTTTTAAAAATAGCATATTTACCAGGATTGATTATCCGGAAGGGGCGGAAAAAAAGTGGCTCGATCGCGCGTACGTTGTGCTCATCGAGACGTACATACATAGCTAACTAACTCGTGTATAGATCGCGAGGCATCGGCGACGGCCCTGGTGCAGTCAGCCGGTTACCAGTAGCATATCCAATTTTAATTCCACCGACAACTTTTCGTTCGGTCGGTCAGCTGCTGCTGTATACATATTAATAAATAGAATCAATACGTTGATTCTCTGAATAGGATATATGTACGCATGCAATGTTATATATATACGGCCAAACACGCGATATGAATTCGATATGTGCATATACATACTCTGTTTTCTCTCTTTGCTCTTTCCAGGCTTTTTGATGAAAAATTTATTTCAAGCGCATAATTTTCGCAGCGATATACAGTGCGGCAAACAATTTTTTCCTCGAAATCGATATGAAAAAAACGTCTAGCTTTCGATGGCTATAACGTCGGCTGATTTTTGCGCTTGTCTGATCGAATCTTGAGACGAATCACTAGTAAATGTAGTAGTATAAGTACGCTTGCTCGCCGACTCGAAGTACGTCGATTTTTTTCTCATCTCTTTCTGAATTGTTGGACGCTAACAGAAATAGAAAAAAAAGAAGACGAAGGAAAATCGTTTCGTGTAAGCGTACATTCAATTCGAAATTTTCGTATCGTATACGTCGAAAAATATTCATGCACACATTTGCCGGCGCTAGGAGCAACAACGCGCGCGGCGCGATACAAACACGAGCGTTGTAAAATTAAAGTGGATTGCATAATAATCGCATAAAAATATTTTCCTCTTCTCCCTTGCGCTTTTTTTTCTATTCCGTAGCCCCGTTATTCTACGACTAGAAAAAGCAGCCCGTTGCCAGTAGCAGCAGCAGCAGCAGTAGAAAAAATAAACATGCATTCTCGACCTCTGTACTGTGAAAAGTACGTTGTCAAGTAGAGAAATACTCGTCCGGCGGTGGGCAATGCTCGCGCGCGGCACTTTTGCAGAAGGGTTCGTAATGTTTAACCACATTTCGCAGAATTAAAAGCTCACACATAGTAAAGGCCATTTGCACGAGTACCTGCCTCTTTCTTCTTCCTCGGCTCTCTCTCTCTCTCTCTCTTCTCGAGAATACGTAGAGTAGTTGTAAACAAGTATGGAAAGTTGGATAATTCAAAGCCAAGGCAAGAATTTCAAGCGCTCCGTGTAGGACGGCGTTGTATGCACGCGCAGCGCAGCATATCTCGGAAACGGTTGAAATTGTTGGCAGCCAGACAATGTGACGATTCGTCCGACTTGCGGCTCCGCGCTGTGATTTCTTTTCGACTATACGCGCATAGAGCCGTGGCTGCTATAGGGAGTTCTCGCGTCTCTTCGTATAATTATCATTTTATCGGTCAGTTAAGGAGCAATTTCGCAGAGTACACAGCCTCGTCGAGGAACATTCGCTTGTAAATTGTCCGTATCATGCGCTCGTGTTAGCAGCAATTAAGCGCATCAATTGCGCAGACCTTATATCGAGTCTAGGTATACAGCGCGTGATATAATCGTCGTTGAGACGATACGGCTGGTCACGTTGCGATCGCGTAAGCCGAGACGCTCGCGCCTCAAAAATGAGCTGCTCCACGACTCTATAGTGCTATAGTGTACGGCGGCGCGCATTTTAATAAGGAATTTTCTTTATTCTCGGAAATTTTCCAAGATAGTTATAGGAGAAGCGAGGAAGTACCTTTACAAACATTATTTCGGACGCGAGAATCGTGTAATTAAATTTCCACTTCCAAGTCCGGGGGGGCAGATTGAACGATGCTACCACCGAAAGCAGCGGCAGCAGCAGCTCCACGAGTATGTGTGTACACTCGTACAGTAAGTCAATATAAGACGCGCGCGAGCTGCACGTGAACGTGTATACAGTTATATTCGCGCACTCGTTCCACACGCATACCTACTCACTCTCTCTCACACACACACACACACGTCATAACGGGCGCGCGGGCTTTTCAATTCCCTGGCTGAATTACATGGTCAAAGTGCAGATGCAGCTGCTGCTGTACGTTGGCAAAAGCTCGACTGTTAGCCGTATATATATATACGCGAGCACCTATACGTGTTCCAGCTGAGTTATGACGATAAGCCCTTGAACAAGGTGTGTGCGTGTGTTTGTATGTGAGTGGGTATACGCGCGAGCGAACATAGCTTCCAGGAGAAAACGTATTGCATGTTTATTCCGACGCGCGCGCGCGCGTATAGCTACATCTGTATACAAGCTGCAAATTCGACCTTATAATCCCGACGGTACTGCGTACGCGCGTATATAAACACACGCGTACTGTAGCACGCGTTTCCGATATTATTTTTTTAATGCACAACACATCTCGACTCGTCGTCGTCGTGCGCTTACTGCGAAGAAACTGCACTGCCGCCTGCGGTACTGCGGGGTGGGCCGCCGCGCGAGCGTATCACGAAAATTTCCCAACGAGCTCTGCGCCTAAGTGGCTCTTCAATTTTTTTCACTCGAGCGAGATACATCTCCGTATCGCGGCGACTTGGTCGAGTGCGTCAATTTAATAATTATATTTAACGCGCTGAATCAACGTCTAATTTCGTTCTATCGTCGGATCTTCAATTAGCATTAAACGATTTGCTCGTCGTGAGCTGCAGAGAAAAAATTGATGCCGCACAAAAAGATTCGGAAACGAGCGCAAAACTTAAATTAACTTAACCGAAATGTCAAGATTTCTGGCCTACATCGCTGAAAAATCCTTATAGCTGTATTATACGCGCCTCGTGCACTCGTGCACGTTATCCTTGAAAATGATCGTGTCTCAAATTGAGAGTGGGAGAGAGAGACGAGAGTCACAGAGAGCGAGCAAAGCGAAAGCTGAAAATCTGAGACTTTGAGTAGCACAAAGCCACCAACAGGACCGAGGAGATAGCCCGCAGCAGTTGTCATCTCTTTTTCTTCGCGACGCGAGCCCGAAGAGATAACCGAGTCGGTCTCGCGCGCGTCTTATCTTTGCGCGATGCTCGAATTTCGCAACATTTTCACGTATTCTCCTTCCTCGTCGGAAACTTTCGCGTACTGTATTGAAAGTCGACCGAGAGACTCCTATACCTATTTGTACAGTCAAAGTGTGACAAAACTCAATTATAATAATATCGTATATAACGCGGCTAATGTTCAACGAACAAATTACTTCTCCGGCAAATACTTCAATAAGTAATTCCGAATGAGAAATTTTTAAATCAAACTTGTCCAGAGTATATGCACGGCGCAACGTGAATAATAGTCGCGCATCTCGATATACCCATGCATCGCGTCCAAATGATACGGTACTTTTTCAATTTTTTCTCTGAATGGAAAATAAATTAAATTTTCTTCCGTACACATATGCAAATGCGTATTGATCTGAGCTCGTTCCTGTCTTTTCTCATCAATTCTTTATTTTTCATATTCTAGACGCCGGCGAAATTTGATTTGCATTGTAATATTGTATTCTAATAGGATTACCTGTACGGTTTTTTTTTAAATTTTTAAATTATACCCAGTAAATAACTTTTACTTTTTATTTCTCAGTGCTTTCAATTAGGAATCTATACTTAAATTGATCGAAATTAATGGATACTTATATTATTATATAATAAAAAGACTGGTCAAGACTTTCAATAAAGTTTTGTGAACATTTTTAACGCGTTAAAGCTCTTTTTTTAAGTGAATACTTTTTATTTATAAACTAAATTGGAACTTTGATATATATCAGTATAAGATCTGGTTTCAAATACATTTTATGTCTAGCTTTTCAAAATTCAATTTGGATTGATTGACATTATACAAATATACTTTTTTTCTTCAAAACTTCAATCAATTTTATCGAATTTCCTGCATTAATCAATGATTAGGTATTAACAAGATACATTTGATAATTGCATTATAAAATAGGCTCGCCAAAAAAATCGGCAGTCTTGGCAGTGTTGCCAATATTTTTTTTTTATTCTTTACAGCTCATAATGAAACGAATGATTGTTCACGATACGTGTTCATCTATTGTTATCGTCGTTGATTGGGAATGTGGGTGGGAAAAATGTTCACTGGCGATTATAAATTTAGGCCAGTGGCACGCACCACGTCGACTCGCTTGTTTACCACCGAAACATACGTGTGCTTTCGTACATACAAAAACTGGAATGCAAACGGACAAGAGTAATTTAATTACAAACTGCAGGTGTTCGTTTACGCTGCATCCCGCGCGCGCGCGCGTTGTGTGTACGCAGCGCACAGACGCAAAGACAAAGTAAGCTTTTATAAATTGAAAAAATGCCGAGTGCAGATGTTGCGCTATTTTTATTTCATAAACGATATTAGAACAATGTCAACCGACGTTTTCTATAATTGCAAACGCACTTGCGCGCGGGATGCGTACGTGCATACTTTGTCTCTTCGCTGTCTGCCCGCTGGATCCTGGCCCATACGCATTTCGTAATTTCGCGCAGCAAAGGTTGCGCGTGTAACGGCTCGTGTACCCAGCCGGTATGTCAAAGGAATAACTTCTTCGAATAAAATTACTGTCATATAATGCACCGACTAGAATGGGCTGGTAAAAAACGAAACTGGGTCAGAGCTTGGCTGAAAGAAATTTTTGTATACGTTGAAATTGCAATTTTGGTGTGGAAAACGAGGTTTCTTTCAATTCGATTTTCAAAGTATGCATTCGAATAATATTACGACATAATAATTTTATGCGCGCGCAAACGGAGCATTCACGCGTTGATACAATATGGGCACTGTTGACTTGTCATTGTAATTTCTTTGCCTCGTATTATCTTATTTTCTCATTTTCACAGTATAATATTTTATGTGCGGTTTGTAAGTGAATAGAAACTCAGTTCTGTCACTTATTTACTGGAATGTTTGAAACGTTGCTGCTTGACCTTTTAGCTTTTGAATGCTAAAAAATAGTTCTAAGCTATCATACAACTTTTTGTTTTAAACAATTTTTCAGTAAAAGATGACGGCATTCGGAATAAAAATAATTTTTCATGAAAATTTGAGTAAGAGAAATTTTAAAAAACATAATGAGAAATAAAAGACACAATGATGATTCACATAGTTTACAATTTACAGTTAGCCAAATATTATTGTCTGAAATGGTGATGAAAATTTTAGTATTTAGAGAAATTTTAACTTTAATAATGCAAAGTATGCCACGACTAAGAAATTTTCAATTTCTCAGTTGCAAGTCAAACGAAACCATTTGTTAGTGGGTAATAAATATTATTTACCGTTTGGGCAGTACGTTTGTAAATATCACCCTTTCGGCTGTTTTCTCAAATGATACCATTATTCAACTTTTTTTTTTCATTTCAACGAGCTTTTTATTTATTGCGCGCTTGTGTTCGCGCTTAGTCTTTCAAATGCACCGAGATAATGACATTGTGCGAAGCTATTGTGCATGCGCCCAACAGTGCGAAGGACTTTCTAATTTAATGCTAACGATTATAAATTACGAATGTGCGGCGCATTCGAAGCACGCGTAAATGCATGAAAAGGATATTATTGTTTTCTGACAACTTTTCTTCTCTTCGTCATTGATCGCAGCTGAAATTGTTAAAATATTTGATCATTCAATGTTTTATCTCAAATACCTTAAATAAAATGATAGCACCGAAGAAAATATTAGAAGTATATAATAACTGTATACATTAAATTATATTTTAAATTTAAAAAAAGACAATCTATTTTGAGAAAAGTGGAATGTATAAAAAAGTCCAATGTCTTACTAAATGTAAAAATTATACTTAATAATTTATTGTGAAAATTAGAAATTCTGTTGAATGCCTGAGACGTTGGTGTGGTTAATGCTGGCAGATGAATTGTCAAGCAGTGCCTATCTTCATATACTCAGTCGTTTTTACTATCTCTCGCTTTTTATGGTATTTTTTCGATGTTTTTCTAAGCTTTTCAAGTCACGGATTTTTCTTGGCCACTTAACATGAAAACCCACTATAAAAATTAAGGTAATTTTTTTTTGACACTTTACGTATCTGGATTCAACTTGATTAGATTTTGAACTTCTTTCTACGTAGTAACAAGCTCTATAAAGGCTCAGAGTTTTTAATATTTCATTTAAATATAGCATCTATTAGCTACGAAGAAATTCAACAAATATAAGTGGTTTCCACTGTCAATCGTGTATTTGGATGAATGAAATTTTTATAGCGTTTTTGGTGTTGTTTTATTGACATTCGAGTGCCCATATTTACGTCGCAATACATTACATACTTACGTCCAGTTCAAGGTAGAGGGGGGATGTATCGCAAAGGAGCTATCAGTCGCGAGATTACCTCGCCTAACATACGAGTAGTGTGTACAGTCGCTGGAGAGGGTCAGCTAAATAATAAGCAAGTATTTACAAGTTGTCGAAATCTATGTACAGTGTTGGCTACTCGAGATATAACCTCTAAAATTTTCTTGGTGTATCTTGAAAATTTACTGTCAAGACATATAGTCAAGTCAATGATGGAAAGCAGAGAGGACATAATTCGGTATAACTTTTTGTGCGTCTCATGATATTTTTTGTAATGATCAATTCATCAAACTTCATAATTCTCTAGAGTAAAGAAGGAGCTGAAAGATACTCGTCCAGATGCATCTAAAGGTTATAATTTCGAATCGGTGGATTCTTACGAAGTCAAAAACTTTGTAACATTCAAGTTTGATAAATCATTGGTGAGTTCAATGATTTGAATTATCTTCTGTCTTTCCACTACTCAAAACTGTTACAAAATTTCAATTTTAGGCAAATCACTCGAATGAGACTGCGATACAGGAAAAGTTAGATGAAAAAATATACATAGACTTTGAGTGCAGAGATGTAAAATCTGAACCGACTTCTTGTTTTATGAGCTTCTGCAAATCTGAGCATGAAAATTTTCAACCAATTATCGTAAATATGGAAAACGAAATTGAGAGAGATGACGTAAATGAAAATATATTTGTTGATTTTGAGTGTAAGGATGTCAAACCCGAATTGAAGTCATTATCGAAAGTTATCTGCAAAAATGAATATCAAAATTATCCACCAATTGTTCAGGCTCATTATCTTAATGATAAAAATCAGATAATTTTAATGAAAAATGAATTCGACAATAATAATCTCAAGAATCACATAAATGGAGTACATGATCGCAGCAAATCCTATGAATGTGAGATTTGTCAAAAATCATTTTCAAACAAGAGTAATCTTAATAAGCACATAAATACAGTACATAATCGGAGCAAACCCTTTGAATGTGAGATGTGTCACAAATTATTTGGACTAAAATGTGAGCTCAAACGTCACGTCAATGCAGTACATGATGGTAGAAAACCTTTTGAGTGTGACATTTGTCAGAAATCATTTGGGCGAAAATATGACCTCAATCGTCACATCAATACAGTTCATGATTGTATCAAGCCCTTTGAATGTGACATTTGCCACAAATCATTTGGACACAAAAATATCCTCAAAAATCATATAAATACAGTACATAATCGTGTCAAACCCTTTAAATGTGACATCTGTCACAAAACATTTGGACAAAAAGGTAACTTCAATGTTCACATAAATACAGTTCATGATTGTATCAAGCCCTTTGAATGTGAAATTTGTCACAAATCATTTGGAATCGAAGGGACCCTCAAAGTTCACATCAATGTAGTACATAATCGCAGCAAACTATTTGAATGTAAAATTTGTTATAAATCATTTGGACAAAAAGGTCACCTCAATGTTCACATAAATACAGTACATAATCGGATCAAATCCTTCGAATGTGATGTATGTCACAAATCATTTGGACAAAAGACTAACCTCAAAATTCACAAGAATGCAGTACATGATCGTAGCAAACCCTTTAAATGTGACATTTGTCACAAATCATTTGGATACAAGAGTAGTATATATAAACACTTGAATATAGTACATGATCGAAGCAAACCTTAGGAGCCCAAGATTTTTTTCGAGACATTTTGAATGACATTTGAACATGCTATGAAGACTTCTACAATCACTTGAGTATCTTACGAAATTTCAGAAACCCTTTTATACAAATATCCTTTAATTTTTTGAAGAAAAATAAAATATTTCAAGCTGGTATCAACTTTTCAATTATTGTGAAAAACTTTTAAAATAATAAAGATATCAGCAAATATACACACACATTTTTGTTATCAAAAAAAATTAAAAATGCCTCTGGATCCATCGCGAAAAATGTCTTTCTTTAATAAACTTTTTCAATTACTTTTCAGCAAATAATTGCGTGAAACATATTTGTTAATTGAGAGATTGTTTTTCGCCAGTAAAATAAATTGATCATCAAAATGGATTACGAAATAAATACTTACGAATTTAATACATTTTTTGAAATCATTTTAAAATTTTAATTTGATCTTTAGATCCAGTTAAACAAAGAGTAAATACAAACATTAAAATTCATTTAAAACTATACCTTCAAATTATAACTGCCTCGTTTGCTTCTTGAATAATATTTATATCAACAATTTGTCGACGAAAAGTTACGTTCGAGTTAAAAATTGTTAAAATTCCATCGCAATGAATGGAGAAAATTCATCACACGGTGGATGGATAATCTTATCAACATCGGTTACGTGTATATACGCGCACAGAACGATGCAAATTTCTGGCTCACAGTGTTGCAGTGTATGATTGAGTAACGGCTGAAGCTCGAGGTCTAATTAACGAGTAAATACATGCGCGGGGGGAAATTCATGAATGGAGCGCCGGGGCAAATGTAAGTGCGCGGCGTCAGACATCAGTGACGAATGACGTTCATTCTGCATCTCTCCAATTTACAGCTTCAAATAGATAGATACAGGCGAGCGAGCGCGCGTGCAGCTGCTCGTCAAGGATCGATAAGGTGTACGCGTTATAAATTCCACGACTAACGCTCGGCTGTATACAGCACACATCGTACATCGATGAGTTTTCGGCTTGCGATATAAGCGTATTGTCGATATAGCTGCTCTGCAAGCGAGAAAATTGCAGTCGTGCATCCGTGCAACGACTGACGTTCGGCAAACATCGTTCGAGTTTACAAATAAGCAAACTAGCGTGGGCTCTCGTAAATGTTATTCGATAATTTTTTTTAGACCAGTCATAATAAAAAGTCGCATCAACACGAAGCGAGTAATAAAAAGAGAAGAGCTTCCTTTCTCCAGGCCACTTATATAAAAATTCGACTGTAAAGGGATATCGCTGCGGGAACATCTTAAATGTTTACTCGGCGCTACGGAAGAGCAAGTAAACATCCGTAAAATTCGATACTCTTGTGTAAGCATTAAAGTGAAGAGCAGCGGTAGCAGCAGCAGCGTCTCGCAAAATCAAGCACACCACGTCAGTGCTGCAGCCCGAGCTCTATTTATATAGTTATATGCATGTATATTAATTAGTTGGTCCAGGCCAGGGAGGGATGGCGGTGCCTTTGTATATATCTACTACATAGCCGCCGGGAGCGCAAGAGGCCAAGTTTCATTTGGCTGCGAGCTCGAATGCGTATATATATGTATTATTGCGTTACTCGTTGGTGGTGGTGGTGGTGCTGCTGCTGCTGTGGGCAAAGGGACCTTGCCTTCTAGCCAGCGAGATGTATGGTTGGGAGGGTCAGAAGGCGCCTTGCAGCAGTAGCTGATTAGGTCATTTAGGGCTTCCTCTGATGATGATGATGATGATGTACAGCGCCGGCCTATTAGCATCGCTTACCTTTCGGCGTGTACACGGCGGCGTTTCGCCAGTCGTTTATGGCCCGATTTCGGGCTTACTGTATACGGCCGATGAGTAGCTAAGTAACGACTTTTATCCGCAAACAAATGACTCTGTCGAGCTACAGCCGGCTGAATTTTGCGCCGAGCAAATACTCGCTGCTGCAGCGCGTCGCGATATATCCAGACCGCGCGGGATGAAAGTTTAAGCGCAGTCTCAGCAAATTGAGTGCCCTAAAATTATAATGGCTGGTTTTTAAATTAACGAAGACTCGCATTAAAAAAGCGAGCGCGGAGTAAAAAAATGAATATAAAATAAGGAAAATCGTAATATACGCAGGCAGCAAATGGTATATACGCGATGCGCTTCATTCGCAAGCCAAATTATTGCTGCTATATTCAAATATTAACTGCGAATATACTTTGAATACATGCATCGACTTATGAATGTAAATAATTCTCGAATAATAATGTATTACGCTAATTGGGTTGATTTTGACGTTACGGGAATGAGGATCGGTATAGCTGGAGGAACAAATATTTATAAATTCAAGTGAATGTATATTTTTTTGGAATCGCTTTTTGATAGCAATATATCTTATTTATTACATAAAAGAAGGAAAAAAACAGGAAGCATGATATTTAAAGTTCCCGTACGAAGTTGAAAATTTGAATTTACCGTGAACAATATAGTTAAGCGTCAGAATAAAATCGTTTTAAAATTGAGATCATAAATGGCTATATCGATCAAATTCAAGGCGTTCGCACTTACTGTTTATTTCAAACACAATTTCAATTCATGCAAAAAATAAGTTTCAAAAGTTTTCAAGTTAAACTTATACGACTGAAAGAAATTATCTAATCAAATATCTTCAGATAAACAAGCTCAAAATGTACTTACATTCTGTCATACATTTACTTTTTATAATTCTAAAAGAAACAGTATCGCTATTTATGTATTACAAATACAAAAATAAAAGTAAGGACAAGATATGAACAGATAAATCGGTAAATTAGTTGTAAACAATATGATCTCAACTGATTTTAGTATCATCCCTCGACTGAACATGTTTATAGTGAAAATTAATTAGTATTAATTTTGTCTTCTTTGATGAACCAAGCTATAATACCAAAAGATCCATCATTTAATAAAAGAACTGAAATGGATAAAAGTGAGAAGAAATCTGAAGAAGTAGCCTCAAGAAATAATTTAAGTAAACTTAACATCCTTATTTCAGACGAGAAGTTACATATTTGTGATATTTGTCAGAAGGTATTTACACTAGAATCAAACATGATTACGCACCGAGAGACAATTCACAATGATAAAAAAAATTACGAATGTAACAAGTGCGAACAAAAATTTGAATTCCGAAGTCATTTGAGTAGACACCAAATATCAGAACACAAAGCCCGCAAAGATTTTGCATGTGACAAGTGTGAGAAAAAATTTGTAAAAAAATCGAGTTTGTTTACGCATCAAAAATTGGTACACAAAGATCGAGAAAAATTTAAGTGCAATAAGTGTGAGAAAAAATTTGAAAATAAATCAACTTTACTCAAGCACAAAAAAATATTCCACGAAGTTTTCAAAGATTACTTATGTGAAAAGTGCGCCAAGAGATTTGGAAATAAACAGAGTTTGCTCTTGCACATACAGACAGTACACGATGGTCGCAAAGATTTTGCCATCAAAAACTTAAAAAATTACTCATGCATCGAATGTGAGAAGAAATTTGGACAAAAATCAGATCTGTTGAAGCACCATAAGACAATCCACGAGGGCCGCAAAGATTACGAATGCGATAAATGTCAAAGGAAATTCGGACAAAAATCACATTTGCTCTTTCACCTGAAAATAGTACACGAAGGTCAGAAGGATTACACATGTGACCAATGCGAAAAGAAATTTGAGCATTTAAGCGATTTAACAAAACATCAAAAGACAATCCATGACGGTCGCAGAGATCACGCATGTGACAAGTGCGAGAAGAAGTTTCGGAGCAAATCGCATTTGCTCGATCATCAAAGAACAATTCACGAAGGTAGGACGGATTACGCATGCGATAAGTGCGAAAAAAAATTTGGGAAACAAAGCAATTTGATCAGACACCAAAAGACAGTACACGAAGGTCGCAAAGATTACGCGTGTGACCAATGCGAGAAAAATTTTGGAGAAAAGTTAGATGTGTTGAAGCACAAAAATAGAGTTCACGATGGTCGAAAAGATTTTGCATGTGACAAGTGCGAGAAGAAATTCGGACAAAAAGTGCATTTGCTCAGACACCAAAATACAGTTCACGATGGTCACAAAGATTACGAATGCCACAAGTGCGAGAAAAAATTTGGAAGTAAATCAAATTTGTTGAGACACCATCAAACAGTACACGAAGGTCGCACAGATTACATGTGCGACAAGTGCGAAGAAAAATTTACACGAAAAGGGAATTTGCACTTCCACCTAAAGACATTCCACGAGGGTCGCAAAGATCACGCATGCGATCAGTGCGAAAAGAAATTTGGGAAGAAATGGAGTTTGCTTGTTCACCAAAGGATGGTGCACGAAGGTCGCAAAGATTATGCATGCGAAAAATGTGAGAAGAAATTTGGACAAAAATCAGATTTGTTGAAGCACCAAAAAACAGTACATGAAGGTCGCCAAGATTACCGATGCGACAAATGCGAGAAAAAATTCGGAGAGCGAAGGAATTTGATTAGACACCAAAATACAGTCCACGAGGGTCGTAAAGATTATGTATGTAACAAGTGTGAGAATAAATTTACACGAAAACGAAATTTGCTTATCCACCTAATGACAATGCACGAAGGTCGGAAAGATTATGCATGTTATGATTTTGAAAAGAAGTTTGGACTTGCATCCAATTTGATCATACAACGACAAAAATCACAGGAAAATTATAAAGATAACTAACTTAACAATTGTGAAAAAAATGGGACTCCATCGAATTCGAGTTGACACCGAAAAACTTTTCATAAACTTTACAGAAACTATATATCGAACAAGTGCCATACAAAATATGAATCAATTTGCCCTATCATAATTGAGTTGATTTTAAAAATTTAATTAAGATTATAACAAAACACAAATTTTAATAAAGGAACATTCGTGAATTCCATTCTTGGTATCACTTTATCAAGTCTCAAACATACCGAAAAATGTGAGGTTCCACAAATGGTAAATACTAGAAGTAAATTCTTAATTATATTGACATTATAAGTATTTTGGATAAAGTTAAATAAATTTTTATGGGAGCCAATTTTTTTTTACACAATTAGACGACTTAACCGTACAATAATCATGTTTATTAATATAACACCTTTTTTTAAAATAGTTTGCTTTACGCAGATTATTTTTTAATCAAAACTCTGAATAACTCAATCTCCAAAAACAAACGCGAACATAAACGTGGCTTGCAATAAATTATGGTAAAAATTCCAAGTGCTTTTTTCCCATAATTGCAAATATTCACAATTGCACACATATGATCGGAGTAGTTTTTCAGAGAATTGCGTAAATTTCATTAGTTTATAATTTAATGATTTTTTTTGACAATTGTAAATGTATATAGATATAAGTATCTATATATTGTTTAGAGCTTTATCTAACATTTCAATGAAAATTGAACCAATTATACATTATTATCAATGTACCATTGTTCATTGCCGTGGTGGAGCTT